TTGGGGGCCCGTATTGTCAATGTTTTACAGTCCCTGGATAACGGTATCCTCCCTGAGGAAACAGATGGCGAGACGTTGCCGTCGTTTCGCCCCCGAAATTCCAAGCGAAAGCGCCGAATCATTATCCATTCCTCCCCCTACCTTCGGTGTCTACAGACCTCTATCGCCATCAGTTCCGGGATCAGCCAGCACTATCCTGATAGCACAGTAACAGGCTCGGGTTGGAGCCAGCCCAATGGGTTCCTATCCGCCCCCGTCATGCCGTCAGCACAGGAGCCGACCACTGGCGCGGTGTCTGGTGCCCCTGCTGTTCCCGGTGATCAGCGATGTCTTCTACGCGTCGACGCTTTTCTCGGCGAATGGCTGTGTCCAGACTATTTCGAGGAGATCACCCCGCCCCCTAAGTCAGAAAGGCTGATCGCCGCCGCCAAGGCCGAACTATTACGACGGGACAGCATCGTGCCCGAAGCCGATACCAAACCCCCTACGGGCTTTTTCCCGGGTGGCTGGGGCAGTCTTGGCAGCAAGCCTCTGTCCCCCCCTATTGAAGAGGAAGATCGCAAGGCTTATTCTGCGTACACATCAAATGAGCGTCGGGAGGGACAGCGAAATCGGGCCGGCAGTTGTGATACCCTGCGGTCCGCAGACACCCCACGCACCCGGAGGTTGCTCAGCAAAATTAACACCAACCTCCCGCCCATCCCCGATGGTGCGTACATGCCCCCGACACCGAGTTATGCCATCTCGCCGTCCGACCCGATTCCGACTGGTTATGTCACGCACGCTCGGGATGCTTGTCTGAGGATCGACTATCCATGGGATAGCATGCGAGACCCACCGAATTGGGGAAATGGTGGAGAGTACGGCGAAGAGTGGAGTACGATGCACACGCGGTTTCATACCGGACTGGAGCGGATGGTTGGCTGGTATCAGGAGCACGATGCATCCCTTCCCGTCGGTCGGCGTCGGCGTCATTCGCAATTATCCTTGTCTGAGAGCGCGGAGGAGTCGAAGATATCTGATGATGAGGACGAGGCTATCGACACGATCCTGGTGATCGTTACTCATGGGGCAGGGTGCAATGCGCTCATCGGAGCGATCACTGGCGAGCCCGCCCTCGTGGATATCAATACCGCGTCCCTCACTCTAGCAGTCCAGAAGAACCGTGTGGTTGTCCCAGAGAAAGTGGACGCGATCGGCGGACCCGTCGTGCCGTATCATTCCGGAAACAAGCAGGTCGGGCTGCGTGATTACAAGCTACAGCTGGTGGCTTCGACCGACCATTTACGACCGGTCCCGAACTTGTCGACGTCTGTCCTTCCGTCGCCTAGTAGTTTAAGTTCTCCATCATCCGCGTATCGCCCACGATTTACGACCCGCCCGTCGTTACCACAGGGTGGGTTCGTGATCGGTCCTTCTGCTGTGTCCGGACCGGGCACCGGTTCGTGGACATTTTCACGACCTTCCACCGCTCCTCGCGGTGCCGGCGGCCTTTGGGGCTCCAACTCAATCTCCGCCGGGGACGCGTCGGACGATATCATCCCCAATTTCGGTGATTCCTGGTCGGGGTCTAATGGGACTAACGGCAATGACCACCACTCTAGTAAGAAGCCGGAGGAGTCGTCAGATTGGACGCCACAGTTGCCCCAGAGGACGCTGTCCCAACGAGGTCTATGGGGAAGTGGTCCTTCGAAGGAGCTCCATGTCAAGCGGCGCTGGACGGTGACCGAACGCCGCGTTTAATGGGCGTATATTATTAGACCAGGCGCAGAATACCTTTCTCATACTCTGTTTCACACTTTTAGCGGACTCTTTCCCCTTTCCCCATTCCCTTTTTTCTTTTTCTTTTTTTCTTCTTGGTTATTCGGCGAGGCGTTTCTGGGATCATAGCGAACTTGAGCGTTTGATGATGACATGGAAATATTAGTATACTATGATTTTGGGCGATTGAGATCTTTTGACCCATCTGAGCTATCTACTCTACTCTGGGAATGTACAACAATGTTAATACCACTCTATTTGGGTAACCTCGGCTCACTGTCTTTGATCTGATACCTGGGCTGACTAGTACTACCAAGGTACTAGTAGGGACTAGTAAGGACTAAATTCCGTCATGATCCCCACGGACGGTGGAGATCCCGTAGGTAATCTTTCCGTGGTTGATTGGCCCGGACCACAGAGGGGGGATCCACGGTGGCCCGGGTGCCTGCATGCCTGGGGTGTCCACTGCGCTGGTCACCGCTGGTGTCAAGTGATTCTCCCCCTCCTCCTCCTCCTCCTGCTCCCTCTTCCTCTGTTTCTCATCTGTCATCATCCTGCTTAATTCACTCGGTCACCGTCTTTCTTCTCGTCAGTATGTCCGCCGTGGAAAATGACGGGCTCACCATCACCCATTCTTCCGAACGAACCGGAACCCCCGATCTTCGTCTCATTCATTACAATGATGTTTACCACGTGGAGTATGCAGACCCCCTTCCCTAGACCTCCGTCACGACAATCCACTAACCAATATCCGGAGTCAAGAGCAGGGTCGGCGGAGCCAGTCGGTGGTGTGTCTCGGTTCCAATCCGTGATCAATCATTACCGTTCGGATCCCCGATTCGCTGAACAACCAGACATCCTCACCTTTTTCTCCGGAGATGCCTTCAACCCCAGCCTCGAAAGCACGGTCACCAAGGGACGCCATATGGTGCCTTTTCTGAACAAGGCGGGCACAGATGTCGCATGTGTTGGGGTATGTTTGTTCGCGCAGGGAGAGGGTGTCCTATGTCCAGTACGATGAAGGTAATGAGGGTCTGACATGTACGTGTGTGATAGAACCATGATCTTGATTTCGGTGTTGCGCAGCTGCGTCATCTGCGTAGCCAGTGCCAATTCCCATGGTTGTTAGCCAATGTCCTTGATCCAGCCTTGGGGGAGGATATCCCAATTGCGAACTGTGAGCGAACCCGGATGTTGACCTCATCGAACGGCTTTAAAGTGGGCGTGATCGGTCTTGGGGAGAGAGAATGGTAGGTTGTCTCCAACTTATAAATATGCTACACTTCCAGTCCTCACGTATTCAAGGCTCGGAACCATCAACTCCCTTCCTCCAGACTTGATCTATAAATCCGCTGCCCAAACCGCCCTCGAACTCGTCCCTCGTCTCCGTGAACAAGGCGCCGACATCATTGTCGCTGTCACCCACCAACGCGAACCGAACGACTACAAATTAGCGGAGAGACTTCCACCGGGCTTCATTGATATCATTCTGGGAGGTCACGATCACTACTACGCACATGCTATCGTCAACGGGATTCAAGTTCTGCGCTCCGGTACAGACTTCAAACAGCTTAGCTACATCGAAGCGTGGCGCAAAACAGATGGATCAGGATGGGATTTCAACATTGTCCGGCGCGATATGGTCCGATCAATTCCGGAAGACCCAGCGACCGTGGCGCTGGTGGCGAAGCTGACATCCAGCCTGAAATCCAAGCTGGAGAAACCTATTGGCTACACCGTCCGGCCGCTGGACGCCCGATTTTCCACCGTCCGCCAAAGAGAGTCGAACCTAGGGAACTTTGTGTGCGACCTGATGCGATTCTACTATGCCGCTGATTGCGCCATGATGGCTGGTGGTACTATCCGCGGCGACCAGATTTATCCGCCGGGAATTTTGCGACTGAAAGATATCTTAAACTGTTTTCCTTTCGAAGACCCGATCGTCTTGCTCCGTGTCCAAGGACGAGCTCTAATGGACGCCCTAGAGAACGGTGTGAGCCAATTGCCCGCCCTAGAGGGTCGGTTTCCACAGGTGTCGAACATTGCGTTCAGTTACAACCCATCCGCTCCGTCCGGCTCGCGCATTAACTGGGCGAAGATCGGAGGGCACCCGATCGAGTACGACCGGACGTATTCCCTTGCCACGCGAGGGTACATGGGCCGTGGAAAGGACGGCTTCGCGTCGCTGCTGGTGCAGTCTGCTGGCGGCGAAGTAGAGGAGGTTGTCGACGAGGAAAGCGGAATCTTAGTTAGCACCCTCCTTCGGCAATACTTCCTGAGCTTGAAGGTGATGGGCAGGTGGCAGCGCTGGAGCAAGAGCTTGACACGCCATTGGGGCACTGTGCACCAGAACCTTCATTGCAATGGCTGGCTGAAGCCAGCATCTGGCCAAACTTCTCCGGTAACCGAGAAGGCTCCAGTACGGCCCCAGCGACCAACCCTCCAACGGACCAAGCAATACTATCACTATGGCCGCTTCCCAGAGATTGACACGGAAGAAAGTCCGGAGACAGAGGTCAAGGGTAATGAGGACATGGATTCAGATTCCGACTCAGATCCAGAAATCTTGACTTCTCCCCAGCCCACCACAAACTATGTGACCCTGCCCGCACAGTCCGCCGCAGAGGAAGAGCACCGACTTCGACTAGCCCGACGCGTCGTGCGCAAATGGATGCAGAAGGCTGGATTCCGGCCGACCACGTTGAACGGCACGGACGATGTTGGTTTTACCCCGACTTGGACTCCGGGTATCTCCCCACGTCTTGAGGGACGCATTGTGATAGAGGACGCACGGTAGATTCATGATAGATCACGAGATTTAGAAAGATTTCCGGTATGATTTATGATAGAACATGTTTCAGATACAATGGCTCATGGAGCGTTTTGTCAGGCAATGGACGTTATCGTTTTGGGTTGCTTTTCTACTATCAGTTTAGACTCATTTGCCTTGGTGATGGACCTCGGGATCCTGGAAATGTATTACCCTGACTCTGAAAGCATTGGGGGGCATTCTTCTCTGTTAAACCGATATACAGAGCAGAGTAGCAAGGGTAGCATCTGATTGGGTCCACGGTTGCGGGTAGTGCGAATCCGAGTGGTATACTCACTCCCCAACGTTACAGTGGTAGTTTCCATGAGTACAGTTCAAAAAAAAAGTATATTATCAGTCATAAAAAACCCGTACAATCATCGCGAACTCAGATTTACACCATTAAGTAATACAAGCAGAGAACTCCGGTTTATGCAGCGCCCCAACCACCACCACCAGCAGTCATGATCACGACACGATTATGCGTCTTCATCGAAACAGTATTCTTACCGCCAATGTTTACGACGCGTTCCTCGCCCGTTTCCTCATCCTTGGAGACCCATAAGTTCAGACCGGACTGCGCATCTTCTCCCCCTTCCAGACCGTAGGGACGATGGACTCGCCGTTCCGATAGAATCGAGCATTCCATAGGTGCTAGGAACTCGATGTCTCGGATGACGCCATCACCACCGGGGTGGAGTCCCTTTCCGCCCGAGCCGGGTCGGAGGGTGAACTGGCGCAGCAGAGTCGGGTACCGCTTCTCGAGAATCTCCGGGTCGGTGATCCGTGTGTTGGTCATGTGGACGTGGATGCCGGACTCGCCCTTCCAGGTGGGTCCTGCGCCGCTGCCTCCGGCGATGGTCTCATAGTAGCCGAAGCGGGTATGGTTGCGCCGGTGTCCGGGTCGACCTTGGAGTTGGTACCGAAGGTCAGGTTGTTGCAGCATCCTTGGGAGGCGGCGCAGGCGCGGAAGGCCTTCAGGACGACGTCGGTGATTCTCTGCGATGTTACGACGTTGCCGCCCACGACAGCTGCCGTCTTGGTCGGCGAGAGGATGCTGGGTGACGGGACTTGGATATCGATAGGTGCCAAACAGCCCTGGTTGAGAGGGACGTCTGAGGCGATCATGGCTCTTAAGCAGTAGATGATGGCCGAATGGGTGATAGCGATAGGGGCGTTCCAGCCTCCGTACACCTCGGGCCCGGTTCCAGAGAAGTCGAAGACGGCGGATCCGTCCGACTCGTTGATCGTGACCTTCAGTCTAATCGGAGTGCCGTCGTCCATGTAATCGACAGCTTCCAGGGGCTCGCCGTTGAAGCGCTTGTGGAGATCCTTCAGGAGGTTGCGCACGGCCGTCTCGGCCGTGGCTTGGATCGCGTACATGTACTTCTGGACAGTTTCGACGCCGTACTCGGCGAACAAGGACTGGATCAGGGCGATACCGCGTGTGTTAGCGGCGATCTGAGCCTTCAAGTCCGAGAGGTTGTCGCTAATGCACCGCGAGCCTGAGCATCCCGGGTGTTGTGCTGGCTTGTTAACCAGGAGGTCGATGATACGTTCCTCCTCAAATACGCCGTTGCTCACGATTTTCTCTCCTTCAATCGCTGCACCTTCCTGCCAAAGCTCGGTCGATTTCGGTGGCATCGATCCTGGCAGGATACCGCCGATATCTGCGTGGTGGCCACGAGACGCGACATAGAACATAATTTCGCTCCCACCTGGCCTGTCAAACACAGGTGTGATCACCTATATGGTTTTGTTAGGGTTGCTAATGACTTTGCGTGCAGTAGGATTGACTTACTGTGATGTCAGGAAGGTGAGTTCCACCACAACTGGGATGGTTGGCAACTAAGACGTCACCGTCCCTCAGATTGCCCAACCATTTCTCGTGTTGATAGCGAACGGCGAATTGCATGGAACCGAGATGAACAGGTACGTGGGGCGCATTGGCCACGAGGCCGCCATCTGGAGAGAACAGGGCGCAGGAAAAGTCTAGGCGCTCTTTGATGTTGGTCGAGACGGATGTCTTCTGCAGGGTCCGACCCATCTGTTCAGCGATGGACATGAAACGATGACCGAAGATACTCAATCTAATAGGGTCGACCTCGGATGAGAGCTCGGAGGGAACACCGTTGACGATAGCCTGTTCCTCCTTCAAATCAATAACGATGCAAGTATCCAGGATCTTGGCCACGGAGGTAGGAGCCACCACGATAGTCTGGGTCTTGTCAATGATAACAGCAGGGCCATGGACGCGAGCATTTTTCTGAAGCTTGTCCAGGAGATACACTGGTGTGTCAATGCGGCTAGAGTAGCCGTCAAAGTAGGCTTTCGTTGTGTTGTCCGGAGTTCCGCTCACATCTTGTAAGGTGGCCTCCCGCAACTGGACCAGAGGACTCTTCTCCGTGCGCACCTTTGATGAGGCGATCGTACGCACACGAATGTCGTCCACCAGGACGGCTCGATCGGAATTGAAGTTGAACTCTCTGCGATGCCGGGTCTGAACTGTTCGAGGAAGCCCGACTCATCTTCCGGTTTCAAGATCATTAAACTGGTATCGGAACCTTCATAGCGCATATTGAGGTACAGCTCGTGCCGCACTTGATCAGCTGAGAATCCTTGGGTGCTCATTTCTTCCGTAGCGCTATCTGTCATGTCACTGAAGCGCTTCTCGAGGCTTGACTGAGACGTCTCAAAGTCAGCGGAGACCGGCTCCTGAGACTCCTTAACCACCTCGGCCAGCGCCAACCCGTACGCGGACAGGACAGAAGAGTACTTATGGATGATAATGCGTGAGATACCCAATGATGCCGCAACCGAGCATGCATGTTGACCGCCAGCGCCACCAAAACAAGCTAGGTGATGCGAGGCAGTTTCAAAACCACGGGCTTGGGTCAGGTTGCGGATAGGGCGAGCCATCGACTCATCGGCCACCTTCAAGAACCCTAGAGCAACTTCTTCCGGAGCGTACTCCGGCTGCTCTTTCTCTTTTCGCTCCGCATTGATCTTCTGAGTCAACTCGTTGAAAAGCTTGGTCGTCACTTCGATATCAAGAGGCTGGTCCTCGTCGGGGCCGAAGATGTGCGGGAAGTACTCAGGTAGCAAGCGGCCCAGGAACAGATTAGCATCTGTGACTGTCAATGGCCCTCCTTTGCGGTAACAAGCAGGACCGGGGTGGGCGGAGGCCGATTCCGGTCCGACATAGAACAGTCCGTTACGATACGACAAAATAGAGCCGCCACCTGCCGCAACGGTATTGATATCGAGCTGTGGGGATTGGATGAGCACACCGGCAACTTTGGATCCGAACACATGCTCGAGGTGACCGTCGAAACGAGACACGTCCGTCGAGGTACCGCCCATGTCGAATCCGATCACAGGTGTCTTCTCGACAGGATCCCAGCTGGTAGCTGCGAACCCGACCACACCGGCTGCCGGACCGGATAAGATCGCCTTCAGCCCGCTGAATCGGCGAAAATCGACAAGTCCACCGTCGGATTGCATGAACTCGAAGCGGCACTCGCGCTGGCGCTCCAAGCCTCCTTCGAAGCTGGACGAAATCGAGTCGATATATGTTTTGATGACGGGGGTGAGATAGGCATCGGCCGCGGCAGACATGCCTCGTGGGACGATTTTGATCATCGGCTGTAACTTGGAGGACAATGTCACGGAGAAACCCATACTCTCGGCAAGTTCGCCAATCTGACGTTCGTGCTCTGGGTATGCGAATGAGTGGACTAGCGCGACTGACAGGGATTGGTAACCCTGCTCCTTGTACTGTTGGAGCTCCGAGCGAACCTCTTCAAGGTCTAACTCCTGCACCACACGGAACTTTTCCCCCGTCACACCCTCCACGATACGAGCCCCGGAGAAGCAATCCTTATCCGCCGAGGGATGGCACGGAACAATACGCTCATTGACCTCAACCACGCCTTCTGGTAGCACCCCTGGGCGGGCCATCGACAGATCAAAAATGTTTGGCCGTGACTGGTCACCAATCTTGAGCAGATCGCGGAAGCCCTTGGTAGTGAGCAGGACCGACCGAGCCCCTTTCCTCTCCAGTAGCGCATTCGTAGCCACCGTTGTTCCCATGCGCAAAGAGCCAATCCGATCCAACTTCAGCGGTTGTCCTCTGGGGTGGGGCTCGCCCGTGACGAGCTCGAGAATTTGGCGCACACCCTCGGTGGGAGCATCTTGATAGTGGGCGGGGTCGACGGAGAGTAACTTAAGGATGATGTCAGGCTTCCCGGGTACGATGGCATGTACATCGGTGAAGGTGCCTCCCCGGTCGATCGAGATGGTGATTTTCCCGTCTCCGGCCATGTTGCTTGTGTGCTAGTAGATTGACCGGATCGAGAGATAAGGATATAAGAAGAAGAAGGAGGAGGAGGAGAGACGTAGTACTGCTGACGAGGTGGGCATTCCCCGGGTTTAATATACCTTCACCCGCCGTCTTGTTGCGGGACAGAGATAACGACAGCGGGACATGCCATGGAACCCTCCATCATTTTAGTCGCTCTGGTCTCCGACTGGTTGTCGCGAGCCCACATCCACTGTCTTGCTTCGCATTCCTGCCGATTGCGTCCTTCCCCGCGGTCACGTGTCGGGCCGATGATCAACGGCGGCGGAAGTGCCGGCCCGAAGTCCCCGACGTGTGCATCATTGCAGTGTCATCTATTCTCTTTTGTCCTTGTGTTCGAATATCTCCCTGCCTTCAAAAATACTCTTGGTGAAATTCGGTATTATCATGCAAAACATGCTAGGTATATTGTGTGTATATTCCAATGCTCACTTTTTTGATTTTTCTTCTTTTCAGATAGATAAATTTATTATACTGTCCTGAGTATGGTTCTAAGCTCCTATCTTCAACATTTTGTACATGTATTCTCAAGAGAAAACCCTACGATTGCTGAAATATAATGGGCTATTTCACCCCGATGACGGTGCACTCCGATTATGCTGCATATGGGCATTGACCAAGTGACCGGCCGCCAGCGCGGAGCAGGTACTCAGTTCTCCTGCCAGCACGGCCGCGGCGATGATTCGGGCCAAGCGGCGGGCATTCGCACCGGGGTCAGTGGGATGAGCGCCGCGGACTCCCAGCAAGTCCAACATGGCTCCCTGGGCTTCGAGGATGGTGCCTCCGCCGATGGTTCCAACCTCCATCGAGGGCATGGAGACAGCGATGTGCAGGTTGCCGTCGATCCTAGAACATTCCATGTTGGTATAATTGATACCATATCGAGGGGAAGCAGAGGGACAACAAGAAGTGGGGGGATGGGGGGACCTACTTCTTCATCGTCGTGATACAGCTGCTGCTCTCCACATTCTGGGCGGGGTCCTGTCCGGTAGCCAAGAACACGGCCTGAACCAGGTTGGATGCATGCGCGTTGAATCCACCCATACTACCGGCCATAGCGCTACCCACCAGGTTCTTAGCCGTATTGAGCTCAACCAGCGCATCGACTTCGGTCTTTAGAACCTTCCGGACGGTGTCGGCGGGAATAGTAGCTTCAGCGATGATTGACTTGCCGCGACCACTGATCCAGTTGATAGCAGCGGGTTTCTTGTCGGCGCAAAAGTTACCGGACAGCGTAATAGTGTTCATATCGGGGAACCCGTGGGCGATCATCGCCTGCAAAGCCTTCTCCACGCCTTTGGAGATCATGTTCATACCCATGGCGTCGCCGGTCGTGGTGCGGAACCGGATATAGAGGTAGGTGCCAGCCTGGGCGACGATCAGAGTCTGCAGACGGGCGAAGCAGCTGGTGGCATTGAAAGCATCGGTGAGGACCTGATGGCCGACGGGGGACTCAACCCAGCGCTGAGCTTCGGCGCACGCTTCGCTGATGGGAATCCCAGGCAGGGGCCTCGTGTCATCCCATCGCCCTTGAGAATCGTCACGGCGCCGCCACCGGCGTTGATCGCCTTGCATCCCCGGCTGGCGCTGGCGACCAGTACACCCTCAGTCGTGGCCATTGGGATGAAATACGCCTGGCCGTCGATCACCATGGGTCCGGCGAGACCCAAGGGTAGGGGCAGGTATCCGATCACGTTCTCGCAGCAGGCACCGTGCACCAGCTCGTAGTTGTAGTTACGGTAGGGGAGCAGCGAGTTCTTGATACCGCCGCTGAGGTCCTGAGTTGAAGGCGTTCGTGACACGGCGGTCCGGCGGATGCGAACCGCACGGGTGAATGCCTCTAGCCTAGTTGTTGCTGTGCTTGAGGATCCTGTTGAGGTACTGCTCTCTAAGGTCTTCTCTAAGCTGTAACCAGGGATCTTGCCACGGAGACATAGATCAGCCAGCTCGTCGTCCGTCAGAGATTCCGTCTGTTTCGCTCTGAACAGAGCGTCGATTTCCTCAAAGCTGCGAGAAGGGGGCATAGGGGCAGATGTACTAGGGACTGGTGCGGGCGACGAAGAGAGTGCAGGTGCCGTAAATTGTTTCAGTGCGTCAGGAGAAATATGCCAGCGGGCGGCGTGAATCAGATGGTTGTTGAGGTAAAGACTGAGGACCAAAGCGCCCATGAGACCGAGTCGACCAAGGGGTGTTTCTAGTCCGGCCAGCACGCCGTCAAATCCAGGATGTCTCCCAGCAGACGCACTCAATCCAGAAGATTCCATGATATATCGGATCGGCGGCAATACCGTGACCCGTGTCTCAACTCCGCCGGCACGAGCAGCCAAATAGATATCGTTCAGGCCGTTGGCAGCCGCTTTAAGTGGGCTGACGGTGGTTGGAGTCAAAGTGGCATTGGTCATGAAACTTCCCGTCATGCGGTAAAAGAATGATGACAGCTGGAGTACGTTGAAGAGCACGAAGCCGCTGACCATAATCAGCTTCCACCGAGCCACGCTGGTCCGGTTGACCTTATACCCGAAGATCCGCGGCCCACGTTGCTCATCTGCCAGGTCTAGGGTGTCGGGGTTCCGGATCCGGGTCACCTCCAGTTTGACGCAGAGAATGGTGGTGTAGAAGGTGAAAAGAAGGATGGCGTCGAAGAGCACCATCCATGCAGCCAAAAAGCAGAACTGGCCGAATCGTTCCCGTGGCCGGAGGACCGCTCCCAATGCGAGAGCCACGATCTCAAGAAGATACGACCGGATAATGGACCACCCTTCTCTGTTGATCGCGAATAATATGGCGTTAGGAATCATATGGTGCTGCTGCGACCCACGCTGTAGTTCCTTCGATGCGTAGAGAACAGCACGGGTAAAGTGGATCGGCTTCTCAAATCCCACGGCCAAAACCAAGAAGGGAATCCCTTCTGAGAGTAGAGACATGTCGACTGGTACGCCGCAGGCTGTCGTTACCCCTAGTCCGAACACGAAGGCAAACGCCCCGGAAAGCAGCACGGAGCTGCCAGCCAGAAACGCGAGCCGAGGTGACGCATTGCTCGGAAGAGAGACACTAGGGTCATATTCAAAGCGAGGTAGCCTAAACTGATGATGACCAAATCGACAGTCTCGGCATGTTTGGCTCGGTGAAGGAACGAGAGCCATGAGCCTCCCAGCCAGCGGGCCAGCGAAAGCCTGCCCTCTTCGTGAGGAGACCTGATCGCCCAGCTATGATCCTTCTTACCCGAGGCAACGAATTCCACCACCTCTAGAAAATCGCTCAATTTGGTGTACGGAACTTGGTACGCCAGTGAGAATTCATTGGAGATTGAGGTGAAGAAGTTGGAGGTTGGCGTGATCGTCTCCGCATCCACAGACTTGGACAGTGTGCTCAGTAAGACAGGGCTGCTATCGGCAGAGGCACCGGGGAAGGTAAGGGTGACAAGAGCCCAGTGGTGATCAACCTGGTTAGAGAGCAAGCGAGAGCAACGCGGTCACAGTCAGCGCGCAAGTAAGCCTTGGGGATCGAAGGAACTAAAAAGAAATGCTTCTATCATACTTGGCCATCTTTAGTCGTCTTAGACAGGTCATCTACCTGCCATCTCCACGAGCTTGTCTCGCTAATCCGAAGGCTTCGGCTGCCCCAGAGCAATGACTCGACGTTCAAAGAGGCTGCGTCAGTCTTGGAACCAAAACCTAGGTTGGCAGCACGAAAGGTGCCTTCCAAAACATGGAGATAAGTGGATGTGGCGATCAGAGAAGTGACCAGCAAGGTATGAATGGGATGTCGACACACTTGGCTGACCACTGCACGTAATCCCTTGGTGACCCGGTACTGCACCCAGCCAGACTTTGGCGTCACGGGAGCCGATGCCATTGTTATGGTATCTTTTAATCATGGACAAGGGAGCCAGGGGAAGGAGGAGAGAGTCGGAGTGTGAGAGGGGAGGAGGGGGGAAGAAAAATTGGGTTGACCCCAAGGGAACAAAGAAGTCCCGTATTACCCAAATTTCCATATGACGACCAGCGAATACCATGAATAGATACGCCAGGGTATGTAAGTCAAAGGAATAAGCACTAGCTATTGGAAGGCCCGCGCCATGCCCAGAACGGGAGGATCCGCTCCGATAATGAGGCTGTTATTAGAGTATCGGGATGCCCTAATGGATGGTGTATCCGATGACTAATATTATGATTATGGTCTTGCAACCTGATGGTTAATAAAGGGAAAGACCATGGAGGTGGCTGTATCAAGAGATTTCCCACTCATCACACAATCTTTTGGCTTGCTTACAAAAATAATGCCCCAATGTCTGTCTGGCGGCATTGCTGGAGCTGCTAGTGCACAGCCACAACGAGAACTCTTCGATGGCCGGTCGACGTTGTCCGAAGAACTGGAAGCCATCCTTCTAGCGGTGACAGTGCAGTGGTCGAAACAGGAAATTTGGACTTGTGCGTAGCTCCTACGCTCCCTAATGCTTTAATTTTAGGTGGCGTCTTATCCGGCCATCGCAAAGGAGAAATTGTGTATCGGGGAATCCGAATGTCTCATTGCTATCTATCTTTATCAAGTATGAATTTCCAATCAACCAAAAGGGTATCTACAGTATGCTATGTTATTATATAGTGATTTCACGACTCAGCGATTCCGTGGGGTACAATAGGTCATCAAGGCTGGCAAGCCCTGGTCAGACCTATCACCGAGAATCAGTCCTTCGCCAGGACGTATGAGCTGCAACTATCATGTGAGTCAGTCAAATGCACTATTCGCAACAGAAAAAAAAAAAAAAACCCACGTCGAACTTTAGGAGCAGTAAAGCAACAGTCTTTTTCAACTCCAGCCAGGCGACCCGAGCCTTCGGAGAAGTATTGATGCTGGTGCTGAACGGTAGTAAGTTTTGGCTCATGGCCCATCGTTGTCGCGGGTCAGCACAGAGCCATCGTGCCGGCCGATAATTATGGACGTCCTCTCCATAAATACCAGGATCGCCTCGTAAGGCTTCGGAATGAAGTTCCATCATGGTTCCCGGAGGAATGTAGTACCCTGCAACGATAGCGCCTTCGGGGGGTGTTACGACCTCATGGCTGTAGCTCAAGCTAGGCAGCTGGCGCATTGATTCCTTGATAACAGCATCAAGGAAACGGAGTTTACCTAGTTCCTGCCATTGAGGAGGGTCCGAGAGTAGGCCCTTGTTGAACGCCGTGTCTATATCAGACCGAAGTCTCGCCATGACGTTGTCGTGGTTTAACAAGGAGGAAAACGTTGAGATAAAAGCCATAGCAATATTGGCATATGTGCCGTCCGCATTGCCGCAGCTTTGGGGAAGGCCGAGCCTGGAGCTGATTGCACGATCATCCGTAGCCCTAAACGATCGACTGCCGTTGATCCCTCCCTGAGCTTTCTGGTGGATAAAGGAAATGCCACGGCGCCTTTTTAATCTAGCGGTCGGGCTTCTTAGGAGCGCATATTCGATCATTGGAAACGTTAACCACTTGGTTGGGCAGTTATACCAGTGGCAGCCTGCCCCCTGAGCGTTGGAAGGTATATCTTGTGTGACCGATTCCTCCAGGATCAGACGATGAATGAAGTCAGTGGCAAAGCCCTGAAGAATGGTCGTTAAGTGCACCACGGGCTGTTGTCTGAGAGATGTCATCAAATTGTTGGCTGCCTGATCAACGATGCCTTCATATCGCATTGCCGATTCTAGACACCTCCGTCGAGTGGTCTTGCTCAGTAGATTGCTTTCAACATCGGTCGACCTCGCGGATGGGCCTTGGGCGAATACGGTACTATTTCCAGGCTCAAATGTTGACTACACAATCGATCAGTACATAGATACCACGGTGACGCGTCATAAACGGTACCCTTTCACTCGGCCGACCATTATAGACCGGGAAGATCGCTGTAGGGTCGGAAACGCTGATAGAACGAGGCCCTAAACGGACGACTTTGCCGTATTTCTTATGAAGGCCAGCTACACTACAGCCATAGTTGCCTGTATTGCGGGCGTATGTCCTCCACAAGTCAGATAGACCAGTGGACAGAGGACCAGGAACGGTGCTTAAGCGGGTGTAGTTGCAAAGCGCACGCACAAAGGCGAATAACCCCAAGATTAAGATTGTAATTACACACACAACCATTGCCGATGCTCGACTAAAACACTGTGCATCTTTCTAAAAATCCTGTAGAAACGGCCGAGTTTTGCTGTTGTTCAAATTTGCCAGTCGCACGCCCAACCGTTGCCAAATTGTCCCCTATTTCTTGGGCCGTGATATTCCGAAGGCAACCCGAAGGAAGAAAAATAGCCGGAAATTGGCAGTGGCCTTGTGGTTCACTCCGACGGTCCCCAATTATTATCCACCGACATTTTATTTTTATCTGTGGAATCAGGGTTGTTCGCTTTCCAGTTCTTGACTAATCGCTCTCACCTTACTATTTGTTCAAGTAATGGATTGCAGGAAACGTGGTGCCCCATCGGGCCGATGTGCTGCATTGACGGGACCACCCAACGCTTAAATGTGGGGAAAGCAGAGAGGGGAAAAAGAGTTGAGAACTGATAGCCATCCTGATAACAGCGATAATTAGTCAAGCCTCAGGGGCTTGACTCTTTGGGTCCCACAACCGGCTCGTATCCGCTCACTTTTGCTAGTTATCATGGCACGCGACCGTACTCCGTACACACCACACCGTCTGCAGTCCTGCTAGCGGGAATGAATCTCTTCTGCACGAGACGACAAAAGGTCAATATACTGTCAAAGTCCAATCGGAATCTGTGGGGAGTATAGTTGCATGTCCGTGCGTTCATTCATCGTGGACCCACAACATCAGCATCAATTCCGCCGGCAGGAAGACCACCGGTCCCCAAGAACAGCGTGTGCGTGGATCGGCACCACAACTGAAATTAGGAACCAAAATTGACTGGCGCGGTACCTGTAGTCGGTGTTTATTGACTCATCTCCCACCAAGGGCGTGCGACATGTTCATTTGCCTGTCAAATGGCGCAGGGAAAGGACCGAAGTGGTTTGCAACATCGTTCGGAAGACCGCTCCAATGCGAGACGGTCCATCGTAGCGTAGGTGACGGGCGGGTACGTTACTGTAGGGTCACGATGACTAACGGTTGACCATAGGTGTAATCGATGCCGAAACAGAAAGACCCGATGTGCTGGCAATCCACCGTATCCATGTGCTGCATGCGAGGACGCCGGCCAAGTGTGTGTCTACTCCGAAGCTGAGAAACGCGTTTCCATTCCCGAAAGGTACTGCACATGACTCAGAGGGCACATCAGCTGAGGCCACCTGACTGACTCGATATCAAGTTACTATCGTCAACTCCAATCTCAAGCGCGAGCTCAACTTCAGGCCCAGGCCCAGACCCAGGCCAATGCATCCCGTTCACAGGACAGCCGCCAGTCTTCACTGTTCACCACTGCTAGCCCTGCCCAATCCACTCCGTACCCAAATACCGAGGTGCCTCTTGACCGCGATGACTGGTGGTATCAGGGCACCGATCACCTATTCCTGAACCGGTCCGGGGAACACCGTGCGTGATCTTCAGTTATATATGCTCTGTCATGATCTTCGCTAACATTTGGTAGAATTTGTTGGTGCATCATCAGCTACCCATTTGGCGAAACGGTTGAATCCAACTTCAACTAATCTAGCGTGGGACGTCCGTCCGCTATATGATGATCCTTCATCACTGCGTCGGTCGATGACACGGGCCCTTCCTCAACTACCACCCTTTGAATTTGCCAAGCGGTTGTTCTGGGTCCAGTATGCCTACATTGGAACGATATTCTCCCTCATTCACCCGCAGGACTTTGAGGAACGACTGCAGATTGTATACAACCAACCGCCCGACTTCTCCAACCGAGAATTATGCCTAGTTTACTGCCAAGCTCTGCTCGTCATAGCCTTTGGTCTCATGTACTCGGTAAACCAATGGTCCGGAGATGATGGCCCTCCGGGGTTCAAGTACTTCAAACATGCCTTGCGCTTTTTACCCGATATCCATGAAGAAGGTTCCATATTCTTTGTGGAGGTCCTATGCTATGTAGCGTATTATATGCAGAATCTCAACCGGCGAGACGCTGCCTTCCTCTATGTAGGTCTGGCATACCCTTTAGATGCTATTGAAGCTGCTAACGTGGTAAATGTGTCTAGATTGGCCTTGCCCTCCGCATGGCAATCTCATTAGGTCTTCATCAGGAGGTTTCGGACCCAGCGATTAGTGAAGAAGACCGAAACCGTCGGCGCCGAGCTTGGTGGTCTGTGTACAGTCTGGATCGATTATTGTCCGTCAAGTCGGGAAATCCGATCACCATACAAGATGAAGATATCGGGACTACATGGCCGATTCCAGCTGAAGCTTCCCCCACTGTTCCATGGCCATCAGTTGTGCTTACGTATTATACCCAGCTGTCCAGGATTTTAGGCAGAATTGGGGAAGGTGAGAAATCCCCTGATCCTACTAAGGAACTCTCCGGCTAACGGTGAAGCTAGAAATTTATCGTAAGAAGCCTCGATCCGGCTCAAACTTATTAGCATCCGTCCAAAGTATAACGAATGATTTGTCTGAATGGCTGCGACGGATACCCGACCGGCTGCGCATTGATTTTTCGGCCTTGGATACTCATATCAACCGCGAGCTGGTGTCGATCTTCTTACACTTTTACTCTTGTGTGAACATGACAGCCAGACCCCTGGTATTCTACGTGATCCAGCGGCGATTGGATGCCGAAGCGCGAGGTTCTGCTACAGAAGACTGGAAGGATGGTCTGTCTCAAAATACGGTAGCTGTGATCGACAGCTGCATAACAGCAGCCCGGGCTACCACGGTGATTATGGATGCCGCTGCGAAGCACAATTTGGTCGGTGAGTAGACCCTATTCCGCTTGGGATTTTCAAAAGCTGATGGTGCTGCCCCAAAGCCACGTACGGATATCTGGACGGGGAGTATATCTTCTCTGCTGCCCTCCTTCTGGTGATGGTGAATGCTGCGTTCCCACATAACGAAACAAATTCCCGAGCGATGGAAACGGCACTGAATCTGCTTCGCGGCATGGCAGACCGTGGAAATACGTACCTCGGCTCGCGTCATTCACTGTTACTTGAACTGCAGTCCGCCATTGGTCCGAATCGTACGAGAAGAGAGGACGCCGTGCTTGAGGTCCCTGTCACTCCAAATAGTACGCAGAGGCCAACACCATCCACGAACGTGGTTGATGAGCATCCTCCGGCGCTGTCACCGTGGCCATTGCAACAAGATCTACCAACGATGCGGGACATTACTTTCAACTTTGACATCAACGATGACCCGGGACTGTGGGAAGAAGTTCTACATCAGATCGATATTGATATGGATACCGACTGGATTGAGAACACGCTAAGAAAGTGATGATGTTGGACTTCAGTCTCCAGTCATCAGGGCATGCAAATCATAGCTCTGTGATTATGGACATTGGACCGGAGGTGGACATGACCTCATGAACCTTGTGGTGTACTGTGTCCAGCTTGTAATCATGTCTACAACAGCTCGTTTCTTGGATTTCATACCCTTTGACTTACAGCTACCACAGGAAGCGCCTCGATAATTACTGAAGCCTGAATGAATCTTATCAGATGTTCCTATCAGTTCATTATGTACTGTGCACAGACGTCCAAGCCATAACCGACACCCTCCCAACGCCAAAGTGATGCAAACGCTCACCGGAATTCATCATTCAGTTCTGGCGGCTATTCGCCCGAAAGGAGACCTTAGCCACAACATCATTGAGGCATTTGGCAGGGTTTGCTGGCATTCCCTCCGTCCTCCACGCAATATACCCATCTGGTCGCAGGAGCGATGCGCCAGTGGCGGATACTCCCAGTGCCTCTTGGAAGCTACCTTCGCCAGCAAATTGAACATCTCTTCCGATGCAAACATGCTTCAACGAAACCAATGATCTGAGATCTGCCTGAGCCACCACGTCCCCCCACTCTGCCGACTCAGAGACTAGTGCCCATGAGTCCCCACCCACCACATCTAAGATTGAAAAGGGGTTGCCACCTTGAGTGACCCAGAAATGTGGCACATGGGTACCCGGCTGGCCAGCCCATTCGTCTGGCTTCAGCGCTCGCGGGAGGTTATTGCTGACTCCAATGAAGCCCTTCGATAGATACAGTTGTCCAAACTCCATCGCATTATCATCGAGCTTTTTACCGGTGGGCGTGGCCTTGTCGAGGTGGACTTTGTAATCGGCTCGGGCAAATATTTGATCATGGCGAAGGAGGGCCACGGGACGCCGTTCTGCATCGTATGTGTCTAAAAGTTCGGGCGATGACTTGCCCAATAGAACGGCAGCGAGTTTCCAGGCGAGGTTATCAACATCGTGGATTCCTGTGTTTGCTCCATATCCTCCTCGGTTCGGTGGCAGCGTGTGTGCCGCATCACCGGCGAGAAAAACACGCCCTGACTGGAAGGTGTCTGCGACAAGAGCTGCTAAGTCCCAGCGACCGGTCGTAATTATGTCAATCGGTATGTCCGATCTACCGATGGCTTGGTTGATCGCCGAACGAAGGGTGGGCTCATCACGCTCAACGTCATCGTGAAACATCAACACCCACCGGCCGTCATTGTAGGTCGTCATAAACGCTTTGAGATCCGGCTGATCAATATTAAATTGGTGCACTCCCTGCATATACGGCTCCAAGGGAGCACGGAACAGGACACTGCGTATGGTCTGCATATGACCGCGCCCATTCCGTGGGATCTGGAGTAGCTCGCGAACTGTGCTGCGATTGCCGTCTGCGGCGATGAGATACGAGCCTCCGATTTGTGTCTCCTTGCCCTGAGAATCGACCACTATTGCAGTGACACCATTTGCGTTCTGCTCCACGTCTACTACCCTATGTTGTCGCCGGATGTCCGTACCTCTTTCGACGGCTGCCGCTTGGAGGATAGCTTCTAATTGATCCTGTGGCAAGGCCGCTCCGCGGGACGGCGAATATTGTTTCTTCGGAGCAGGTGCTTCTTGGTTTGATTTTTTATCGGAGCTGCCTGTGTCTGACCAGGACGTGCTTTCAAACCATTTGCCTGTCATGCTCTCGACTCTCGCTCTCATCAGATTGAAGTCTTTGGGGACTTCTGGGATTTGATCTGCGATGCCGAGCCGGCGATAGATTTCTACGTCCGCGACGTAAAGCCAATTGCACGTGGGTGCTTCGAGATGCCTGCATGTTTCTCTAGGACAATGGTAGGTACCCTCTGTTTGGATAGACACAGAGCGGCCGAGAGCCCGACGAGGTTGGCCCCAACAATAATGACGGGTTGGTGAACCGAAGGAGACTTCATGATGTGGAATGAAATTAAGCAGAATAAGTCTTTAGATTGAAGCGAGCAACGAGTTATGTCCAGATGATGAGATCTTCATTCAAGTTGTGTTGTAGATTACATTCCACGAGGAGGCTGTTTTCATGTTCTTATACGTTGTGTGGTAGGAGAGGCTCGGGCCCGGGACGCATGCTGTCTTCACCAAATTGCCTTGAGTTCGGACCCGAACATACACCCGAGCTCGGACTTCGGACGATCATCAGTTTTTGATTTTCTTAATACCCCAACAAATATATATGTTCCTCCCAACTCACATCCAAGAACCTAGGGTACTGTAGAGATAATGTTCATAAGTCTCACTGTCCCCGTTGCTTCGTTGGGATAGGTACATCGGATAGGATTGATGTTGAGTGGCCTGTCGTAGGTCGATAGACGGGTCGTCGTAGCTGTTTTGTGGCAGCATGTGCATTACGAGCATTGCCTACCGAGCTATATCTGGCATATACGAACGCTTCAATACTGGGACTATGACCTGATTCTTAGTCCTGGTGGTGAAGCAAACTGGTTTTTTCACCATCATGAGTTGACTTGTTCCGCTTTCGGAAGACAGTGACAAGGAACCCGAACTGCCGATGCTTCTATGGGTATTCGAGAAGGATGTTTTGAGGCCCGTTTGACAGGATTTACTATGTCTCGACTGATTGATATATAAAGGGCGCCCCAAAATTTAATTTAGGCAAGATCACCTTGTGTGTAAAGTGTCAACGAGAGATGCTGCACGTTGTGCCACCAATCTAATGCTACAATACGATATCCTTGAAGTATTTCTATGCTGATTGTAAAGGCCTATAGCTACCGCTCGGTTTAAAGCGCTGTCTCCTAGTCAGATGCCGTGGACCAGTGTGTCGAGAAAATCAATGCTAATTCAATCTCATTGGCCGAGCTGTGAATGAATGCCTGTAAGAGACATTCTCTACCATTGGGTCTGGCATCGTGCATTGGATCCATATCCGGGCCGCTCGTTTCAGAAGCGAGTTATGTTAAGAGAATAGTGGTCGAGGGGTGAGGGTTCACCTCTTGAATGGCTGTAGGAAGCTAAATATCGCAAGATAGGGTCGATTGAGTAGGCTCGCTGGGCGAACACGAATAGGCACACTAGGAGTCTCCGAGCATAGAGGGCCTGGGATAGACTACTCATCTAGGAGCAAAGGGAAAATTGGACACGACCAGGCTGGGGTTCATTCGGAAGGCGTATCAGGCCACTCACCCATCCTGAGACGAAAAGGCGGCTGCCTTGGCCAAACTCATCCCGTACAAATTACCAAACCAAGTATAGAAACTGCTCAGCACCAAGGAGTGCACTAAAGAATATGCGGGTTGCTGATTGGTGTATGGTGTTATTTCCGCGATCCGTTTGTCGTGGCAGAGCTGCAGCAGACACTAGTTGGGTCCCGAGCGGAGCAATGCTGTGCGCAGTGCGCCCATGCATAGGCACCCTTTGAGCCTACTGGGAATGCCCGGGATTAAAGACACGACTGGGAACATTAATCAACTGATGGGATTTCACGCGAGCAGGAACTTGTACCCGCTTTTAGTATCAAGCTAGATTGGTCCAAGTACCTTTCTGCTTGAGACGATGTCGCTTCAAAGTAATCATAGGGTCGTATAGAAGTGGAACCGGTGGAGACCCACGAGAGAAGTGGGCAATCGAAGGGTCGATTGAATTCCATCAGAACGCTTTTGTTGTAATGGGAATGTCTACAATGGCTCGCTTTTGACTTCTGTCGAATTGCTCGACGCTGACCACGAAGGATTAACGACAGTTCACATAGATACATAGTCATAGCGGAGCACCCTGCTCCGTAATAATTATTGTTTCCTTGTACACACGGCTGAGGTACTTACAGTACTTTCCGGACAAGACCCCTAGCCTCCTGCCGGAATTGCTGGCTCAGCCAAAAGTCTCGGCGTACCAATCTCGGCACAGTTTACCAGGGTAACTTATGCGGACAGAAAGGGCAGGCCTGAGCTGATTGTTAAGGATAATGCCGCTTGCATCATCGCCATGCGTGTTTCGCTCCAGAAGCTGTCGCGTCACTGCAATTGACCAGCCATGGCGAAAGTTAAAAGCAATGTTTCTCCCAGCCGTGGTAGCACCGTTTCTCTTGTGCGGGAGTGAGAGAATAGGCCGAACTTTACAGCCCGCGATGGAAGCACCGAAGCAGCCCGTGCAGGCCACCATACTTCAACATCTCAGCCATATCGATCATCGCACAGATGGGGACGTCCGCGCACCGACCTGTATGGCTCAGCCCCAACCGGTACTTACATTAGTGGCTGCCAATTTCTGTTATAGAGTTGGAGAGCAGTGCTATAGGCAAACAACGGGGAATTCGGAGGTTGATCCTTGACCAGTTGTGGTTACCGAGGGAATTAGCGGGCCCGCGGATGTCGGAATGGCTGCAGCGATTGGTGTTGGTGGCCTTGGCGGATCAGACGTCAACCCCGTCGTTGAAGGTTGAAAGGAGGGAATAATGTCAACTTCTATTTTGATTGGCTGTTTCTCTCGCGCAATCTAAAACCCCTGGGGAGCTGCTTTGGTACGGACACTAATGGCCTGCACCGGGATGGTTGCATTGAGCCATTCGCCGGTATGCCATTCCAATGACGGCAATGGCTTTCTGCTCAGGTCTTGTCAGGCCTTGTCTTGTTGGTGGCTTGGGAAGTTGACGGAAGTACAAGGCAGAAAAGTTAATAAATGTGAGCGGAATATGGAAAGTATGGCGATCAGTAAGGATGTGATGGTGTATTGAAGGCGACATCGTGTGGACTGTGGAGGGGGTTTCGCCTGGTCCAGTGATCCAGGCAACCCCAACCAGTATTGGCCTCAGGTTCCGATAATGGACTGTACCACCCTCATTCTGTTGTTTTTTTTTTCCCTTCTTCTTTTTCTAAAACAAACCAACATTCCACTTGATCCTCTGCCTCCAATTCAATTCCAATTCGACAATCATGCATCCACCCTCACTTCCCAACTATCTCCAGATATCGCTCTCTCACCCCCCGCATTATGCCGATCCACTGATCCACAGTGGGTGGAAGCGATAGTGACAGGCGGGGAAGAACGATGAGGGTGGAGTGCTTCCCACCGTCCGTCCAACAATGTTACGGCACCAGATTTAGAATACCCAGCTACTCGTCCGATGCAGACTCCACCAAGACCCAGGGATCGAGAACCTCGCGTTGATTGCCTTACTATACACTATCGACCCTGATTGGCTTTGAGATGCCTGGATATGTGTGGACAAGAGGCGTTATCGGAAGGACGCAAGTGTCTGCTCACCCGGCATAAAAGACCCGCTGATGTCCCCGGAAGTTCGATATTCATATCTTTCCAACCTCTAATTCATTCTCCATTGTTTCTAGCCTTACCTTGCCTATTTTTTATTTTAGGAAACAGTCTGCCTTCGACACCAGCCCTACATAATGATTGCCCCTTCAGAGCCCGTCCCATCCTCCAACTCTGCTGCAGCCCTAACCCAATTCTTTCCCGGTGCGGACTTCAAGGATGCTTTCGATGAGAAGGTGATCTTGATTGTGGGTAGGTAATTCCCTTTGAGCTCCACTAGGTGCCCAACCTAACCTTCTTTGCGATAGGTGGTGCCAATGGCATTGGAGCTAGCCTTGTTGAGCTCTGTTGCCAAAGCGGCGCTCATGTCTGCATTGGCGATATCGATATCGCCCGAGGAGAGGCCCTAAGCAAGAAATGTCGGGACAAGTGGCCTGTCTACTGGGACCCTGCCCTTCCACCCAAGCCTCCCCGAACCTCCTTCTACACCGCCGACATCACCGATTACCAGGCTGTTGTCTCCCTCTTTGACCGTGCATTCAAGACCTACAAGCGTATTGATCATGTGGTTGTCACAGCGGGCAGCATGGAGGCGGGCAACAATTGGTTTGACCAAAAGTTGAGTCTGGAGTCGGTGCAAGAGGTAAGTCCTTGCCTAGACATGCTCATAAGAGGGTAGTGTTCTGAGCTTTCACCAGCCTCCTTCTATGAAGGATATCGACGTCAACCTCATCGGTTCTCTCTATGTCACCCGTATTGCGAGTGTCTACCTCCGCCATAACCGTGGACCAGGAGTGGATCGATCCATTCTGTTGTTCTCCTGCGCTGCTGGCTTCAAGGAGACACCTGGCGTGTCTATCTATCAGGCCTCCAAGCACGGTGTGCAAGGCCTCATGCGCTCTCTTCGCCCCTATTTCCCATCGCCATACAAACACAACCTCCGTATCAATACCATCTGCCCCTGGATGACGGAGACCCGCACTATCCTTACAAAAACAGTGCACGACCGCTGGACAAAGGAAGGCTTGCCCGTGAGCACCCCTCAGGAGGTAGCTCTCGTTTCTGCTGGCGTGTTGGCCAACGACTCTCTGAATGGGACATCCATGTACGTGGAAGGGGGTCGTGCGTGGGAGATCGAAGCCAATATCGATCGCTTAGAGCCGGAGTGGCTGGGAGAGGAACCGTCCAAAACGCTGGCGTTGGGGCAGAAGGTTCTGAATGACGCATGGGCTGCGTAGAGAATTTACCATACTGAACAAGTTGCATGTTTGGTCATGGATGTGTTACCAATTGATACCCATTAACGACCACGAGAATGACTGGGCTATTCTAATGGAAAAGTTAAAGAACGTTGTAAAGTCCTATGATGCAAAGCTGTTCGACATTGCAATTTTTAATCCACCATTTCTGAATTTTCGCTGCTAAACTAAGGTCACAAGTGTGTCCAAGCAGGACAGATTATGTAGTACAATTTTCAGCAAAACTGGGCCGTGAAGCCGCCAACACATCTCATGAGTCTGGGTTTATGGCCCAGTTTCGTCCCGTTGCATTCACCTGAAGCAACCGACTCTTGCTCAATATGTAGCAACTGCCATGTTATTATGGCATTAGAGTTTTGCGCAATACCCGCTTTTTGAACCACGGGCACGAATGGATATCTTCCTGTGGTATCCTGCACCTTGCTGCTCTTTCTTGGCGCTCACCACAAAACAAGCAATGGAGCTGAATACCCAAAATGAAGGCTCAATTCAGGAAGTACATAAAGCGGTGTCCAAGAATGCCTTGATGGTTGCTCAAGGGCATGATGTCACATCAGCATTATAGAGGGATGTTTAATTCGTTTCGTGAACCTCTGAGCATCTATATAAACAGGTGGAAGCGATAAGGAAGTGGAGTTGAAACCTCAATCCATTGGACCCGAACAACCACATCCCCACTGTTATACTCAGCACCCTGCTGTGGAATCATGGCCAGTGAAACTGTCTTAATTACAGGTGCATCAGGCTTCATCGCCACCCATATCGTCGAATCGTTCCTGCGTGCCGGTTACAATGTCCGCGGCACAGCTCGATCCGAAAAAACGGCCAACAAGGTCCGCCATACCTTCCAGGAGTATAAAGACAAGTTGAGCTTTGCCATTGTGCCTGATGTCGTTGCTGCGAAAGCCTTCGATGAGGCCATCGAAGGAGTCATTGGTATCATTCACACCGCGGCGCCCTTCCAAACGGAAGTTGAGAACAAAGAACGAGATCTGATGCGACCTGCCATCGATGGAACGATCAACCTTTTGGATTCTATTAAGAGAAATGGCCCTCAGGTCCGCCGAGTCATCCATACGTCTTCTTTTGCCGATATAATGGATATGTCAAAAGTAGACCGGCCAGGCCACGTATACACGGAGGCAGACTGGAATCCGATGACATATGCAGAAGCCATAAATGAAAGTACTCCTGACATGTTATCTTACTGCTCAGGAAAGACTATGGCGGAGCATGCAGCGTGGGATTTCATGGCCACAGAGAGCCCTCCATTTGACCTGGTCACTATCTGCCCGCCGTACGTGTTTGGTCCGGTCAAGAACGCTACAGCAAGCCTGGTTAACCTGAACACTTCGTCTATGGATATATATCGCCTCATGTCACCCATGTCAAAGCCAAGCCACGCTATGCCACCAACTTCCGTGTGGGCATGGGCGGATGTACGTGACGTTGCTGAAGCGCATCTAAAAGCCTTTGAGATCCCCGAGGCCGGAGGACAGCGATTCTTGGTTTCTGGAGGCAAATACAGCTATCAGCTAATAGCTGATATTCTCCGACATAGGGTGGCGGAAGTGAGAGATCGCGTTCCATTGGGTAAACCACGATCCGGACTACACGATGTCTATGGCACCGATGCATCCAAGTCAGAGAATGTGTTAGGGCTGAGGTATCGTCCCTTAGAAGACTCGATAGTCGATGCGGCAAGGTCCCTTCTAAAGCTGGAGCAGGCGAATTGACATTGTACTTCATTATTGTTAGTTACGCTTATAGTATTTCCTTATCCACCAACAGGGTTTATTGATTTTCGGTACGCTCTGGAGGTCCTGTAGATGCAAGGCTTGATCTATAGGGGCCGTGAAGCAATTACCAATTCAGCGAGTAAGACATTGAATTCTACACGTAGAAATACCCGCTTACCTGTCCATGGCGATCTTCTGGAGAGCGGATGCAATTATTACTCGGGATCGCACTTCGAACGGTCGCCACTACCGACATTACAATCTATCCCGAATCTAAAGCGCCTCGCCTTCCATACTCTATATCTCGCATACAACAATCAGAGGATGGCCGAACTGAGGCTTAGTCTGGGGCTTGACTGCGGCATAGGGATGTGCTGATATCACATAATGTGGTGGAGTCTCAACCTCCAAAATGAATGCAATATGGATCCCTGGAAACTGGTTCAGATCAACTACCGAGATGGATTCGACATGTATGTTTGCACATGTCGACCGCACCAAAGCCGCTGCGCCTGCGGTCGGCATGTACCGGATGCCAATGCGGCCAAGGTAAGGAGCGCGACCGACCGACCGGATTTAAATGGCAGAGCATAACAGTGCTGCATTGACAGGTACGCTGTCTGCAGGACGGACTCACTTGCGAATGTCGGGTGTCGATGGTGGACAAAAGACCGGAGATCATCCCCCAGACACGACTTCTCTTCCCCAATGAACGACGTCGCACTCCTCTCTGCATTATTCCCCACTCTCCGGCGTCCTCTCCGCGGATAACTCAGCGGCCCTTTTCACCATAAGCGACTGTCGCGCTGAAGTATCTGAAATTCCTTCTCAAGGTGAGAGTTGAAGGATGTTAGAGTATCTTCCATTGTTGTTGGATAGAGTGGACCGTCGCTTAGCTATGTATCTTGGAAGGTAATGGCCGTACTGCATGGGGTGGAACACTGTGAAAAGGTTCACGAGTCAATGAGTCCCTCAGGATCCACCAAGGATATGGATGCATTCTAAATTCGGATCCAATGGGACAGCCAAAGCCCGTATTGGTAACCAACGGATCTTTCGACGACCACCAAGGCATTGAGCTTCATGTATAGGATTTCCACACTGTCTAGTACGTCTAAACCCCTGATGGTCTAGTTGGATATGACGTCTGACTGTAATGGTATTCATAACTTTGTAATCAGAAGGTCGCTGGCTCGATTCCGGCTCGGGGGACGACAAATTTTTTGGCCGGGTAGTGTAGTTGGTTCGAATCTCACAGTTACCAAACCTATGTTTAGGACCACACTGGAGGCGACATTGACTAGATATATACGCCCAGAACTAGAAAAAGGTTTAGGGGATTGGAGCATAGTTTCTTTATATCTTTCCCCTTCCCTGTCTCTGTACTAAGTGCCCTAGATGCTTTCTACCGATTTTTTCATCACCGTGATTGACATTTATTTCTACTAACGCAGAACGATTTATGTCCTTGAGTGGCGTTCTTTGTTTCTCTAGTTAGAGATACATTCAACATTGTCGTATATATGACAACTTCATGGCATTCCATCACAATCACTGGTCTATTCAGTCGTGACTCGTAACATAGATTAGAGCAGTGGCTATCTGACGGCAATAAATGTCTCTATGATAGTACAATATAAGACAAGATGATAGATGTATTGATAAATGCAAATCTAAGCCTTCGCCGGCCGAACCATGTAAATCTGCACAAATCCCTCCGTGATCTGATTTGATCCCACAACCTGGAATCCCTTCTTTTCATACAAGGGCTTGCCGGCCATAGTCGCTGTTAGGAAAGTGGGCTTACGCTCGATATCAGCCTCCTCCAGTCCCCAGCCCAAAAGCTGACTGCCTATGCCCCGACCACCATAGTTTGGGTGAGTCGCAAGCATATCAAGTGCTGTTTGTTATTGATACTTAGTATATCTACAACGGAGACTTTGGGGTAAAGGTACATACACAAATGGGGGGTCGATCCCATAAACTCCTTCTCTTTCTCATCTATCGCCTTGAAATGCTTCTCACACAGTGCCGTATCACCACTTCTCGGCCACGCCACTTTCTTTTCCTTCTCTACATTCTCACCCGGCGGGGGCAACTCAGTAGAAGGAAGCTTCCACTGTGCAAATCCAACAACATCACCGGTTGTCGTATCGACCGCCTTAATGAGCACCGAGCCAGTGGGATTCACATATTGGCCAGTACTGATGCGGTTGAATTTGGCGGCGAGCCAATCCCGGACATCCGGTGTAGGAGGGAGGATGCGACGGTCAAAGTCGGTGTTGAATGCGGCGAAGAAAATGTCAGCTAGGACTGCTCCATCATCGGAGGCAGTTGTCAGGATTTCAATTGGCATTTTTGGTATTACCTCTGTTGGTGAACATCGAGGGAGCGCAATCTAGAAGATTTTCACCGTCCGTACGTCATTTGAGTCAAAGTGGGTCGCCCGCTTTGTTGCCTAGTTCAAAAGAATGGTTTCAAGTGTAGAGACTATTTCCGTCAAAACAATTGAACTCATTATATTCGGTTTTGTTTTTTCTTCATTTTTCTTTGTTTTCTTCCCTTCTTTTCTTTGATGGGTGTGATATGCGGTGCCAAGGCAACTGCCCCGAAGGTTGCTACCAAAACAACAATTTAATCCATGAAACACGACACCATTAGAATGTACGTCGTAAAGAGGTCTTCATTCTATCCAATTCTCCAAGTATAATGAGGCTCAAATTGCAACTCTAATGGAGGGCTGGAATCCATGTTTCGGGTACGTTGAATGTAGTGAAAATTGCCCACTGTCTGATATATATAATGGACGACAGAGGTCATATGACTCGTGAATCTCTGAACCTTTCGAGAGCTTCAGACCTCAGCTCTTGAGCCATACTGGTCGAGGGCCTATCTTGGTCGCGCTCACAAACACCATCATCGCTCGAAGAGGACTGTGTAAGGCCTTTCTTGCTCTGGATGATGTACGAGATTTAGATCCACCATTTATTCTGGTTGGAAGCCTGACGGGGTTTACCCGAAGGCTTGGCATTTTCTCATTTTCAATTGGTTTGGACTCTCAAGACAGCCAATTGTTGCAACTTGCACGTATTCCTTAGTCTCGAGCCTCTGGAATTGTTGCCAGTGAAGACAGACGCAGTGTGGCTAATAACTGGATGTTTGGCTTAGCATGACCGTACCGAGAGGGATCTGGGGAACTTGACATACGGCCTCCTGTAAAGGCTGGATGAGCTGGCTATCACAGACATCCTAAGTGCGAATGGTTGATCATTCCATAGCGTAGTGGATCTAAGTCAATGCCAAATTGGATTGGAAGACAATAGATCATGCCTGATAGCACGACAGAAGCGATGACTTTTGGGGATACGTTGACGGATCCAACGGCCACCTTAAGCGGTTGACAAGCTCAATTGAGAGTCTTTGCATTGTGTCTCGTGACCCTTGAGCGAATAAAATGCATATTTTCACTGCTCTTTCCATAGGGGTAGAGAAACCAATGAAACGGCCGGGGATACCTGCCTTCGGCTAAATTCTTTGGCGACCAGATGCGCTCGGAATACTTGAAATAGAATATGCCATTCATACCTTCTACCCCCATACTAAGAATGGAAAGCAGTCAACGGCAGTTATACAAACTTGCTCACTCATGTAGCCAACTTACCTTCCACCAAGAAACCAAGAACCTCGACAGCCCCAATCATGAGCAAACATACCCCCAACACCAAAGCTATCCTGAGGGATTCCTACAAGTATGGCAGCTCATTCTTCATTACAGAGTCGCATAAAAACACACAAGTGTTCAAAATATACCTCTTGGGTTCCCCACTCAGAAACTCTCTGGCACCTCTCCTACACAATACCCTATTCTCCTTGTCAGGAGCAGCCTGCACATACGAAGCAATTGAAACAGACAACAACGTCAGGCTCTTAGAGCTACTCGCAAAGCCAGACTCTCTTGGTACGGCCGTGACCATGCCCCTCAAAGTCCGCTCCATGGACTCGGTGGACACGGTAACCGACGAGGCACGATCCATCGGTGCCATTAACACTGTCTTTATCCGGCGTGATGATGATGGCCGCCCACACCTGATCGGAACCAACACGGACTGCATTGGAGTGAAAGAATCATTTCTGCAGAACATTGACGCCGCAGATCTTGCTTTTGGCTCCACTCAACCTGGTCTAGTTATTGGGGGCGGGGGTGCATGTCGCTCTGCGGTTTACGCTCTTAATTTCTTTCTGGGAGTCAAAACAATATACCTCGTGAATAGATTCAAGGAGGAGGTAGGTGATATCATCGACTCATTCCGGCGAGTACCAAGTTTCACGGCGGAGCTTCGGTTTGTCGACACGATGGAATTCGCAGGAGAGCTCTGCAAACCGTACTTGGTGGTTGGTACCGTTCCTGACCGGGAACCCAAGACAGAGGCGGAGACTCTCACAAAGAGGATTGTGGAAACTTTGATGGGATGTGAGGCAGGTCTACTGAAGAACCAGGGAGTCGTGTTGGAAATGTGTTACCATCCTCGCGTGCAAACTTCCTTTTATCAGCTCGCGGAGAGAAATGGCTGGCGAGTCATTCCCGGGACCGAGGCGATGATTTGGCAGGGAATTGCACAGCATATTCTGTGGACCGAGAACGACCAAGTCTTTGATGAAGAATCTACGCTGTCTATTATACGCGGTGAAGTCAGGGATGCTCTGCTGCAGAGGGACTAGGCAAACCGTCCGGATTCATGGGTTTAGCAGGGGCGTATCCTGCATTTATACTAGATTGCATCTATATCTACGAATAGATCTTAACTGTAGGAACAACATTAGAACGAGCAAAACCTCTCTCAGTGCACAACTTTTGGGCGGCAGTATACACCTACCTCCTTGACTTTGTACCTATGCTAGTCATCCGTCAAAATACATGATACTGGAAATCGAAATAGCAAGGGGGCCTCCAAGTAACCCTCAGCGTGATTATCAACTCCATATTCCTATCGGCTCAATCAATATCCGACGGCTCAGTCCACAACCGTACTTTCAGCACCCAACACTCTATAATACACCCTACATCCTTGTCCATACCCCAAACTCAAAGCCAAACACCCTTTTCCAAATCCAAAATGCCCTCAATCCTCCTCCTGAACGGCCCAAACCTCAACCTCCTCGGCACCCGCGAACCCCACCTCTACGGAACAACAACCCTCAGTGACGTCGAAACAGCCGCCAAAGAGCTAGCAGCCAACTACGGCGCGGAAGTGGAATGTCTCCAATCCAACCATGAGGGTGTGCTGACTGACCGCATCCATGAAGCAAGAGGGAAAGTGCAGGCGGTCGTCATCAATCCGGGCGCCTTTACGCACACCAGTGTCGCGCTGCGGGATGCATTGCTTGGTGTTGGGCTTCCATTTATCGAGGTTCACATTACCAATGTTCATGCAAGGGAGACGTTTCGGCATCATAGCTATTTGTCGGATAAGGCGGCGGCTGTTATCATTGGGTTGGGGACTTTTGGGTACCAGGTTGCCGTGAAGCACGCGTTGGAGAATTTGGCGGGGTTGGGTGAGAGGAAGTGAGTTGTGTTTGTATAGTTGGGTATAGCTGGGGAGTTGAGTTTAGGGTTGGGAGGAACCCTTTGATGCTTGTATATATATGGTTTCATTCGAGTAGCATGAGGAACGGAGTAGTATATTGCTGTCTTTTGGTCCAGACGAGACTTACAATGGGTAGCTGCCAGATACACCGAAGTATATTAATAGAAGGTGTTCGTTCTGGAATTATTGATATCATATCTATCTAGTAAAGGCAAATCTCCAGACAAAAGCATGCGTATAATATCAGGTCAGCGTGAGAAGCACCGACACATCCAACTAATACATCACTGCCACCCGTATCCTCCTGTGATGATCAAACAGCCCTATCTCGAATCGACTGCTGAATGGCACGTCTCATGACATGAACTGGCGCTGGTCGATTTGTAAAGAGCTCGTACTGCGCGATACCCTGCTCGACTAGGACCGACAGGCCATCCACAATGATCCAACCTCGAGATATATGTTCCCTCATCGACTTTATTAGGCGCGTTTCCAGGGGGTCATAGGCAACCTATAGCTGTTAGTACAATATATTCTGCCAGTTAGCCAAAGTCCTCACCTCAACGAAGACGCCGCCAGTTTTGCTTTGTAACCATTGGTCGGGAATGCGCAAAGCACTTGATAATTCAATACCACACTTCTGCCCAGGAATACACGACACAATGATTGTTGGTTGGCGAAGGTGAGTTGGCCAGGGATCATCCGGTGATGAGAGTATGGTAAGGTGTAAAGGGGCCTTATTCTTCGATTCCACCCAGTTACGATAGTAGTCGACAAGTCGTCGAGCATTGGAAAAGGTTCGGTTGTAGACACATATGTGCCTCACACCAAGCTGGTAGCTCGCGTATATGGCAGCATGGGCCATGCCGCCCGCACCGATGATCAGGGCAGTTGATCCATCACGGATGGCATTTGCTGGGGAAAGGTGCTTATAGATGCAATCTTGGATTCCAAGATAGTCCGTGTTGTAGCCCTTGCGAATAGTTTTGCGTATTCCATTTGGTTGGTACTCATGATGCAGGACCACTGTATTCACAGCGTTGATGTCTAGGGCCTCTGGGCTTATCTCGTCTAGGTACGGAAGAACTTCGGTTTTGTAGGGAAGTGTTACAGCTACACCTCCATAGTTCTCGTCGTCCAAGATTTCGCGAATGTCAGATAGCCTCTCTCGTTCTGCTGTACCATATGTATATGGTAGTCCACACGCAGCGTAGGCGGCATTATGCATCGTCGGTGACAGTGTATGCGATAGCTGTTGCCCAAAAATGCCAAATATCTTCCTGCGACGTAGGAAACATGCTGACACGGCCATCTCCGCTTCCCGCAAGGTAACACCTGTCGATCCCATGGTGTCCAGCACTACCGGCGACAATGTTGGATTTAAGCAGACAGAGGTGCGCCCAAAGAGCCCCGTATCATATGCGATGGTGGGTATGAGAGGGTCTTTGGCGCCACTGTGTGGAAGAGATATACCGGGGAAAATGTCTCCGGGTGCTGTCGATTCGCCGGTTATTTGGACTGCATCGAAACCAATGCTTTGTGCTTTATCACGGAGGGTGAGAAGCTCGGGAAGTGATTCATTCCCCGCTAACGAATATTCCTGGTGATAGGTGGCTATGGCCTTGATATAACCTTTGGCAGCAACTACCTCCTGCGCCAGGTCATCCCCATGAGCTAAGGAGCAAGTGATAGCATCCGGTATGCTGCGTAAAGCAACCCCCAGGAGGTTGCGATAGCTTATTATATCTGGTAGAGAGAATGGAATGATGTCTACGATCACCAAGGCCCTCGAGTGCCTCCTAAGCATGGCCACCGCTTTTGCGACTGCTTCGGCTGGCCTTCTGCCCTGGAAATCCGAAAGCTGAACCTTCAGGTTTATTGCATCCGCCCCATTCTCAATTTCATAATAGGCTTCGAACTGTCCCTCTAAGCAAGCCATTGGCAGCTGTAAAGCATATGTGTACGACGCAGAGAAGGGATCCGCTGAATGACGAGTCCTCTGTTCACGGCCCCAGATGCGATGCAGAAACCTTACGAATGTCCTCTCTGTCTCTTTCAGCTTGAGATACGCAGGTAGTGCCGAACGAGTCTCATCGGTCGAGCCTTCTGTGACGTTGTAAAATTCCAGGTTGGAACAGGATTCAAAGAATGCATTTCCAGCCTCCCACATGCGCTCGAACTTGTCCTGGCTAGTAGCGATAAGCTGCTGCAAATCGCGTCGGTCTCGGCGGATGTAGAGCACTGGGTGACGAGAAGCGAACTCCTCCAACAGTACCTGCTGTTGTCTGCTTGCCAGCCAACCGAGTCCAACAACCACACATCCTTTCGGATGTTCAGTTAAAATCTCCTCGGTCACGTCTAGCTCAAGTTTGCGATATCGTTCCGACCCGTGCGTGGCAATGTAACCATGCGGAGGCATACCGTGCCTTTGCTGAAAAAAGGCGGCAAAGTCAACAAGCTGTCGGCGCAACGCCACAGCTGCCATGATTCCTAGGGTTTTCTTGCCCGCTCCAGGAAATCCGACCAGCACCAGGCTAGCATCCGAGCTATATCGTCGAGAAGACGATGGCAGTCCATTGTAGTGCGCATTGCTACTAGATGCTTGAAAGCTCATCATCGGTGCACGTATATTCAAAATGAATCACATTTTTGAATCCGTACAATGTGAGATCGTTTGGATCTTGATCGTTAAGAGTTTCGAATGCTCCATCGGTTAATTCCATAGCCGATCACGTGCGTCCATCGATATCCTCCTTGTTTGGATATACGACGATGACCTCAACTACTAGCGAGTATACCATGCTGGTGGTCTCAGTCCAGCATATTCACAGAGATGCCAAGATCTCATCCAAACAAGCGCCAGCGGATTAGTCGTGCTTGTGACCAGTGTCGTCGCCGTAAATCCAAATGCGACGGGGAACAACCAGAGTGTGCGATCTGCCGCCAGGCTGGCCGGCGATGTACGTACCAGGACAATGGTCGACGGCGCGGATTGCAAACCGGCTACGTCAAAGCCCTTGAGACAGTACTGGGAATCGTTTTCCAGCAGATTCCTGACAGTGAAAGCGCGGTTCAAAGCTTTCTTCGTGACCCTCAACATCACGGCGGCTTTTTCGCCACCGAATTCGCAGAAAAGTGTACGACGACATGGCGCAATTCCAAAGTAGCCAAAGGTGTGGGTCGCCTATTAGCACCTGAATCACAAGACGAAATATACGACCCTCTTGGTGATGATGATGATGACCACCAATGGGAGTCTTGCGATACACATAGTCCGGAGCGGGCGACCCTCACCCCAATGAATGTCCCGAATGCTGATACGGACCCTATCCTACCTTCTCCTCCACCACAGCCAGCTACATCCGATGACATTTTAAGTTTGCCATTCCCAGATGACGTGGCGGAGCTGGTGGACTTCTACTTTGTTCACATTCAATGTTGGTTCCCTATCCTCGACCGACGTGAGATCCTGAGGACTATGCACGGTGACACTTCTTCAAAGAATCATGACGCAGGCTACCCATTAGTCCTATGGGCCATTATTGCATATGTGCAACTGATGCGAGAAGGAGCAAGTTTGGAGGCTTGTTCCGAGCTGAAACATATAGAAACCTCCATACGCGTGCGCCTGATGCTGGATTTCAACAATCTAGAATTGAGCCACGTTCAGACCCTTCTCATTGTGGCTCTCCTGAATGTTGGACGTGGAAACCTAAATCAAGCCTGGGTGCTCATCGGTCAAGCTATGAGGGTTGCCGTTACCCTCCCTGAGACGGCAAGAAAACCGAGATACACGCACGTTTTTCAAGGTTGTGTGTTCCTTGATAACATGGTTTCTGCACTTCTCGAAAGGACTCCATGCCTTTCTTTAGAGGAACAGAGCGAAAGTCAACCCGTCGCGGAGGACGATCTGGAAGAATGGGAGACCTGGACAGCTCCTGGTCAAGCCTCGAGCCAAAAAACTACTCAGAAGGGACCATTGCGAGCCTTAAGCATGTTTAATCTGGCCCATCAACTCATGCAGTTACTGACCCAAGTCTTATACTGTCCACCACGACAAGAGGCTATACAGCAAACTGTCGCCAAGTTAAGGGACTGGCAAGCGATTCTTTCAACACGCTGCCCATATCCAGCGCGCCACTCACCTAACCCTCCATTGCTGAATTTACACCTCACGTCGGCCTTTGTGACGTTGTGCTTGGTGAGCAAATGTCACTTCGATGATGTGGCCATTACCGAAATGGCACTGCATGGACTACGAACGTGCCTCGATTTGCTTGATCATTATATTGAGATCACAAGCGAAACAAAATCCTCTCCACTTCTGTATTGGTTCTTTTTCCAGGCACAACGATGCTTACGCACAAGTTGTCTGATTAGCGGTTGTGGTGAAGAGGATGTGTTGCAAAAGCGTTGTGGCCAGCTCATGGGTAAACTGAAATTGGCCAGTCCCACGCGTTTCAACAGATCATATACAGGTCACACGCGACCAGGCTGGAATGTAGAGGACATGGGCCATCTGTTTCCTGGGATGCACACCTTGAATCATGCATTTACTTCGCACATACCGGCTAACATGACTGGCCATGCAACTGCCCCCATCATCAATACTACCAGCATTCGTGATCCTCCGAGCTACCCGATCTCGGGGCTCTCTGACACACCTGAATTGACAGTAGCACCTACCATTCCTACCCCAATTTCTCCCATTCGTCGACAAACGCCGCATCTACTAGATGAAACGGGAAACTTTGACGCTTTGTTTGAAGAGATGATTGCCTCCATTACGCCGATGAGGTATGCTTCAAGCTATCCAGGACCCTGGCAGTTCCAACCCACGCTAACAATTTACAGCCACGAACCTACATTTGCACATAACTTGGGCTTCCATGCTGGGAACCTGGTGACAGACTTTGTTGCCGAGCTGCAGCAACCAACGCACGATTGATGCTCATCTGTAATCCTTGATTATACGAATGCAACTAGGAAATACCGTCCACATAGTAGATACACAGCGAGTCAACCTAGAGATCCAGCTCTTCCGCCAGCCTCTTCCAAGCACTGATACCCCGTTGTGCATGTGTCTCCGGCACCGTTGAAGCCGGATCGGCCATCGACCTTGAAAACAGTTCCATTGATACCCACCCCTCAAAGCCAAGGCCTTTCAAGAATGCTTCAGCTACTTGTACTACTGGGAGATAACCGCCACGCTCTTGCTCATAGAGGAATAGTCTGGCGTTGCGACTCCAGCTCATTCGCGCTGGCTGTCCTTCGACGTAAAACGGATGACCCTCGATCAACGGCTGTTGCATTCTTTCTGCGTCGACAACCTGAACGTAAAACACCTTGTTCACATCGACCGTCCGAACAAGGTTCTCTAATGATGCGGCCAATGCTGCGTCTGCACCTGGTGTCTTACCAGAGACACTGGCAGGGTCAGCCCATACCCGTCCGGCGATGTTGAAGGTGTCCAGGCAACACCCGAAATTGGGCCGGTCCACGCGCCGAACCACCTCCCATAAACTCTCCCACGTTGAAATGAAAGTACCCCAGGCGAGATTCTCGTACGCAAACCGGACGACGGGCTCCTCTTTCAGTCCCAGGTCTGCGACTTCGATCATGTCGGAAACAATCAAATCCAGATCACCCGATATTCCGTCAGTTTGAAAGTTAGAAGGTATTTGGATGATATCGGTGCCCAGAATCTTGACTATGGCAAACCACAGCTTAAGACGCTCGATCTTTTCCCGGTGCTGGGCTCGATCCGTTAAGCCTTCATAAAACAAGAATGGTTGCATTCCAATCACTTTAAGGCCATGGTGGTCGCAGATTGCTCTCGTTTCTTGAGCGGCAGAAAGCAAGGTTGACTCATTAATGGGCCCTTTTTCTTTGGCAAGATATTCCAAATCTTCGTAGAATATTTCGACCCCTTTGAATCCTTCTTTGGCTGCCTGAGCAAGCTTCTCGGAGAGAGAATGTACCCAGGCTCTTCCCAAGGACATGGATGCGATTGCTGGTGCACATGGCATTTTGGCGTATCAACAGGGAGAAACAACAGCTAGTTACGTGCAGAAATATGTAATTAGTCCACAATTATAAATGAAATCGCAAAGAATGTATAGTATGATCCGAGCCACTGGCCCTGTACATATATTGGTTGGTAACGGCACTATTCTTAACCGAACTTGAAGAATCGGAAGAATGGCCGATCGTCTATCTACAACTGCATAATTACCAAAAGAAGGTTCCTCAATTTAGAAATTGATTGCCGGACTTTCCTTGGTTGCCTTGCGAAGCACGGTCCAGGCCTCATTCACAGGGATTCTATTACTTTCTTCCTCGCTGCACCATAGCCGATACTGCTCATGGATTTGGTGGCCAATGATCTCGGTTCCCTCAACGGTCCTCCAACCGTTTGCCTCCCCAGCTTGCAGAATCCGCGTATTTCGTGGCTTGAAGCACATATCGAGTAGAACGCCCTTCTCTTGAGGGGTTGACAAGAATGATCCAATGATTTGGTGAACCTGAAGCTCATCCGGGGTGCTGGGTTCGGCATCCGGAACAGTCCCCACGATGTAATACGGCGATGGAAGAGTAGTGACCTGCTCGACGTGTTCCACGTAAATGATTTCCAAGCTATCGCCATACACCTTTTTTGCTTCGTCTAAGAGGACCTTGACTTCATCGTGGTCCCTATTCACGAGATAGATCTGATGACATTCTAGTTGGTCGTGCAAGGTGAATATTGCCGCCCGCGCAGCTCCTCCAGCCCCAATGAGCACCGCCGGCTTTCCCCTGCCTGCTGCGCTTGCTCCCAGCAAACATCCCTTAATTCCTCGCCAGTCTGTATTGGTACCTCTTAATTTTCCTTCAGACGTCCGGTATACATTGTTGCACGCTCCCAGCCGGATAGCGTATTCGTCTAGACCGTCCAGGTGGTCCATGATGGTGCGCTTGTAAGGCATAGTCACCACTCCACCAGCGAAGTCAGATCGTCGAAACAGTTGCACAGCATCTTCAACTGTCGGACACTCTTTCGCCAGAAATGTCCAGTCATGGCCTAGTGCGTTTGCGATGTAGTTGTGCATGGGCGGAGCGATAGAGTGGGTCACTCCAACACCAACGAGGTATGCATAGGCACGGGGATCTGTTTCTGAAGGCATTGTGAAAGATGCAAATGAAGCAATGCTGAACCGATAGAGGCAATGATTCCTGTGCAGGGTAATGTGTGCTGTGGTAGATGCTACCATATCTTCTTATGCATAATACATCGGCTGTGTATACATCCGATCCGGATGGGATTTAGCCGACTACCAGACATCGATGCGTCTTGGTCCCCAGAAGTATGGTTCCGCACGTGTAATCATTTATTATTGTCTCTTTGCGTTGACCCCCTTGCTTCTCTAGAATTCGAACAAAGCCTCACCTACTATTCCCCGAACATATCTCGCTTCAAAATGCCCGACCTTCATTCTCTTCCTGCTGGCACACGGCCAGAAAATGCCATCCGCAACAACGGGCCACCCCAGCTGGCCCTGGAGCGCTATATGCTCCGCGAGCTGGCAGAGGGATGGCCATGCTATCGCGACGCCTGCGAATGGGAAAACCTACGCTCCATCTTCCACCCCGAGGCACACATCTACACAACGTGGACCGGGTTAACCCACCATCTAAAGTTCATCGAAGCCTCCCAAGCCGGAATGGACAAGAGAGCCTTCATCATGCACCGAATCCATGGAAGCACAACCGATATCGACCCGAATGCCACCCGTGCCGTAACAAAGATGAAGGCAACCATCACGCAGCGGTTTAGCGGTGTCAGCTGTGTATCCGGCGGGGCATGCGAGGCTGATGCGGAAAGCGACTGTCGGTTTATTTTTTCTGGGAAAAGATGGCGGATCCTGCCTATCCTGATCTGCAGGGACAGTGGCGGGCTCGGTTTGTCCGGCACTGGTATGAGAAGGATAAGTTGATTCCTGTTAATCCGGGACGTGTCCCGGTTCTGGACGAGGAGAGGCTGCAGAAGTACCCTCCTGGGTATAGGTATTTGGCTTATATGCAGGAGGAAACAATGGGGGTGAAGGTACTCTTGGATTTGCCTGGTCACCGCAGGGAAGGGTCGACTATTAACGGGCAAAAGCATGACTTGCTGTACTTCCAGGCCCGGGATTGGATGGAGGGAAAGGAGGTCGACTGGTAAATGTACGTCGTGTGCTGTTAGGTTTGGTAGAGATCTAAGGGATTTGGGCTTTCATCATATATCTTTCCATAGCAGTAAATGACTATTGTCGACGGGGGTCATCTTGAACTCTAGCTCATTCAGTATAGGTTTGTATCTCCCAACAGCGTGTAGTTGAGATATAAAATGGGTACATGGCTGTAACCCACACTATGCGTCATGTCTGACAGAAGATCAAGGAGACACGCGAGCCCACAATAGAAAGCTGTCAACATTACTCGCTAAATTCACATCATCCTTCTACCTATTCATATGGGAATTCAATCCACACATCTATTGCAATGTCCTAGTTGCATCTCTGCTACAATGACGAGGTCACTCCGGCCTTGCTTCCTGTCGCAGCCTCAACAGCATTCCTCATAACGGCCTCCGGTGCATCCAACCCCGTCCACAAGCGAAACTGCTCAAACCCTTGTCGAAGAAGTACCTCTACCCCATCGGCTGTAATCCATCTGGGGTTCTCCCTCGCTACAGCCAGCAAGTTCGTCACTCTTGCTTATACGCCATCTCAATGCAGAGACCCTTCTCATTTCCAAACAAGCCCTTGAATGCATCCTGCGACATAGCGTCCCCGGGAACAGTCCCAATAATCACATCCGGAGCCTCGGGCAGCACTGATGGAAACTCGACCGGTATAACTGGGCATAGATCCTCGAAATCCCGCGCAATTTGCTCCGCCTTAGCCAGCGTCCGATTACCAACATAAATCCGCTCAATTCCAGCTTGAGCCATCGCATAAACACCGGCCCTCGCTGCGCCTCCAGCCCCAATGACCAGTCCAACTTGCTTGCCCTCCCCAGTGGCATGCTCCTTGATCAGGGAATAAAGACCTGACCAATCTGTGTTATCGCCATGAATTTGACGTTTCGATGTTCCGTCTTCAGTGTCAATGAACCGAGCAATGAGGGTATTAATTGCTCCAAGCCGAGTTGCAGAATCAGCGACCTGGGCACAGAACTCCCCGGCGCTCAGCTTATGGGGCATTGTCACACTAGAGCCGCCGAAGGCTGGGTCTTCGATTAAGGGCTTGACGTCTTGAAGACTGTTACATTCTTTGATGTCGTATCGGTGTGGGAGGCCGTAGTGCGCGAAGGCGGCATTGTGGATTGTGGGTGAGAGGCTCTGGGATATTCCCTGGCCGAAGATGTGGTAGTGCTGTGCCGTTGTGGTAGGCATTTTGTTCTGTGAGTAGCAATTGCTGTTGTATTACAGAGATGAACGAGACACTTTATCATTGCCTATCCGTGAGCCCATTTATCTATCGGATAAATTATGCGTTGATTTCCATGTTCGTACATTTTCGGCTATATCTATAGCCTAGCGTTCGACAACGGTATCCGGCCCGGGCCAGACCAAATACTTCGTGAAATTTATACGGTTGACGGACACGTACCTTAACGGGTGCGGAAATATTGCCGACAGGGGCGAATGCCCTTCTAGGTGGATTAAACAACACTGAGGGCTTTGTTTGCCTGGCCGTAAATCTGTATGCCATCATGCGAACCGAATAGATTCTAGAACCCCAGCCTTCGTCTGTCCTCGATCTAGAACCACTCCTGCTGCGGTACCTCATACTACAACACATTCTTAATGAGTGGCTACAATTCTACCGTAGTATTCTATATAAGATGGGAGAATAATTGGTTATTTACAAAAGGAGCCCAGAGGTAGTTTCGTATTACAGCCACAATAAAATTATCTCACAGGAACCTGTTCCGTTTGCTGCCGACTAGATACAACGATGACCGTAGGAGCAAACATAGCAACTGGTGTAATGCTGGCATTTGCCTGGAACCCCAGGGTAGACACAGAACGGATTGCCACATCTGCGGGCCGCTTCAAAGACTTTAATACATCATTTTCCGACAAGCCGTTCTTGGCTAAGAGATTTCCGAAAAGCTCCAAGGACTTCATTCGTTCGTCAATTGCTTTTGCTAAGATGGTCACCGATGTAAGCCAATATCGCACCCTTAGGCTTTGTTGATGGTGTAGCCTCCGTCCACTGTCTCGAGATCGACATCTGGATGAGAGGCAGTAAATTCTCGAAAGTCGGTTTCAGTGTTCAGGACTGTTGCACCTTCAGGGAGAGGAGTGTTAAAGCGAGTGGTGATTGCGTAAGTCGTAATGACTACGCTGAGAAGAACCAGCTTGCGGATGACAACAGAGAACATTTCAAGAGGTAAGACAAGTAGGGGGGAAAGAATGATGAGTGATATACTGGCTTTGTTCCGCGAAACACAGCGACTTGAATAACCGCGCAGTTCTCTGATAATTATCTCCCCTGGAAGACCCAACAGCCTTCCGGTTGGCTACATTTTAACTCGTCTGATAAGATTGATTCGTTGATCACAATCCGTATCGTTGCCTATAATCAATTGATATTAAATAACCTTAGTATAGTATTATTATGATATGACACTCTACAGCAATATATTCCATACAGTACAGCGCTATGAAATCAGTGCGTGGTTTAAAGTACACTGCCTGATCTGAAATTCGGAAATGATATTTCGATGTTTACTTCACTACATCTATACTTTAAGAAAATTTCAATCTGGGGTTCAAATGAAAATATCAACTCAATTCACTAGTAGTGCTTGGGCTCGTCACTGGTCTTTGCACTGTTTGTCCATCGCTTGCCTAGATACATGCAGGCTATTTCCCCACACACATCTCATAAGTGACACTGCTTTCTATTTCCCCTCACGCTTGGAAATTGGAGCTCTGCTTAGATAGCACCAACCTCACCATATTGCTGTCTCTATCATTCTCTCCTTCATCTATCGTTCCTGCCGCCCGACCCCACCATGCATCGCACATGTGCTGCTTGTGGTCGCAGTCTCCCTCAGTCATCCTACACGGCCAACCAGTACTCTAAGCCTCCTGGAGTCTCTCGATGTGCGACCTGCGTCCATGGACATCGCGGTGATCCCGTATCGGCAGGACAATCCAACAGCGGTAGATACAATAATTCCAGCAGGGGCTCCATCCCAATCTCCGCTTTGGAGAATCCCTTTGCTCAAGGTGCTTTCCGCTGGGTGGCCAAGGGGAACTACACGTCGGGTTCTCGCGAGGGCCAAGCATGTGTTGTTAAGTGGTTCAAGACTGGGGCAGTCTTCTCAGATGATTATTTCACTCTCGATATCAAAGCTGTCGACAAGGCCTTGGAGCTTGTCAATAGGTTCAATGATTTAAATATCATAGACAAAGTTGTCAAAATCAACGTGCCGGAAGTATGGTGCTTCACCGACGACAGCAGCGACGACTGGGCAGGACAGAAACATCTGTGTGAGCCTTTTATCCAAAACTACCAGAAGTTTAATAGCAACACCGGATGGAATGATGACTCTAGGGCATGGGGAGAGGTCATGCAAGCCCTAAGCCACTTTAGCTACCACATCACGGGCGGAAACTATGTTCTATGCGATCTCCAAGGCGGTATTTACCAGCACGAACTTGTCCTGTCAGACCCCGTCATCCTATCCCGGACTCGCGAGTACGGGGTCACTGATCTTGGTCCCGACGGTATTAGCTCGTTCTTCAGTCAGCATGCTTGCAACGACTTCTGTCGCCCAAACTGGACTCAACCCGCTAACCCGGTGCAAAGGTTTCGCCCAGTTCCTGGCACCACGATGATCAGACGTACGGTCCCCACAGGATATTCCCGGCCTGGACAAACAAGGTTTTTTGGCTAGCGTGTCTTGTCGTAGCCGATGGGTCGGAGGACTAGATCGTTTGGTCTGAAAGGGGAATATCGCTGAGTGGGTGGTGTGATGAGGAAGCTTACCCAAGGTCTTCGGGTCATCGACACACTGATGTGGTAGACAGTGAATCTGTTATAAAGGGCGGTGGCGTATAGGAGAGGTGTACCGGGATGATGCAAAGGGCACTTTTTAAATGCTCTAGAAGATGGAACAGCCAGTACGACCTGCATGGCGGACTGTTGATGCAAGAAAGAATGCCAGTCAAACTCTACCTAGCATTATACGCCTCCGTCTTCCCGGGTTACAAAGCTAGTCTCGTCAAGTTCGCAGGAATCTTCCGTCACTGTTACTATGTGCAAAGAGGAAAGCTAGCATGGTGCCTCAATGTTCGTCATTCAAGTGTTTAAGTATTTCCGTTTATCTTGAAGAGTTCTCAACGGTTGAAATGGATATAGTGTCTTGAGAATAGATATAGTCTTATTGGCCTACAGTTTTAGGTTGGAAAGATAAATACGACCTTGCTGTATTGATAGGGATAACTCAAGGCTCCAACATGCCCTTGAAAGGAGGAAAGAAAGGTCGATAGTGGTGACAGCAACACCCGGATATACTCTATACGCCATCTTATGTGGAGTCCATTCCTCACAAAGCCATCGTTGATTCATAGGCATCTAGAGCTAAGGCCACATCTATTTGAGGCGACTTCTATGCTAATAATGATCTTGATAGAGATATATTTTCTGTTCTATTTACCTACTCCTATTTCACTTGTCAACACTCTCTAGTTGTTCAGTCTAACTGAGCAATTTGGGAAACCAACGCAGCAGCGTTCTGGGCAAAGAGCATGATCTCGCTCTTCGTACTACACCGAATCAGGTCCCGACCGCGCAGAAACATGTCTTCTTCATACGCGGTCAGGGCCCTTTCCAACGCAGTATCTTCCATATTGACAAGGCTCACATCGCCATCGCATTGCTCGATAATATGGTCGGCTAGCACAACTGCATCGTACATGCTGCAGTTAACGCCTTCGCCAGCGAAAGGGGTCGAAAGGTGCGCCGCATCCCCCAGTAATGTTACGCCAGGAGCCACGGTGCGGGCCCAACCAACTGACCCAGGTTCCATGCGGTACAACGGCCAAGCACGGAACGGGCCCTCAGCAGTCTCGACCAGAGCTTTGAGTTTCGGTGCCCATGTGGCGTAGATATCGTTGGACGACAAGAGGAGCTGTCGGATAACCTCAGTTTTGCTAGTGGTGTCGGTATCAGTGATAGTACTGCGTTGACGGTGGTGGTAAAAGTCTTCAGGTACAGGTAACCCAAAGTACACGCGATAAGTGCCATTGGAGACCTGCTGCACTGCCATCTTGACCCCGTTGCCCAAGGCTGCCATGTTTCCCGGGCCCGCCATCTCGGTAGCTATCGTGTAGCTGGGATTGCTATGCGACAGGCTCCCTTCGATGAACATTTTTCCTGAGTATACCGGCTTTGCTGAGGTGAACTAAGCGGCAAATGGTTAGTGATTGCCACCTATTTGATCAAAGATTGAGGGATATCCTGTCAACGTACCAGAGGGCGCACCTTACTCCAAGCCCCATCAGCACCAATAATAAGCCGAAACCCGGTCGCCGAAGTGCCATTAGCAAAGTGAATAACACAGCCGTTATCACCAGACGCGATGCGGCCATCTGCCTTCCTCTCAACGGTCCTGACAGCATGATCCCAACGGATCTTATGCGCGGGCAGCGAGCCGAGAAGAAGCTGGCGCAGCTGGAGACGGTCAATCTCAGGGGCATCATGACCCTCGCCCATTTGGCCAATTGTTTTCCCCGTTGAGTCGACGATACGCAAGCCAGATGCCTCCCAGCGGGCGAGATCCTTGCTGAACTTGTCAAATAGGCCGGCACGCTTCAGGGCCAGCTGCCCAGAAGGCCCATGCAAATCAAGAGTTCCTCCTTGCTGCCAGGGGCCTGATGTAGCCGAATCATCGCGCTCGTAGATAATATAGTCAGTGATGCCACCCAATTCTAAGAGCCGTGCGAATACGAGGCCACTTGGCCCCGCTCCGATTATTGCGATGGAAGGTTGCGATACCATTGTTGCGAACTATGTTGATGCTCAGCTGGTGAAGTCCAAACACTTGAGTAGGAAAATCCGTAAAAGATACACCGAGTATTTAGAATTCGATGATCTGACTTGTTTTATATTGTGCCGTACAGTCGATGTCGGCATTGTCCGGCTCGCATCCATCTGATTGGTTGAACTCGGATACCCTCCGACGGTAGCCAGTCAACAACCAACCTCATGTACATTTCCTGCAGGCTTGCATGTTCTACTACTTGAGTTCATCCTATACAGCAAACCACTCTGTCACATCGGCTGCACCGGAACCCTTCCGGATGCCCCTCAACAATGGAAGTTAGTAGATCGTCGCAGATATTCGCTCGATACGCGGTAAGGAAAAGGGAAAACTCCCGACGATAGCTATCACCACTGATCAGCCCCTGCACAGTGTGACTATTGTCGACAAAAAAACTGAAGTATACTCCATCTACCTATCGACGTAGCAAGAGATGCTGAGCTGATCTTTCTAAGATGCTCCCGCGAGCTTCCTAAATGCAACAGCTGCAAGCCATGGCCCGGGAGCTGTCACTACTCGAGGGAGGTGCCGTCTGCTTCCCAGCCGGGTATCAATCGCGTGTGAGATCAACTCCAAATCCATCGGACCTGAACACTGTGATTCAACTAAGTCTCCAAGAAGGCCAGAGGCACATGCGACCCTCGAAACTCGACTGCGGCACCTGGAGCTCACAGTACAACGTTTAACTAACTCTGTCGACCACGCTTTGCAAGTTATTCTTTCGGCACCTCCGAGATCGACTAACGATCAAAGGCCAACTGAACCAAGTCACTCAGTGGCAGCTGCAACAAACGATTCTAATTCCGACCTATACATAGGGCCCTCACATTCCTTTACTTTCTTACGAGAGACACCAGCTAACATCGATGCGATCCCTCGACCATCATGTGATGAGACTCGTCAGAGCGCCCACTCAGAGCTTCAATATCTCTCTAATAGCCTGGGCTCAGCACAAGTAGATCAAGGTGTCACGGAAGACCCTCTGCACTTTTACATTCCCTCGCGGCCGGTGGGATACCACTTGATAAGCAGTAAGCTGTTCAACTGGGCTTCTCATATTAGAGCTGATCTGTCGTTCATCGAATAGAATTTTGGGAGATTGCTGAGGTCGGCGAACCATTCTTTTCTGCTCCAACTGAGGAGATGGTCCGGCAGATCGTTTTCGAGCCGCACAACGTTCGGGAAAAGGCATGGGTTGTCTACTTCAACTACGTATTACTGTCCGATATATCAGCTCGGGATGACGATAGTGACGAGACAAGAAAGCTGCGGCGTAATGTACAGCTGGCGCTTAATGACAGTCGTATTTTCCTTGAACCACGTGAAGCTAATGTACAGGCGCTGACTATCTTGGCCGCACATGGTGAGGACTATGCTGCGCCCAACCTGTCGTGGATGCTACTGGGACACGCCTGCCGGCAGGCCGAGGCTCTAGGATTGCACGCATTGGGTCACCGTTCTGCTGAGTGGAGACAAAAGCAACTTTGCCTTTTTTGGCTTCTTTTTGTCATGGATAAATCGTGTTCTCTTGCATTTGGTCGCCCTGCGTTTCTTCCGACAGCCGTGTATCAGGATGTACCGTTGCCAGATGACAATATTCTGCTCAGGTTCCACGTTCGTGATAGCGAGGAAAATGCACAAAAGGCTTCCATGTTCGGTGCCCAGCTTCTCAAGAGCTCGATGGAACTTTCGAAATTAATAGGACTTGTCTTGGACGTCCTAGCGACAGATGTTTCTTCACCTGCAAAGAGGGAGATTCGGTGTAAACTGGATGAATGGTATCAACACACAAACCAGGTCAGTAATTCAGCATTGATCAAAGCATTCAAAACTTGAAAATTCTTACCTTCGTGCTAGGTTCTTACAGAAACTATGAACGCTGAACGTGTCTCAGCAAATGCAAATCACCGCAAGGAGATGGCTTTGGGGATTAACAGCATCAAGTTTCACTACCTGCACATTCTTGTCATCCTGCTAAAGGGGAATGAATCAGACTCGACTCTGCGACTGTCATCTGCCCGGGATGCTATCTCTCTCTTGAGTTCCATAGTGTCAAATTGGAGTTCGATATACAATGGAGTGGTTTGGTATGAAAAGTATCCCTTTCACCGTGCTAAGCCCGTGTGTTAATACGATTGGTTCAGGCAGCTCCTGTATTATCCTTTCACACCTTTCTTTGTAATATTTGAAAATATCGTTCATCACACTTGCTGGACACCGGCAGTTGAACAGGACCTGCAGCTGCTATCTACGACTGTAACCTATTACGCGGAAATGCGATCCCAGATGCGTCTACTGGCGACTATTTGCGCCAGATTACAGCGCGTCGCCGCCGTTTTCCTTCAGCTGGCACAAACTCACGTCCGCCAGAACGCGTCCGCCCCAACAGCGGACTACATGGCAACATCCACAGAAGGCCACAGCATATCACCATCAGGGGAATGCAATATGTCTGGCTACAGTGACCGAACAATGAACGAGTTTGCCTCCAGGCACGCTGAGGGTAGCGAGACTCAGCCAAAAGTCGACATGAGGGAGCCGGACATCGCTAGTTACCTGGAATGGCTTCCTGCTGATCTGACTCTCACATGGCCTATGGCTGATTTTGGTCGTCAGAACCTGGCCAGTCTTCACTCTGGTGTCAGTGACAGAGACACTTCCCGTAATCCGCCCCGGAAGGCATTTGACAGTATGTTTGATTGGTTCTCGTGGGACACCTATTACGCAGGCGTGGAGGAGTGAATATGCTTTACATGAACAGACACTACCTAATCTGCGAAGGAATTGAGTAGTCAAGATTATATTAGAGGCTAATATCATATGCTATAGCCATTGTTGACGGTCGATCTAGTAAATCATGAGCTCTGGACGAAGATGATGCGCGGTAGCTAGCCTACCTATCCTATATTGAATGTAGTCATCGATTTATATACCCATACATCTTCAGTTATATCAATAGTCTAGCGTTCGGCAACGGTATCCGATCCCAACGTAAACCGCTATCAGACCGTTGAACTCGTGAGCTCTTCCTTATCTCCAGCTCAGGTGGTGTATGTCCCATCCTCCTCGTCATCCGCTCTTATGCAAAATTGCGCAGATCTTCCAGATTCAAAAAGAACATATCGGCGGATAGGGTGGTTCCTACCTAAAACCACAACTATACTTAAGAGATTAAATTAGATTATAGCTACATTACAGTAGTTAAATTATATTACTCTACAATTTAGAAAAAATCTTTATAGATTTTATAACTATTTTTCCATCTCTCTCTACTATCTTTCTATTAAGAGTACTCTGAATTAGTCTTTATAAAAAACCCCAAAATCATGACATAATCCCCTGAGCCACTATGTATATAACCTATCTTATTACTTATTTCTGGATCAGTTCTACAATCTTGAATATCCACAGCCTAACCCTTCGACATCGCAGTGAAAACTCGATACTTAAAGTCCATGACAATATGTTAGCAGTTCCCAGTGAGTATCAATGTGGGTCAAGGAATATGGTTATGTTACGCTAATGAGTATTCCATAGGCCTCCGTCGGGTGGTTCTTCGGGAACCTCGATCAACTCTGCATCTATATAGAAGGCCATGAATTCCTTAGATAAGAGCTGAGTCCAACTCTTTGAACGATCTACCATGAGCGCTCGTACCTCCAGAGCACTTTCATCTCGCTTCCTCATACAAGAGTTATAGGCTGAGGAGCATGCAATGTTTCCTCGAGATGTCGCACCACTTTCATATCACCCGATTGCACGATGATTAATCCAATTCTCCGAAACACGTGGGCCTCCACTTGGACAACAGCCAACGCGAACGCGTGATACCACTTCTCGGGCGATAGGCGCGCTTCGACCCCAAGGTACAAGTAGAAATAGGGCATTCCTCTTGAATCGTTTGTATTGTCAACATCCCAGTAAATGTCGAAGAGATTTGGCTCCAAGCTTGGCCACTTGTGCTCTGGAGTCACTCGGCAGATCAGAGTCAGTTTTGCACCTGCAGCTACCTGGATCAGGTCAGCAGTAATAACGCAATCAGACCGCAGTATTGATATGCAGTGAATAGCTACATGCCCGTCTATTGACAACCAAGACCATGATGGTGCGCGATTCGACTTCCGCAAAGATGGGCGAAAACCAGCAACGTTAAACCATGTCATGTGCTCGACAAATCGACTGGCCCACGCACCAAAGACGCACTTGTCGTTCCAAAGTTCTTCGAGGGTCGCGACAATCCCAGAGATTGCTCGAGGTCGGTCCTCGCTGTACGTAAGATTGCGAAACGTATACTGACGGACAAGCTCTGACCAAGATGCAGTTCTATCCTGTGAATGGAACAATGATCGCGAAGAAGGCTGTTCATTCTCGGGATATATTATGTAGCTTGGCAAAAGGCGCCTATATCCAAGGGTCTGGCAGTGAAAAAGAACCTCATAAGGACCGTAGTATAAAATTCGTCTAGCTAAGAGGGACTCTTGTAGTGCCCATCCCCTCTGAGCAAGAGGATCAAGATGCCAGCCAAAGTGGGCAAATTGGCATGGATGGCCGATCTGAACCTCGCCAGTTTTGCCGTTCGGCAACTGCACAGACAACGTAATGAAAGGACGATGTTTGCGAGAACTCTTCAGATATCCTTCACCCACAGATCTGGACGTTGCTGCTAGAATGGTCGCTGTCGAGTTGCGATATATATCTGCCATGGCCCCTATTTCTCTCTTTATATCCTCCTCGTCATCTTGAATAATACAGAGGGCATCGACCCACAAGTATTGATACCCCAAGTCGCGAGTAGTTTGCACGGCGTCTTGCATGGTTTGTGGAAGGAAGGTCACTCCAATACCATTCTTCAGGTCGTTGAAATTACGTTTTAACGTGACAAGTGGCTGATTTCTACCCCAACAGTAACTCAAGGTAAGGTATTGACTGTATCCACTGGCCCCGTCTAGGGAATGGAGATTGACGTTTGGCGATGCCGCTTCCTGTACGTTGATTACTCTAGTCGGGAGCTAGGAGGTCTGGCTGGCTGGCAATCAACATGGTGCAATTGACATTCCGAGATCATGGCCTTTGCCTTTGCAATTGTCCTTGGCGACGTGACATCAAGCTCCGGTGGGCGACTCAAAACCCACGACGCCGCTGGGTCGTCTATACTCAGTAAGCATGGGCATCTATCACCAATTGGAAATCTAAAGTAAGAAAAGCGAATGCAGCGTATGGACGGGTCACAAACCTTCGTAGGCAAATATGTCCAACTCATAGTTGATATCCGAGACGACATCGGCAAACTCAATGGAATGTAGACTAATGGAGAGCACATGCATGGGCGACTCGCCTGCGGAGCCTTGACTCAGACCGTTGCACTTTGGCCGAGCTTGAATCCGAAGAATAACATTCACAGACTCCTCTCGGAAGGATCGCTTATACAGACGACTGCCATTGAAGCAGCCAAGTATTACTCTACAGAGCGGACAGCTGTCCTTCTCCTTTAGTGTGGCCAAGTCAGAGTGCAAATAACCCTGGCTTTGCTCCAGCATATGACGGAAGCCATCCACTGACAAGGCAGACTTGCAACTGCTACAGCAATCACCATCTATGTCGAATTCCGCGCAACGGTGCTTAAGATCCACCGTATCAAGATCCATCACGGCTGGCTCTGCTAAAACGCGGAACCTAGGTGACTTGCAAAGAAAATGTCTAACCTAAGAAAGTCTTAATCCGCAGCAGTGCTGCATGTGATTGATAAAGGCAATGGTTACTGTGGATTGGAATGAGGATAAATCAATTATTGTGGTGTAGAGTGTCAGATAGTTCAAAGAGTTCAAGATGGGTGGAGCAGCAACCCCTCTTCACCATTTTACAAGCGCCCGGTCCAGCCTGCATATACAACCATTCTAATTTGGTTAGAGTGACACGGTAGGATGCTGCAGCCGCTGACAATCGACCCATTAGCGGTAGGCACAATTTCTTTTGATCCATTTCACATGCCCTACCTAAGATTTATATACGGAGAGTTTATATCTGATTCTGTGGATTATACTGCTGAAGATTTGCCAGTAAGGACTGTCCTTCTTCCTCCGGGTGTTATATTGTCTGACTGTCTTTGTTAAGGATATTAACAGCTTAAAATTTCAGAATATCTTTTAATAATTGCAATTATCGACCCAGACCGACTCTGCCCGTTGCGAATACCATATACAGCAGCAGTAGGAAACACATCGGACAGTATAAAAGCAGTTGTGGGGTCAATGCCGTCCAGAAGGAGGTGCAAAGGATAGAACAATACCTAGAAGGGAAATCCTATATCCGGCAAATGGAATTCTGGTTTCAATGAGAATAGATTGCTCCAGCCTTGCATCTTTAGCTCACTTTATCTAAACACTAAGATGGCCATGTGACCGTGGCTAACTCGCAGCCTTACCATCGTTTCTCTTTGTTCCCCTCACTTAACATTTATTCCCCAAAGACAACACTCTGAACCTTGCTCTTATGCTCTCAGCTATGGTACCCTAAAATAAGACATATACTTGTTGTTAAACTGCGCACATTTTGATAAGAGTAATGACAACACTCTCTCGGGACGATTACACAGTCGGGTGGATATGCGCCTTGCCTCCGGAGTTAGCAGCTGCGTACCTAATGATGGACAAAATACACCCAGACCTGGACATACCGCAGGCAGATCAAAATACATATATCCTTGGAAACATCGGTAAGCACAATGTTGTTATGGCGTGTTTACCAAGTGGCGGATATGGCATCGCCCCTGCTGCGACGGTAGCAGTACAACTGCGTACCACTTTCCCCTTCGTCCGATTTAGTTTAATGGTCGGGATTGGTGGAGGGGCGCCAAGCAGCGGTCGAGATATTCGATTAGGTGATATTGTGGTGGGCCTGCCAGAAGAAGGTTGTGGAGGCGTGATACAATATGATTTGGGTAAAATATTAAGCGGTGGACATTTCCACCGAACTGGTATGCTTAACCGGCCACCAGAGATCTTGTTGACTGCCGTCTCAAAACTCCGATCCTTTGACTTCTGGAAACGCAGTCAAGTTCCTGAATTTATTTCGCATGTCCAGGCTACAAGTGCGAAATTTGCACGACCGGAGCAGGAGGATCGCTTATTTCGAACAGACTACACTCACAGAGATGGCGATACATGTAAGGAGTGTGACCCAGCTCAAATAATTCGACGTTCTTTACGAAGCAACAATGACCCTGTCGTCCATTATGGACGGATTGCATCGGCAAATCAAGTCATGAAAGATAGCAGACGACGAGATCAGCTAGCTAAAAAGCTTGGGATATGCTGTGTGGAGATGGAAGCGGCAGGACTCATGAATAATATTCCATGTCTAGTCATTCGCGGTATCAGTGACTATGCCGACTCACACAAGAATGAGGAGTGGCAACTATATGCAGTGACAGCGGCGGCCGCATATGCCAAAGAGCTTATCCTTGCGGTTTCCACCAATCCGAGCAACCATCTCCCGACAACGCAAGAGCAGAAAGCAACGAGTCCTAGTCCCGCATTGAATACCACCGCAACTAACAAACTTGATATGTTGAATCAAGATCCGGAAATAGCCAAGGAGATAAATAACTTGTCTCAGCATGTAGCAACAGAGCATGGAGATGCACCCAGATCAAACCATACCAAAAGCCAAAATCGCCTAGAAGAGAACTCAGCTCCTGAGAAGAGCACACACATTTTATCCGCCATTAAAGAATTTGCATCTTTGGATATCCTGAGATTATCAGGTGGAACTGCCACGCTACGTAATACTGAAGAATGTGGAAAAACTCCGATCCAATTGTCCAAAGACAAGATAATACGACCAGAGCCAGTTCGAAACGATAATATCGAACAGGCTAGTCACACCACACTGAAAGGACATTCCCGTTTGGTAGCGTGTGTGTCCTTCTCCCCAAATGGGAAAACTATAGGCTCTGGATCTTTGGACCATCAAGTTAGGCTCTGGGATGCTACCAAAGGCATAACAAACTTCGTACTTAATGGTCATTCTGACCGTGTTAATACAATAGTATTTTCACCAGATGGACGACTACTGGCATCTGGGTCACGGGATAAAACAGTCCGGCTCTGGGATACTACTAAAGGCACAATACAAGTCGTACTGAATGGCCATATTGGCCGTGTGAGCACTATCAAATTCTCGCCAGACGGAAATCTAGTGGCGTCAGAATCTCTCGATGGGGATTACAAGCTCTGGCATAGTGCTACAGGCAACATGCACAGGATATTGAATGACCCATACCGTCGCCTGACCGCAGTTGAATTCTCGCCAGATAACAGAATGGTGGCATTGGGAACTCATGATGACAGTCTTGGGCTTTTGAACAATGCTACAGGTGCATTCCAAACGTTAAGAGGAACCTCGGTTGAAAAGGTGAATTGTATAGCATTTTCGCCAGATGGGTCAATGCTTGCATGTGTAGTTGGAAAGGAAATTACTCTTTGGAACACTACCACATGCACGATGCATTCAACATTGAGTGGCCATCGCCAGAGAATAAATATAATGGCATTCTCACCAGATGGGGCAGTGGTGGCATCTGGATCTAGTGATAGGACAGTCAGGCTTTGGCAAACTGGCACGGGTACAATGATTAAGATTCTGGCTGGCCATTCTAAACCTGTGAATGCTGTGGCATTCTCACCGAATGGAAAAATGACGGCATCAGGATCTGATGATAAAACTGTTAGGCTTTGGAATGTTTCCACGGGCGCGGCGCAAAGACTCACGAGCTATTGGGGTAAACATTGCAACAGCTTGGCATTCTCACCAGATGGGAGACTAGTAGCCTATCCATCCGGCGAGAATATCAAGATCTATACCACTGGCATACAGAATTAGGTTAGGATCCTCATGATGATGCAAGGTCTTGCCAGTTACCTTATCTTATTTCGTACCTTTTCGCAATATTTTGACCTCGAGACATTGACCACGCGCGACAGATGCCTGTTTGTGTGATAAATAGCTAGCGAGTTGATCACAAGGAAGGGTTCCATAGCCTATACATAGAACACTATCATTAATATCTGCTCCTTATTGTAGTCAATGATGGCTGCAGATGACAATGAAAGGGATTGTTAGTAGATAGGAGAGATGTAGTTCTTATACATCTCAGGTGATAGTTAACAGAATCAACCACCGAGCGGGCACTACCGCTGAGCCGGCAAATTTTCCTCAACGCCTATTATCATCATTATCTCACGCAGTTTGTGTTTTTATTATACAAAATGCCGCTTTCCAAGAAAGCCATCATCAGACAACTGTGTTTATCTAGAAATATAAAACAAAAATACTATCATGACTCAGCTGTCCTATAGTTGAACCTGCTCACCACCTACTTTTAACGTACCGGCTATTGACGTAAATGTATATCCACACGTTGCAGCCAAGTAGGTACAGTCCTTGCCCCTCTATGACTCATACGCTAAACTCCTACAAGGTATGTCTGGCTCAGTGGTGATACCAATGAAATCTCTCCTCAGCCAATGATCCACTCATTGACTGTTGAGACAACTGCAGTCCAATAACCTGGGCGCTTCAGCCTGTTGTCTATTTTCCGGAGCGCTTCGACCACGGCCGCTCACGTGGTCAATTATCGACAAGTAGCAACATCTATTTCCATAGCAGACAGTCCTGGATATGGCCGGCATAGGTCAATATGCGATAGAAAATATAAGGAGCTGGTAGATGTGTGGATCCCAGGCCCCTAGGAAAGTTAGTCCCGTGAAATAGAGCTAGAGGGGTGTTCGATCCAGAGCAGATCAATGGTATAAGACTGGAAGTCAGTCTAGATTTAGGGACCGGGTATGCAGGCTGACTGGGAGAAGGAAAGAGAGAGAGATTGTCATGGGCAGAGATTGCTGTACACTTCTCTAAATAATATATATTATCCCTATATGTAGTATGTGATATATCCTGCCTGTCTTACACTTTCTCCCTTGCTGATCTATTTTATTCAATCATTAATTATATTTAGATATATTATTTTATCTATTTTACTATTAAAAAATATTATTATATTAAAAGAATTCGTATCTACAGTGTCCTTGCTACAGAAATATAGTTTACTCTAGGCCATGGCAAGTAAGCATTAGCTGGGTACAACAGTTTCTCTTCAGTGACAGTCAATCATACCTAGCATTACTTTGTTCGACCAAGGCCGATGCGGCAAGGGAGCGACAGATCAAGTCACCATCCTCGGGGGGGATTTCGTCAAAGACGAGCTCTGTAAAGGTTCTTATTGTGGGTATTTTGTGTACTATTACATTGAAGATAGTTTATGCGGAAGGTGGTGAGACTACCTTGGAGGTCTTACTTCGGAGTTCTGTTGTAGAAGGGGAGACAGGACTGGAGAGAGGTCTTTTGGGTAACATGATGGGGTAAACAAAAGAACAAGTTTTCAAGACAGGTTGGGACTTGTGTTATCCCTGAGATAGGGTAGAGACTCCCTATGGAGTATGAAGCCTAACGGAGATCATAGCAGAAAAAGAGACCAGGGAGAGGAAGTGAGCGAAGAGTTAAGGATGGTCTGTTGGTGCCTCAGGCAAAATAGCTACCGTCATTGCTGAACTATAGTGAAGCTATGCCAGTGAATCCAAAACACTTTGAATTCCCCACCCGCCAGTGAAGGCCCTTACATAGATACGAATGGCAGTCCAATTGATTGTATGTACAGAGATAATCGGTAACTGGGTAGCAGAAGCAAATGTCCCGCAGTAGCAAAGACTACCGTGTAATTTGACTCTTGAATATCCACTGCCTCAGACTCACCCACTCACGTCCATAAGTGTGATAGATACAAGAAAAGCCGATTTACAGAGCATTGATGATGGCATTATACGCATCCTTGGCCTGGTAGTTGCTATCAAAAAGCAATGGGGAGGTGCTGGAGCGCCATGAGTCCTTTGTGCGTGTTAGTCCGGGTTCCTCTTATATAGCCAAAACTGTAAGAGACGTACCTTGTCGGATACACCCCACACAGTAATACCGACGCAGGAGCTGACGTCGAGACAGGCGTTGACCACCTGTAGAGATTAGTAAGTTTCTAACGAAGAACGTGGACACTTTCACTAACCTCGAGGTAAGACTCGGAGCTAGCGCCTTCGATATCCAGTTCGGTTACGGCGACCTCAGAAACACCGGTCGAGGCGAGCGCGGTCAGAGCTGTGCTTGTTGTTAGCTTTTTTTTATTTCACAGTTGGAGGTAGAGACTTATCCTTTGGCGCCGGAGATTGGGAAGCCATTCGCGCTAAGCAGTCAGTAGTGTTTACATAGTTACATCATTTTTCGGGACGCCTACCTATAGTGAGACTGGGAGCCTGCGCTAAGTTAGAAGGTAATCCTATCCACAGAACGGTGATAACTTACCGATGCCGTCAATTGGAACACCAGCGTCCAACCACTTCTTCACGTAGCTAACCATTCCCTGGGTTTTGGCGTAGTCCGCCGAATCCAGACTAACATTGTTAGCCACAGGTATGTGCATCTGGATGATCGCTTACTTGTAATCGTTAATGTATAGCTTAGCGCTAGGATCCGCCTCACGCGCAGTCTCAAAGGCAATTCGGACGAAGTCCTCTCCCAGGACCTGGGAAAAGACACTGTCACGCAGAGTACCGTCTTCGTCGAAGATCTCGTTGACGACATCCTGTGCTGGGTTAGAGCTGAACTCAAGAATTTGCACAATGGCAACGTACCCAGGCATAGATTTGACCCTTGTACCTCTGCATGATGGTCGTGATGTGGTTCTTGAGCACCTCAGTCAGGGTATCCTTGTCGGTGATCCCCTGCACCCAGGACGGGAGTTGCGAATGCCAGACTAAACACGCATTAACCTCAATCGGTGATTACACCCAGTTCACATGGAGGAGAGTAACAAACCCAAAGTATGCCCCCTCACAAGTTTATTATTGGATTTGGCATAATCAGCCTAGGATACCTCGTCAGCATCAACACTCACTCCCGCAAAGTGAGACACTTACCAGGAAATCAGCTCCACCAAAGCTGAAGCTACCCTGGCTCGCTGCTTTCATCAGCACACATCCAACAGCAAGAGACTAGGAGACAAACGCTCAAGAGCATCCCACTTCATGCTATTCTCGGGAGTCAGTTGGCCAAAGTCCGCCCGGACAATGGCCTCATTCTGGCTGTTCTGCAAGAGAGCCTGGTCCGAACAGGTACCGAAGTACTTCTTGCCATGGGCGACAAAGGCATCATTGATACTGGCGGCAGCCTGTCGACTGATGACGGCCGATGAGGCGAGGGAGGCGAAGAGAGTGCCGCTAGCAAGTGCCTTGAGATGTACCATTTTCAAGAAAAGGAATAGTTGCGAGAGTTGATAGCAATGCAATAGATAGACCCGATTGTGATCAAACAGAAACCAGCTCGAATGCCCTATTTATATTCCCAATCGACCTACGAGATGCCATTCTTCAGCCTGTTTCACCGAGGTCGACACGTTTAGCCTAATACTTCGGGCCAGTAATTCCTTTCCTAATCCAAAGCGGACCTGAGTGAGGGTCCACCAGGGCTGACCACAAAAGCCGACATTGGCCAAGCTCGACGGGTACTTTATTTCCTCCCGTTGGTGGAGAATATGGCGATCTGCAGGTGTCCCCGCAAACACGCCTTCATTTTAGCCTCCCTCACGCTTTCGGCAGATCGGGCCTCCTCAGCTACCCGCGGATGCAGGGCCTTTCTGCAGGAGACGGGGGGAACTGTGAATGTACCGTTCTTCCCTGGGTAAACGGGTAAAAGAGCAGGGTTCCTGTTTGTCGAGCGAAAGGATGTTGGGTTGGTTGGACTTGCCCCGGACTTGGCACTTTAGCTGAGACGGCATTGGAAACCACCGTTCGGACTCGGCAGTGATCCGAAACAGTTTGGTTGAATGTTCAGAGGGTCCTTAGTAATCTACTTCTTCTCACATTCTGTGGTTAGAGTGTCAAACTACAGGGTAGCGATATGCCTTTTTGTTTTCTTTTCCCGCCACGATATCTGCTATACATGTTATCGCCATGATATATATAGTTATTTACGAGCATCCAAGAAGAGTCATAACGTGCATCTCCGCCTCGCAGCCATAAGAGACTGCACGCAAGGCCAATCCTCCATACATTTCGTTTTTTCCAGACCCTGTTCAATTGAATATTCTTCCTGTCCTAAAGTGGACCATCGCCCCTTCTCCAATTTTCCCTCGGTTTTTGAATCCTCCTTCGACGCCACCGAACTCGTCGGGCTCCCACTATCTCGCGCAGAAGCCGATAGCCCATCAATCCCATGAAATCCTTGCAACCGCAACTCAGTCTTGATATGTTCTTCTGCAATAAACGCTGCCCAGTTCGAGTCAAAGACCCCCTCGCGATGCGGCCAAGACCGAAGCAGCTCGATCGCCCGCCAGCGCAGGCTGTAATCGGGACAGCCAATGGAAATGATATATAACGGGGGAACGACACCCATATCTAAGGTGTAGTTGGGACGCTCTCGGAACTTGTACATTACCGCTTCTACGAGAGCGAGGTTGGCTTTGTACTCGGGCTGGTATTGACTCAGTAAGACCTCGTCTCGGATGAGAGACGTTCGGATTGAAAGGGATGTGGTATGTCGGAGGATGTTGATCATATCTGCTCCTCGTTGGTCTTTCCGACCCAGTCGCGTATATGAGTAATTATAGAAGGCGTCGAATTGTGATGAGAAGTGGTTCAACTCGGAGAATAGCTTTTGTTGTTCCTGCTGTAGCCCTTTATAGTGGCATATTATTTCTTTGTCGGGCTTGGACCAGCAGTCCATGAGGAAGCCGAAGGCACGACTTAATAGGGGCTCGATGGCACGGCGTGCTTCACGGACATTAGAAAATAACAGATAGTCCTCGGTGGCGGAAACGTCCAGCTCGTCTTCGATGCGTAAGATCGGTCCTCCAACCTTGAAGCTCGCGGCTTGAATGTCCAACTGTGCGAATGCGGCGACGAGAGCTTCTTCCACCGGTGATTCATGCGGGGCCCAAGAGACGAGCTGTCTCTGAGCCTTCAGCTCGTTCAATATCCGTAGGCCACCCTCGAGGTGCTGAAAGGCATCATCATATCGCCCGCGTAGTAGCTCCATCAGCACGAACAAGAGACAGCATAGCAACATGACCTCCCGCAGACGCGGGTCTTGTGAGAAATGGCGTTCATTGAGAATGGCGAACGACCGCCCGGCCTGTTCCATGGTGAATCGATGCCAGGTGTTGTAGAGCTCCAGCTCCTGTCCGGGCAAGGGCATCCCGTGCATCTCGACATCCTGGTGAATGGCGCTGAGCGCCACAGCCGCATGGTACACGGCGGGTTCGGCATAGCTCATCTGCAGGACGAGCTTTTCCCACAACACTGAATTGAAAAATCCCGAAAGTGTCGGGACGGTGTAGTACTGGAAGTAGGAGAAGCAGCGGCGCTCATCCGTATTCGTGATCCAGCGAATACCACCGCCTACCTCGGGGAGCAGCCGACTCCAGGGCGTCTTCTTTCTGCTGGATCTCGCCGGCGGCGGCAGCCGTTGCAGGTCGTAGCCATCACAGGAGCGACCACTCGACGTGCAATTTCCACAGGCCCCTGGGGCTTCATCACACTTGACGTGGCGGGCCCTGAGTGCGATCGACGGTTAGTGTCACGCCAGACAACACGTCGCGCGGGGCATTTACTCGTAGGACTCACCGACAGGTCCGGCATCCAGTCCGCGACCTCTTGCTGGCAAAGTTCCGTTGTCGCGTCTTGTCCATGAATCTCCTCTTCTCGAGATTGTCGCAGGCACACATGGTTTATGGCGGAGAGATGAAAAAGAAAAGGGAAAGGGTGACCAAGCGAGGCTGAAACTGGGGTCAGGTTGAACGAATGAGCCGAGCGGGGCGGAGTCCAGCGTCAGCACTAGTCACACCCTAATGCAGTCTAAGTTTTGGGCTAAGGCCGTGGTGGCATTCTTGCGATACCAGAATGGATTCTCTGCAACGTCGGGCACCGGCACGATCAGCCCTCTCGATCTTGGTTTTTGCTTTTTTTTTATTTTTTTTATATCTGCGATCTCCCGCCGACGACGGAATCGCCTCCGTGTCATTATGACTCTTCGACTGCGGGAGGGTCTCTCCGCATTCATGCCGACCATGCGACGGGGCCCTGTCACCTGTGGCACTCGGGGCCAAGACCCAAGGATGACTGTGGCTGATAGGGCTGAGAGCCGGACTTGTCCGACCTCAGGCACCAATCCCGTGGTTTCCGGCGACGCTTTTCATGGTCGCCCACATCACTGGCAACATTCCTCCCTCGGCCATTCCGACTCGGGAATATAAACCTAACCCCGCTCTTCTCCACACACCCCCAGATACAACACAACACGCACACATTCGTCGGACATATCCGACTGGAATGTCACCTCAGGTGGCGGGATGGAGATCGTATTGCCGGCAAGACCGTCGGGGGTAGTGTACGACCGTGTGGACGACCTTTGAAGCCACCCGCAAATCAGGCTGGTCTAGACTAAACGGTCTGGACGGTGCATTTCAGACCGTTCGCTTAACATTACCAACCAGAGCACCAAAAGTGAAACGGAGAGAAAGAGAATGTGATGAGAGGAAGAAAGTTATCATTAAAGGTATATATATACAGGACATTAACTCATAAAGATCGATCGTATCATGGGGACTTTTATAAAAACCACCGGAAATCCGGACTACTGGGGCCTTCCGCTAATCTCTCGGTCGGGACATCCAGAGCCCGCAAGCTGACCCCTTGTGCACGATCGCGCCGCTTGTTATCCATCATCATCCAAAACCCAAGCAGAAGCGTCAGGATAATGCCCGCCCCCCCGAACGAGGCCGTGGTGACCAGCGCAGGCAGGTACTTCGGGGCATCCTGGTTGCGGAAGATGTTCGAACTGACCACACCCATCAGGTTCGCAAGGGGTACCGCGATACTCGTCAGGACCACTCGTTTCCCTTCGCTGGCGATGTTGTTGTTGTACCAGACATCCAACAGCACGGATGGAGCGGAGGTACCCCAGGTCATCATGAACGAGGCGAAGTAGGCCACGTTGATATTCTGTTCGGGGTCAATCGCCACGTAAATGATCATGCCCAAGAAGGTGAATAAGAAGCCCAGGGCGATGAATGGGAATCGCCATCGCGTCCAGTCACTGCAGAAGGCGAGGATGAGGAGCACGACGGCGCCAGAGACGTTGGGGGCCACGGTGTAGAGGTTCGTCTTGACGGTTCCGTATCCAAGCTTGGAGATGATCTGGGGCAGGAACAGCTGGACAGATTGCAGAGGGACGCCGAGACAGATTTGAATCCCCACAATCGCCCAGCTGGTGGGATGCTTGAAGATTCGGAATGCGTCGCGAATGTTGAGTTTCTCGTTGACGACAGCGGAACTGTCGAGCTGCATCCGCGTGAATGCCAGTGCCTTCTCGGCTTCGGAGAGGAAGCTCGCCTCGGATGCTGAACGAGGTAAATACCAGAAGACAAAAATCGCGAAGAGAACAGTCGCCAGGCCTTCAATGAGGAAGAGATAGCGCCATGGGGTCAGCGGACCGGAGTGGATCTGGAAAACACCAAACGCGAGAAGCCCGGAGAAAGCCGAAGCAATGCTCTGTGCGGCGTAGAAGATCGCCAGACGTCTGGCCAGTTCACCTCGACGATAGAAACTGGGACAGTTCATATTAGCTAACCAGTCGAATCAGTGGGGGCGCCGGAGGAGGATCTCACGTTGTCAAATAATAGATCACGAGCGGAAAGAAGGCACTCTCGGACATGCCAAGAAACCATCTGATCGCCATCAGGCCTCCAAAATTATACACAACCACCACTAAGACCGTGCACAGCCCGAAGGTGAGCATCATGCTGGGCAAAACAAGGTTCGGCCCGTACATCTTGCCTAGGATGCCCAGGAACGGTGCCGTCAAGACATAAGGGATGAAGAAGATGCTGAGGATGATGTTGTATTGGTCGCCCTTGAGGTTGAGGGTGTCTGCAAGAGGTGTCAGCATGGTATCGGTCAAGCTCAAGGCTAATGTCTCATACCCTCTAAGCCGGCTGTCTTTGCATTCCCGAGATTGGATTTGTCCAAGCTATTGAAGAGATACATGATCGCTAGGACAGGAAGGATGCGGAAATCAAATTTCCGGACGAGCGCACGCTCTGCGCAGGCGTCAATTGGGTCGGCGACGACCACCTGCGTTTCCATGTCATCTTTCCCCAGATCCACTGGTGACTTGACCACAGCGTCCTCCGGTGATTTTGAGTTATCCATGGTGGTTCGTCTGGAATGATCCCTTGGAGTTATCGAATGAATCCCACTACAACCAGGGCGCACCCGGGCCATTCATATACGTTCCATGATCGATAGTTTAGGCGATAAGTCGTGTCATCCAGCGGAGTCCACTATCGCCCTGCTAGTACGAGAGACAACCCCAAGACCGTCCGCTCGGGAGGATTAGGGTTCCGATGCTCCTACTCCGGAGATACTCCTCGATAAGAAAGACGGAGGATTATCTCCGGCCAATCAGAGAGCCGAAATATCTTATCTTGAACTGCCAGTAAGGAAATGAGGTAAACGCTTCAACTGCCGAAGTCTGAGAGTTTCTTATCATCGTCTCTAGCCCCATTGGCCCTTCGGAGCGCCAAGCAGATTTTAAAATCCATGATCAATGAGATCAAATAATAAAATGAATCGATACATATGATTGGTTAACCTTCTACGTTTATACTGTATCCTCAGTAGTTTATCTTCTCCCCGTCACTCAAGAGTTGATGATAAAGCCATTGTGGACTCAGAATTGACTTCCTTGTGTTCAGAATATCCGAATAATTTCTCTGTCCAAGCATAATAGCACAATCAACCTGGGTAGCGTAGGAGAAAAGATCTATTAATTCCCCACCGCAACGGCATTCCTCTCATACAGGCTCCCTTGAGTCCTCAGTAGACTCTGGTCCGCACCGTCAATCTTCTGTCGTAGAGCCGCAGGTTCCTTCTGGTCCCGCAAAGACTCCTCCCCCCAGCCGCCTCCCCCAGGCGTCAAAATCACAATGCGATCCCCTGGCCGGAACTGAGCCGTCTGCCTGGGACCTAGGGCAACCTTCCGAGTGGACCCAGTGACAGGATCCTTCCGAATCCACACGTTCTCCCCACGCTTCCCCTCCTTCCCACCCGCCATTCCATAGGGTGCTGTGACCCGTCGGTCCGACAGAATCGATACCTGAAGGGGAATACGGAACTCTATATTACGGACACATCCGTCACCTCCCCGATGTAGACCTGCCCCGCCACTTCCCCGGCGGATGGAGAACTCATGTAGAATGACTGGGTACCGTTTTTCTAGAATCTCGGGGTCGGTAATGCGAGTGTTGGTTATATGGGTGTGTACTCCGCTAGTACCCTCCCAGTCGGGTCCAGCTCCCGCCCCACCGGCAATGGTCTCGTAGTAGCCGAAGCCCTTGACAACCTTTCCTGTGATGGGGTCTGTACCTCCGTAGCCGAATGTCAGGTTGTTCATGGTACCCTGGGAAGCAGCTGCTGCCTGGAAGGCCTTGAGGACAAGATCGGCGATCTTAGATGACGTCTCGGTGGTGCATCCGACCGTGGCAGCAGTGATGGAGGGTGACAGGATAGTACCCTCGGGGCAGACCACATGGATAGGAGCCAGACAACCCTGGTTGAGAGGTATATCCGCAGATATCATCGAGCGGAGACAGTACTAGAGTTCGTTAGCAACCATCATATATCCATGAACCCGTAAATCCCTACCATGATGGCAGAATGTAAGCAAGCTTGCGGCGAGTTCAAGTTCCCCGAATGTTCTGGTCCAGTCCCAGTGAAATCAAAAACGGTGTTGCCTGTATCCTTATCGATTGTCACTCTCAGATGGAACGGGATTCCGTCGTCGTTCCTCTCCTCTGCTTCGAGCACCCCGCCTTCGTATCGTTGGGCGAAGCCTTTCAGCAGGTCCCGCACAGCCTGCGCGGCATTTTCCTGGATTGCCTTCATGTAGAACTCGACGACCGGCCAGGTGAACTCTTTAATGAGAGCGTGGATCAGCTGGATACCCTTTTGGTTCGATGCGACAGCCGCCTTCAGATCGGCAATGTTGTCACTCAACGTGCGAGTGCCACTGCAGCCCGGGAATGTGCCGGGAATCTCGTACAGATGTCGGATCAACCCCACCTCGTCAAAGACACCTTGGTTGACAAGCTTGAAAGATTCAATGGCCGCTCCCTCTTGCCAGAGTTCGGTCGAATTGGGAGGCATAGAGCCTGGGGCAATTCCACCCACATCGGCGTGGTGACCGCGATTAGCGACGTAAAACAAGATCGCTGATGGGTTCTCATCATCGTCGAACACGGGTGTAATGGTTGTAATATCTGGCAGGTGAGTACCACCCGCAGCCGGGTGGTTACTGATAAGGACATCGCCGGGCTTCAGATCACCCGGTGGATGTCGCTCAATCTGAGCCGTGATAGCCGTGCTCATGGACCCAAGGTGGCCGGGGATGTGAGGTGCATTGGCCACGAGTCCACCATCAGCAGAGAATATGGCGCAAGAATAATCCAACCTCTCTTTGATATTCACAGATATAGAAGTCTTCTCCATTGTGTGGCCCATCTGCTCTGCCACGGTCATGAACCGGTGACTGAACACGCTCAGTTGGACGGGGTCCACAGCATTGGTTGAAAGCTGCTCCTGGTTCACACTTCCGACTTCTAAAATCACATGTTCAGGCAAGATAGTCGCTCTGCTTGCATGATCAACTACAATCGTCTGTGTCTCGTCAATAATCATGGCTGGACCACTGATCCGGGTACCGGGACTCAGGCGAGGAAGCGTATAAACGTTGGTATCTGCCCAACCAAGTATATCAAAGAATACTTTCCGTGTAAATGCTGGCGCTGGTGGCTGATCTATACAACGGTCATCTAGCTTATTCAGTTCCTTGAATGGGCTCGAGGTGTCTACGACTCGGGATCTTCCGATACTGCGCACGCGGATGTCATCAATCAGTATATCCCGAGACTGCGAGAATCCAAACTCTTGGGCATGTCTAGTATGGAACGCTGCTCCAAAGTCTGACAGTTGGTCAGGTTTCCGGATCATCAAGGTCGTATCGCTGCCTTGATATTTCATGTTCAAAAAGTATTCATGCACGATAGATTTCTTGTGAAACCCCTGGAGTTTCAAGGCATCTATACCTTTCTTAGATATCAGATCTAGCCGCGCCTGAAGCTCAGATAGAGTCTGTCGATCAAACTTCCACGCCACAGGCTCCTGACTCTCGACCACCACATCGGCTAGAGCCATCCCATATGCAGACAAGATACTTGAGTAGCGGGGAATGATTGCTTTTTGGATCCCAAGGTCTCGAGCAATAAAGACAGCATGCTGTCCACCGGCACCTCCGAAACATCCAAGGTTGTGGCTAGCAGCACTGTACCCCCTGCCTTCACTCAGCTTGCGGATGGGTCTTGTCATCGTGGCGTTCGCGATAGCCAGGAAGCCAAGCGCCAAGGTTTCTGAGGTAAAGGCATCTCCACCTCCTTTTCCCCTGTTAACAACGTCTGTCAAAGTGGCAAACTTCTGTTTGACGACGTCTAAATCTAGAGGCTTTGGGAAATACTCCGGAATGATTCGTCCTAGTAGCAGATTGGCGTCCGTCACAGTCAACGGCCCACCCTTTCCGTAGCATGCAGGACCGGGATTTGCGCCAGCACTCCGTGGCCCAACTTTTAGCAAACCAGTCTCCCAAGTCAAGATTGATCCACCTCCCGCTGCGACGGTGTTGATATCCAGCTGAGGCGTCTGAATGGTAACCTCTGCGATCGTGTTTTCGAAAATATGCTCAAGAGCGCCGGAATACCGGGCCACATCGGTACTGGTTCCGCCCATGTCAAACCCCAGCACCGGCCGGCCTTCCTCCGCATCATAGCATGTTCGTGACAAGCCTACGACACCTCCAGCAGGACCACTTAATACTCCTCGGAGGCCTGAAAAACTGTTCCAGGTTGCCAAGCCACCATCTGACTGACTGAGTAGTACTTTGTTTGCATTTTCATCATCTAGCTGGCCCTTGAATCCCTTCCGAAAGCCTTCAAGGTACGAAGCGGTCATGGGAGTGAGATAAGCATCAGCCACCGCTGACTGGGTTCGAGGGACGAATTTGGCCATTGATTGCAGAACTGACGACGCTGATACTTTGAAGCCCATTTGTTCGGCTAACTTTGTTATCTGAAGCTCGTGCTCGGGGTAGGTATATGCATGCATGAGTCCAATGGCTAGATTTTGGTAGCCTTGCGATTGCAATGTCTGTAGCTGTGAGCGAACAGCATCCAGGTCTGGCGTTCGTAATATTCTCACTACCTCACCCGTCAGACCGACGATGAGATCAGGGTCAGATGTGGCGTCGATAGGTTTGGGCTCGGGATCCTCGCTATATCCTTCAATCGTGATGCGTTCGTCAACTTCAACCACGGTCTCGTAGAGCTGCTTGAGCCGTTGCACCGAGAGATCGAAAATGTTGGGCCGAGCCTGGTTACCAATCAAGAGCGAATCTCGAAAGCCCTTGGTTACCATGAGGGCCACACGATCGCCCTTCCGCTCGAGAAGCGCATTCGTAGCCACTGTCGTACCCATGCGGATGGATTCAACGGACGATAGGTCAAGCAGAGAACCCTTGGGTATCTCCTCGCCGCTTGCCATTTCTAAAATACGTCTGATACATTCCGTTGGGGCATCATCGTATTCATCTGGAGATACTGATAGAACCTTGAAGACGACATGATCTTGTCGGCCAGGGATATCCGCCCAGGCATCTGTGAAGGTGCCACCTCTGTCGATGGCAATGCGGATTCCGTTCTTTATCATTGTGTCGGTAGTTTAGGTCATGTAAAGACAATTCTGGGTTGAAAAACGACTGCAGAGGTGGCCATTCAAGCAGGGACGCGACTTCATCCTTAAATAATTGTATTCATGTTCGCATGAAGATGCGGGGTTACGATGATAAACGACGATAACCCCCGGCAAGTGACATCCAAACCGAGAGGAGAGTCGGCAACCTGGGTGCGGGCCGATTACCCGTTCTTTCTTCCCCTCACACTGGATATCCATAAATAAGAATACATCCTAGGTGACAAGTGGGCTACCATGAAGGCACACAAACGCACACGGAGACTGTTTGCTGCGTAAGCGGTTCCCAATGCCGACGATTTGTGATGAAGACACTAAAAAAGCGGTAGGTGTTACCGATGTCATACACAAAAGGTCAAATGCTCGGGAGAACATCCGTGTCGCTCTTGTGTTCAAGCAAATAAAAGCGACGAATGTACGTTTCCGCCAAGGGAGAGGAAAGTCACTATATCAGAGAAGTAAGGATGCACTTGCCCCGTCCAGCGGCTTGGTTTTTCTGCTAACGGCTTACCTCCAGTTACTTACGGCGGTTAGAGGCTGACAGCAAACGGTTGCAATGCCTGTTGAAGGATGAACATTCCAAAGAGCAGAGAGTCGAATCAGCCCTCGATCATGAATCAGATACTCTCTCGCAGGAGGAACATGGCATTGTGAACCCGCTTTTCGAGACACAAACTGAGCGAACCCGCGACAAACAAACAGAGCCGGGTTTCACAGGAGAGGCATCGTGTATAGCATTTGGTGACCGACTGCTTCAGTGCATCAAGAAAGATCCAACTCCTTCAAGTGCTACACTGTCTCACTATCATCCGACGACAACCGCGAACCAAATATTGGATGATAACGAATACACGCTTCCAGACCGAGCCCAAGCCAAGCTGCTGATCAACGTTGCATGGCGCTTCATCGGTAACGACCATCATCTGTTCCTCAAGGTCTCGTTCATGCGAGAGGTTGAAGCTGTTTATCAGAAGGCATTAAAGCCAACTGCTCTTTGGTTGTGCAAACTATTGGCTCTTCTTGCCTTGGGTGAGCTATATACAAACCGCAGGAAATTCAATGACACCCAGAGAATCCCGGGAACAAACTACTATCTCCAGGCCCTGAATATGCTCCACGATACATATGAAGAAGCAGGCTTGCTACATGTCGAGGTCCTTATTTTAGTCGTACGTGCTTCCCAATCGCTGAACGAGAGACGTATTGATCAACAGCAGGCATGGTACTCAAACAGCTTAGGGCGCATCCGGTCTGCGTATTCCTACAGTGGCATTGCTATGAGGCTGGCTTTGAGTCTTGGGCTACACAGGTCAAGGTCTGCTCCAACAATAGCCAGTGCAGTCGAAATTGAGAGCCGAAGACGCACGTGGTGGATGCTTTACTACTTCGAACGGATGTCAGCCTCCAAGCTCGGGCTACCCATCACAGTGCGGGATGAAGACATAGACGTGGAGCTGCCTTCCATGGACGGCCTCACAGACGAGGAACAGCAAGAATTCGCAGACCCCGCTCATATGTGTGCCAATGTTAAGCTAGCTCGTATCACGGGTAATATCTGTACGTCGGCGACTTCACTGACTGAGAGATTCATGCTTACCAGATAGTGACGGAAATATACTGCCTCCCGCGACGAGCCAACGGAATGTTCGTGCAAAGGGTCCACAGTATTTTAAAGCAACTTCGAGCATGGAACGATGCGCTCCCCCCAGAGCTCTGCGTTCGGGAATGCCGGACACCACGACCCGTTGCCAGCCTCCACATGGCCTATAACGAGTGCATCATGCAGACGACACGTCCGATCCTTCTGCATCTGTTCCGAAGACGATGCCAGGGTGATATCAAGGATTGCTCTCCAGAATCACCCGCTCTTTCACCCATTACAGCTCTCTTGGCAGATAGTTGTGTAAATGCCGCGATAACATCCTGCCGAATCATGGAAGGCCTGTTCATCGAAGGATCTATTGCCACATTTGGCTACTGGGAGGCACAGCACATTTTCTCCTCTGCCTTGATCCTTATTATCTCCGCTCTTCTAAATCCAAGTGTGGCTACGTCTGATCTCCTCCAAACATCAATCAATATACTCCGGACCATACGGGACCATGGAAATATCCCCGCAGTGGACTACAGCAAGCGGCTCACGTTAATACAGGCTAGCGTCTTTACTGGAACCGAAGAAGGGCACGCGAACTCTAGCTTAGGCAGAAGCCAGCATACAGATCAAGTTCAGCAAGTGAGTCGGACAAGCAGCCTTGGGCGACCTTCCAACAGTGAGAAATTATCAGTATCAAACTCGGTAGACCATACTTTAGTAGCAGATATTGATATCAACTGTCCAGACACTCTTGCCCATCCATTGATGGATACATTTCTAGATGAGAACCTATCTGCTTGGTCCAGTAGTATGTTTACGAGTGACAATGCGTGGAGGAACCTGGCTACGGAGATGGAGGAGCACTTTCTATTCTAATATAATGATGTCTCTATTCTTCTCCATCTTCCAGTAGGCGATAGATGTGGCAGAGGCCGTGTATCTAGCAACCGAAAAATCAGCAATATAGTCTGGATCGTATTCGCGATTCTCACATTTCCAACATGCCATCCATTCCATTAGACAAGCTAAATTGTAGAGGTTGACGTGAAGGGCCTCATCACGAGCATTAGTTGGTAAAGAAGCATCCACAAACACCATTCAATCACTGAAACTGGCCCCTTGACAAGCCAACTCAAAGATACTCTTCCCATCTGGCTCCGTAGCATGATCCTCGCGCGACATCTCCGCCGCTAAAAACAACCAATTAACCGCATTCCCAACCGTCGTATACTCATCCCTCAACCTCCTCGGTCCCGGTAGCAGCATGGAGCTCAGCTGGGAATCAGTCCAGAGCTCTACCAGTAGCCCCGCAATGATGTCCACATCGCCCTTCTCAAAGAAAAGTATATTACCAACACCCTTGGTAAAGGAAAACTGACTCATTTCCCTCACAGTGATTACGGGTTTTCCCTTCTGGACAGCGGCCAGCAGCATGGCGGGAATACCTTCGCACATGGACAGTTCAATGACGACTTTTGCTTTGGTTAGAAGGGCATTCCAGAGCTGATCTGGCGGGCCGATTTGCATTACGTAGATAGACGGTCTGAGACATGGCATGTTCACCTCGATGTGGGAGAGGATGGCATCGTAGATCAAAGTGCTTTTGGAGCTGCGGGATGGTCCGTAGTGGTATATGAGGAGTTTGGGGCAGGTAACGCTCATCCCTGCGTCCATGCAGTAGATAAAGAATTTATGATAGGCGTGAAGGACTGTGAGGGTCTCGTCGAGGTTTCGGAATTGTGAGAGGTGAAGGATGTATTGCTCTGCAGGTGGTATATGTATTAGGGAGATGCAATAATGGCATGGCGGGAACCGTAAAAAAAGCACGACATACCCTCAGGATAGTTCAAAGTCGGTGTCTCGAAGGATCGACACAAGGAGTTGAACTCGCGTCCATAAAATGTGATGTCAAAGTCTCTCATAGTCTTACTGGATCCATCCAGTCTGCAGCACATTAGCATGGCAATCTCATCCCAGAAAGTGAGGGACCTACTGATCCACAGATACTGGAATATAGCCAACTTTTTTCTCCGGCATGATATCCGGTACCAGCTCTTTTGGGCCTTGAGATACTACAAGATCCACATACTTGAGACGTTCCCGCAAGAAGTCCCACGGGCGTGTCGATAAGTTCCTCAGATCCTGCAGCACGCTCCGTTGAATTTGAACTCGATTTTCAAAGATTACTGGTCGTTTCGGATCGATTTGCTTCGACAATAATGCTGCAGGTGTAAGGGACACATCATCAATAATCACTATGTCTGCACCACCCTTAGAACGAGCCTGCAGAGGATCATCTTCACAAAGCCGGTATCGTCTGGCATTTTCATAGACCCACTGCAGAATAAGAAGTTCCTCATCGATGGTGAGGAAATCGCCCGGTGCATTTAATCCTTCTAGGGAATCTTGCATCTTCCGGATAATACTAATCATCCCTGGACGCGGCTTTGGGACATACCTAAACCAAAAGTTTAAGCCACTATCAAGTTTGCAAAGTCTAGGCCGCTTCCTCACCATTTAGCATTGACCCCCAGGTAGTGTAAGAGCCTCACTAGTGAATGCCTCGTATGAATATCCGGTCTCCCATGCGAGGACAAGCTAAAAAACGCAATTTTCACATTTCGTCGCTTGAGTTCTTCTGCATAATGTTGAACGATGGACCATGTCCGAGCAGTCACCGTCTCCTGGTAGTCTTCCAGATTGGCCAGCCGCACCCGAAAACCCCGATCTACCTCTACCAAGCTGCCGAGGCCTATGTTTTCCTGCAGGACATGGCCCACACCGAAAGACCTGTGACTGATCAGGTGTGCCACTATGGATCTAGGTCGGCCACGTGTACATACCGCATACACTTCCTGGCCATTGAGTCCGCCTGTTCATCTAATTCCTTGGTGTTCCACGATGAGAATGTCGCCAATTCACCCTGGTCAGAATCCGTCCTGGCGCGTTCTTTGTGTTCCAAAACTAGAGGCAGAATATCCAGTTCCCTCCAGAGCTGAGAACAGAGGGACGGATATTTGTCGGCCAAGGACAGTGGCAAGGCCAGACCTGTGATCTTTTCTGTATGTTTCTCACTGTAGGTCCGCAGTTCGGAGATGATTCGATTGCAAACGGTATGGGCAGGTGTGTTGGGGGACTCAGCAGGCAGATTGAACACGACATAGTCGAATAGATACGCCGAGTTTCGAAAGGCAATGGCAGCTCTGGTATCTCCGTAGTCGCAATGCAGAATGGAGATACCGGCGTAGATGGTCTACGTTATGGGATCGTTAGAAATTGCGATAGGAAATGGGTCACGGGATGTCTTAAGGGGAAGTCTTTGCATACAGTCAACGACCGACCAGACCAGGATATCGCTGCATTGATATCATTATGATTCCGTTTTCTCAGTTGCTGCAATTCGGGCATATTACTAGATTGAGGTGGATTGAAGAAGCTCCTGTGTATTTAAGACTCCGATGCGCTATCCCTTGGCAACTTCCTGGGATATGTTGTAGGAATAACATCCTCCAAAGAAGTGCGGATCTATCGAGATGTAAATGCAATCCGGTGGTGATCAGGGGATGGTGTGCCGCAAAGTTATGGGATCCAAGCTCCACGAATCCACATGTTCTCTCATCCTGACACCTTAACCATGTTCGCATAGAATCTGACTTTGTCGTTTTGAGTCTAGATGGAGTCAAAACGGCATGGTCAAATGAGTGCTGCTGTGCTGCCGCCCATGGCAGCTTTACTTACACGGGCACTCCTCCGAACCTTACCGTCACACCACTCCATATGTCTCCGCCGGGTTGTATGTCACGATTACTTCTTCTTCGTCTCTTCGTGATATCTATGTATCTTCAATCAATTACCCGCGAACTCCTTCATGGAGAGAGATATCATGTGACAAGTCCCAAACAGGAAATCGCAGCCCATTGACTTTCACATGCAATGACATCATCATCGTCGGGTCCGGTTTTGAATATCAACAAGAAAAAGCGATATAAAGACTGAAATCTTCATTTCCTCTCATCCTCACATCAATCCTTGAAACTCTCTCCGTGAATCCCAAAGAATATTTACAAAATGGAAGACCCAGGTAGATCCCCATTCCTCCCCAAACTCCCCTAGGTACATACAATCCAAAAACCTAACATCCAACTCAAACCAGTCTCCGAAATCCCAAGAGTAATCCAACACCTCACGCAATCGCCCCCGACGCAACAATCCGAAACCATCGACAAATTCTTCACCCCAGATGCCTCCTTCGTACACCCTTTCTGCCGGATCCATCATTTCCGAGGCAGTCGCTGGGTCGTGAAAAAGATCTACCAATGGTATAAAGTGATGTCGCCGCGCATTGAGATGAAGATCCACTCTATTGGTTCGTTACTTTCCCTAGCCATATAGAGGTGTTATCAGTCTCTCTAAACGAGAGAGCAGACACACGATTGATGATTGATGCTAATGGGCTATAGCATATGATTCCGACAACCAAAAACTCTACGTGACAATGTCTCAGATCTTCACGATCTGGATCGTTCCGTTTCATGTTGCGCCTGTGACGCTTACGACTGTGTTATCGCTAACTACAAATCCGAATGGCTACTTATCTTCTTCCCCTTCGACCACGGCGTCCTCGGAAAAATCACACCAGCCAAACGAAGAAGGAGCAAGCTACGCCGACGTCGTCGCCAACGGCAACCCAGATAGCAAGACGCCCCTAACCACCCACACAAACGGTCACCGCAAGCTCTATTACATCACCAAACAAGAAGATCTATATCAAACATCAGAATTTATCAAGTTTGTCCTCCCGCATATCGGGCACTGGATTGTATTAGCGATACATGCATTCGCGACGGTGTTCTGCGTGCTGGGGGTCTTTCTGTGGTGGCCGTTTGTGTGGATGGAGGAGAAGGGGTGGATTCCCGGGTTAGTTTTGAGGGGTGGAAATATTGTTTATGATATTGGTTGGAAGAAAAGAGCGATTGGGTCTGCGTCTTCCTAAGTGGGCTCGACCAGGAGGGGTGGGGTTGTATATTTGGGGCCTAGCATGGCTGTGTATATATCTCTTGTAACTGGTTATTGATAGATTGAATGGTGTTCATTGGAAGGCACAAGTTGCATAGGCGCCAGTCTCCTACCAAGAACTTGAAGTATCGCTGCATGCGACACGTCAACTTCTGGTGGGTGGTAAATTCACCCACAAGGCTGGATCTGCGCCACCAATTGAAAGGAGACACGGCAATCAACAGCCAACCAATATTTCCAGGTGGGATTCACTGACTCAGGACCATCAATTCCCCGCTAGTGCAAAATGATGTGGTAGTTCTTTCAGCTCAGGTGGAGAGACTCACCACAGCTGCGTGAATTGCTGAATCCCAACCAGATTGGTTGGGTGATCCTGAGAGAAGGCTGGCAGTATTACGCCACAATGGCATATTCATGCTTCTCAAGTATTAGATCGGTGAATATATATTGTGCCAGCCATGGCTTTCGATCATTTTTAATCAGAATACTGCAACTTGCTAAGGAGATAGTCGTGGACTAGTGACCTTTTTTGTGCTGGAATATCTGCGAGTGACTCTTCCATCTACAGTCTACGACCGTGGTGTACAAGCCAGACATAGCATAGAGCCATCATTTCCTAGCATACTCTGGCGCCTTCTCGCCATCTATGCTAGCGTCCAGCCAAGAGTTTTCATCTCATGCGGACCGAGATACATCTGGCCGTCTCTCTAAGTACACCAGGCACTGCTGTGTGATCAGCGGAATGGGATCTGCAAAGTAACCATATCCATACTACAACATGTCAGACATGACGCTAATATACAGCGCAAGGATTTGTTATCAGTTCGCCCGAACGGGGTCCTGCAAGTTCGAGAATTGCCGATATCCCCATGTGGCTGGTCCGTCAAAGCCTACCGGCAAAGGAAGCAACTCAAGATCAAGCGGGCGAAGACAACAACCCAGTAATGGGACTAACGACTTCAACGGTCTTGCCGCCTGGAAGCAGAAAGCCCCCAAGAGCCGATTAGCTATACGTCCACTGGGTGCGGAGCTGGGCCAGTTCTTCGCAGCGGCCAGAAGGCTGATCGAGGTTGACGGCGACAACGCAGCCCAAGAAGTGATCCAATGTCTCGCCCACGAGGGCGGCCTGCAACGAATCCAGGAACTCATTCAGCGTGACTATTCCCTGTTGTCAAATGCCACCAAGCGAAATCTATTCCAAAGTCAGTTCCTCCCCTTTCTCGAGAGTATCACCCACCATAAAGTCCTCGCGTCGTTGGTGATGGAGGAGTTCGTGGTTAAAATCTACAACTATATCTTTGGACCAGCCGGCCAACGTGCAGAGCCATTTCTGAATTTTCTGGCCGATGTGGTGCAGCTGGACGTTGAGCTCCACTCAGATACAACCTCGACTTACCTAGAACTATCGCTCCTCGTGTTTTGCAAAATTGTCGAGTTTAACTCGACAGCGTTCATCCAGGAGTCTCTGAAGCCCGTAGCGAGGCGATTTTATGATCTCTTCATGATCCTTCACGCCTTGAAGACCGCTGGGCCACTAGACAGGCCGCGGCATCACCTGGAAGTATTACAACGCCGGCTGGAGATCGGAGCTGCCCTACCACCTTTGCTGGGAGACTCGAAGCGTCTACAAGCCCGTACATCTCATGTAACCTTTGTCACTCCCAAAGACCCGCCTGGCGGCCGCCACGACAATGATCATGCGGACATTTGCAGAATCCAAATTATGCCTACTTTCAAAGAAATAATGAGTCCGCGTTCGGAATATCTCCCTGGAAAATGCCTGCACCAGTGGCATATCGGTGGTCTCGCCGGGCTCTTGGATCGAAATTTTCGGCTGCTGAGAGAAGACACCATTGGTCAGCTTCGAGACGTTATCCATGCCGAGCTGAGGCCCAGTCACTTGAGAGATGGACAAAAGAGCCAAGTTAGGACAAATGTCTATCAGAACGTCCTGGTACGGGGTCTGGATTTCGATCGTTTCACGGGATTACAATTTGTCGTCCAGTTTGCACAGCCGGTGAATGTCAAGGCCATGTCGGAAGCTCACCGCAGAGACTGGTGGGAGCTATCGAAAAGACTACAGTCCAGTGCCCTCGTCTGTCTCACGGATCCGCGAGGATTTGCCATCTTTTGCACCGTCGTCGGACCAGAGCGGCCCAGAACGGATGTGAGGCAAGAACGACGGCAGAGGAAGGTCTCCTCGCTGTGGAAGGAGGCGAATGTTGCATCTGTGACCATAGAGCTAGTGGAATCGACTGAGGAGAATCGGCAGTATATCCTAGATTGCTACAGGCCGCGCAACGGTGAGCGCGCGGTCTCTCTAATTGAGTTTCCTGGGATTTTATTGCCGTCATTCCAACCAACCTTAAAGGCACTTCAGTCAATGAAGAAGGCTGCAGATCTTCCGATGTCCGAATTCCTCGCCCCAGACGAGACGTTTGCCGGCCAAGTGGATATGCCACCTCCCAAGTATGCGGCAGTACCAGGGTTTAGTTTCAGCCTACGCTGTCTCATGAACGACCGTTCGGACCTCTTAGTGAGCCCGTCCCAACCCCTTGACTTGAAGAAGCTTCAAGAGAACTCCACTCTTGATAATGCACAGGCACAGGCTCTTGTCCACACCCTCCAGCGAAAGATAGGACTCATTCAAGGCCCACCGGGAACGGGCAAAAGCTTTACTGGAGTCGCTCTGATCAAGGTCCTACTAGCCAACAAGCCAAAAGTAAAGTCTCGACTTGGCCCCATCATCTGTGTCTGCTACACAAATCACGCTCTCGATCAGCTTCTAGAAGACCTGTTGGATGATAAAATCACGACACAAATTATCCGTATCGGCTCCCAATCCAAGTCAGAAAGACTGCAACCACTCAATCTCAGAACTGTAGTTCGTCAGGTCGACAAAACAAGGCTGGAGAAGCAGGAGCAGTGGAAGCTTCAAGTGAATTTCGATGATTATGAAAACCGTTTCGACGCACTTAGACTCGATGCTATAGGCACCGATCAAAGCTTGGAGTTCCATCTTAAGCGAAACCACCCTCGCCAGTATAGCCAACTGTTTGACAAGGACGAGGAGGGTTTTAAGAAGGTTTCTGGTCGACACCGTCAACACCTTCTACAGACGTGGCTCAAAGCTGGTCCAGCAACTAAGGACCAGCCGCGTGCAGTGGACCTCCTCCTTCAGCGGATCCATGTGGACAACATGACGTCCAAGGAGCGCAGGATCCTATACAAACATTGGATCAGAGAGAGTAGAGAGGAACTCCATGCTCAAGCTCACTCGATCTTGGCGTCGCACCAGGAAAACAAAGCGTCCTATGATAAGATCCGAGACGAGCTAGATCTGCGATGCTTGCGCAATGCTGATGTAATAGGAGTAACAACTACTGGCTTAGCCCGCAATCTGAACATGCTGCGCAGACTGCAATCGAAGGTGATTATGTGCGAGGAGGCGGGTGAGGTCCTAGAAGCACATCTGCTTACCTCGCTTTTACCATCGGCCGAGCATGTCATCCTGATCGGAGATCATCAGCAACTGCGGCCTCAGATCCAGAACTATGGGCTTTCTCGGGAGAGCAGGGCAGGACAACAATACTCTTTAGATCGCTCGCTGTTCGAACGGCTTGTCAAACCGGATGATGACGTTGGCATAAGTCTTCCATTCTCTACACTGGAAACACAACGACGAATGCATCCCTCAATTGCACAGCTGGTCCGAGACACATTGTACCCTCGCTTACAAGACGCACCTTCAGTTAGCCTGTACCCCGAAGTTGCAGGAATGAGAAAGAGGCTTTTCTGGCTTGACCACCGACGGCCTGAAGGCAACTCCTCGGTCCAGGATGCCATGGCAACATCTCACTGGAACGATCACGAGATTGAAATGACACTGGGTCTAGTAAACCATCTGCTCCACCAGGGAGAATACCAAGCAGGAGACATAGCTGTTCTGACACCATATCTTGGCCAGCTTCACCGAATGAGGCGTAAACTAAGCCAAGCATTCACGATCACCCTAGGAGACAGAGACCAGGACGACCTTGACAAGGCAGGCTTCACCGAGGATGAAAGCCCGATGACGCCAAGCGCAGTGTCCAGATCAACCCTCCTGCAAGCACTGAGAGTCGCAACTATAGACAATTTCCAGGGTGAGGAGGCAAAGGTAGTGGTGATCTCTTTAGTGAGAAGCAACGCTCAAAATCGATGTGGCTTCCTCCGCACACCGAATCGCATCAATGTTTTGCTTTCACGGGCACAGCATGGAATGTATATTATCGGTAACTCGGAAACCTCAAGGGGTGTGGATATGTGGCACAAGGTTCTTAACATCTTCGAAGAACATGATAATTTTGGCACAGGCTTAGAACTCAGATGCCCCCGTCACCCTTCTACTCCTATCGTGGTATCACAGCCGAACGACTTCGTGCAATTTTCGCCTGAGGGAGGTTGCAGTTTGCAATGCGGCAAGCGTTTACAGTGTGGTCACCCGTGCAAGCAGAAATGCCACTCAGAGATACTTCACCAGACGGTCTATTGCCCAGAGACATGCCCACGTCCACAGAAAGGATGTTCACACCCTTGTCCCAAACTGTGTGGTGACCCTTGTCCCAAGAGATGCGGCATCATGGTATTTGATGCAGGTCGAGTCCTACCTTGTGGTCACACAATGGCCAGTCTTCCTTGCTGGCAAGCACAAGATCTCAGCCTGGTTAAATGTCCAACATTTGTCAAGAAGCATGTTCCTCATTGCAACCACGAAATAACCATCGCCTGTCACCTCGATGTAAGCAAACCCGAGTACAAATGCACACGCCAGTGTCTTGCTGCTTTATCTTGTGGTCACAACTGTAAGCGAATATGCAGTCAATGTACGATTCAGACAAATGAGGACATCAAGGTGGATCATGGGCAATGCAAGCAAAGATGTGGCCGTTTGTATTCCACATGTGCCCATACCTGCGCTGCAGAATGCCACGGGGACACTCCATGTCCGCCATGCACGGCGCCCTGTGGCGTCCAGTGTGGTCACTCCAGATGCTCTAAGAAATGTTCTGAGCCATGTGCCCCTTGTGCAGTATCAAAATGTCTGTCCGCATGTCCGCATAGCGCGTGTTCCATGCCTTGCGCCGCGCCGTGTGATCACATTCCATGCTCTCGCCGATGTGAGAAACATCTATCGTGCGGCCATCAATGCCCGTCCTTATGTGGTGAACCTTGTCCAGCAGAGAAATTCTGCCAAACATGTGCGACCGACGACATTAAGGATATTTCTGTGGACTTCATCTTAGGTCAGACATACAAAGAGATTGACCTAGATGAAAACCCTTGCATATTTCCCCCATGTGGACACTTTCTGACTGTGGAAAGCATGGATGCCCAAATGGACCTTGGGAAACACTATATGCTAGATGAAATGGGAAAGCCATTCTCGATTTCCAAATCATCCGAACCGTTCTCCATCTCGGATGTTCCGAACTGTGCCACCTGTCGAGGTTCGTTGAGAAGTATATCCCGATATGGGAGACTAGTGAGGCGTGCCTTGTTGGACGAAGCGACGAAGAAATTTATTCTGTACTTAAATCAGAAGTACGTACCTATGGCTCAAGAACTCGCCCAATTGGTGGCTCAGCTGCCAGACCACGAAGGGACAGCGGCAGCAAAAGCATTCCAAAATGACCTTACTCTAAAGGTTCAAGGGCCACCTGACCACCAAATCCGATTGATGCACCAGCATCTCAAGAAAAATGATTCGACAAGATGGAAAGATATGATCCTCCTGCGCCAGCAGGTTACAGAATACTACCAAAACGTCAAGGTAGAGGAGCAGCCCTTCAACCAAGTACGCAACATGGTGGAGGATGCCCGTCGTCGAAAACGAAAAACCGGGCAATTCGAATTCGACGAGACTGTGCTTCAGACGAAAGGCTGCATTCAAGCAGCTTCGCTGTTACTTCGCCTCGATACAGCATTGATTGGAGACTTCCTCACTTTGTATAAACAAACTCCTGGCGGGTCCAACAAATGTGTTCTCCACCTTGACCTCCAGGCAAACCGAAAAGAGGGTGAGAAGCTGACAGCCATGGCTGTCACCTCACAGCGCGTATTACAACAGGTCGAGGGCTACCTTTTCCGCGCTCAGCTGTGTGCCCTGGAGTGCCAGAGCAGCGATCAGCCAACTCGGGCAGATGATCTTCTGAGCGAGGGTAATGAGTGCATTGAACAAGCTCAGAAGCTGTGTGCAACCCACCAGGTACATGGACTTGCTGACGAAATCGAGGGTACATTGAAGATGCTCCGCGGCAGTACTTTTTACACACCCGTGACCAGTGAAGAGAGAATGGCTGTTGTGGCTGCCATGGCGCGGGAATTCCGGGGAACTGGACACTGGTACCGTTGCGTGAACGGCCATTTTTTCACCATCGGAGAATGCGGCGGTGCTATGCAAATCTCCACCTGCTCAGAATGTGGTGCACGTATAGGTGGCCAAGGCCACCAAACAGTAGCTGGAGTGACCCGTGCCGCTGATTTGGAGGAGAATTTGGCCCGGTTAATAATTTGAAACTATGCGACCCGAGAGGCACGGCGGGGATTAAAGTTTGGTGACTTTGCCTCATAAGAAGGTGAAGTAGAAGCAAAAGGGGATTCATTGTGGGGGTGGAGAAGTTTGAAGATCGACACGGCAGACAGTTTAATCACGCAAAGAGGAGTTTCATGAGCAGGAGCAGGAAGGGGCTTTTGCAGTGTGGGGACTGCCGCGAAGAAGCATAGCAATACATACAATCGATATTCACATTTCTATCTGTTTGTAGGGGTATCAAGAAGGGACAACATCAGGACCAACTGCAAGCAACCAAACTCCAGAGTCATATAGACTCGATGCCATTGGTAGTCCAAGGCTATTCAAGCAAGCTCACCCGTACACCATCCATACCCATCGTCCCTGCAATGTGATCCATCCAGTCTGTCGTGGGTGGCTTTCTGTATGAGGGTGTGATCAAAGACTCCACTACTAGCTGCGGCGCACGTGGAGAGTCCGGTGGTGTTAAAGGACGTATTACAGAGTCTTCAGAGCTGGCCGGGCTCGAACAACTTTCTCCCGAAAGAAGTTGACATTCTAACTCGAGCGAACCTCGCTGTGTCGGATCTATGGCGATGACCAGCTGGTTGAGGATCAGCAGGCCGGAGCGAACACCACTCGCGAAAAGTGTCGAGTAACCGTCGAGGAAGAAATTTGGTGACGGGCCGATGAAGCTCTGTCGAGCACCTTCTCCAGCACGGCGCATCGACACCGAGATACCAAACTCCGTGTTGATCCCTCGAAGCGCTGCGCGGGCGGCCTGGACGCTACGCAAGACGGCCGGCTGGCACCTGGCCCTCTCCTCCGATGAAAGAGAAAGCAACTTGCGCACTTGCTTTACATGCCCGGGTATCTTCAGGACCTCCAGAAAGCCGCGCTCCACAACATCCGTATACAAGGATGAATCGGGTAGTTTGGCGTTGTTCGCCGCAATTTCTTCATTGAGGGCCTGCCACTCAGGCTCCTGCAGAAAGCATTCTTCCCCGGATATCAAGGCCGCTGTGACTAAGAAGCCTCGATAAGCGACATACATAGCACAACCGAACCCATGAAGATGAGCCAACGGACCACGAAGCTTCATCAGCGTCCGGACCCCTGACGCATGTCTGAGCCACGAGTTTGCATCGGTACAGTGGTGTTTCTCATAAACCGCGAGGGTAATAGCCGTCGCCAAGGCCTCATCCGATTTGGCCGTTGAGACGTCGGACAACAACCCGCCAAGGCTCCGCAAGGACTGAATATACATCACCCGAGCTTCTTTCAGAAGTCGCTGATCATCGTGTACAGCGCCCGCATAAGAGGTAGTACAAGCGCGAAGAGCCCAATCGAAACATGAATTAGTCCCTCTCCGATTTTCGACATATTCCACCCAATTTACCGGCACTTGTGTTTCGGTGCACTTGAAATAACAGGGGAAAGCTGATAGGACGAAGTTGGTGAATACTTGGGTCTGTAGGGATGAGACAGCGGTAACGGATAGCGAATGCGACACCGTCTTGTTAATCGGAAAGGCAACTGGCAGATATCGGACATTGGACCGGGTCGACCTCAAGGGAGGACCACCTTCGCCATCCAAGACCGGTGAGAGGTGCGAGGGCTGTGACGTCGACTGATATTTCTGTCGCAGGGCCGGGCCTTGATCGCGGAACTCGATCGTTCGGATTTGGCGCAGACAGGGTGTGTTCAGGCTTTTGCATCGTGCGCAAGGGGTCCTGCCATCGCACTGTAACGGGGCGTTAGCGTTATCATAGGCAATATCAAGGTATCGGGCATCATTGGCTGGTGTCCAGAAACGAGGTGAAATAATGTCGGGCTCCACTTCTCTGCAAGGGCCATGATCTAGATCGAAATGATAGATCGGGATCTCGGCATCTGTGTTGGTTTGGGGAGGACAGTGGGAAGAGGGCCACCAGGGTGCGGTAGTTTAACGAATGCGGTCTCAACACAGCCCTCGTGTAAAATTTGATTGGTGCGGGAAAAGATTGCTCATTGTAAATCGCACTTAGGCAGCATAGAATGTTCAACGGAGGGGAAATAAGCATTGGTAAGAAAAGGCGACACGGACCTTAAGGCGGGCGCAATGCAGCCACGACAACCGCGTGGCACTCGAACCATTGACGCAGGAACACAGAGGAGCGCCTTCCTGCTCGTATCCGGACCCGTTCGGCATGGAGCAAAGCGTTAGTCTCAAACGACTGACGCAGTAATTTCTTTCAGAATAGAGTCATCGGTTGGGGATTTAGGGGGAAATTGCCGGAGAACAGAGAGTAGTAATGTGGAAGGGTGGAGTTGACATAGTGGGCCGAAAGAGCCACAAAAACGGATCCTGCCGTACCGTGACTTCTTCTTAGTAGTAGACTACTAATTATTAGTACTAAGAGGTAGGTATTGTACTGGTTTCTACTAGTACTACGTACGACTAGGCGATACTTTAATCGACCAATGCAGTAGTACTACCTACTCAGGCAGCATTACACCCTGAACAAAAGTCCCCAAGGACCAAAACTAAATGTAGACACCTCAGGTATCCACTAGCTTGAAGATTAGAGCAAATGTACATATATATATTTCTGTATATACACCGAATCTCTGTACGCCCTAGGTTCGGAAAATTTCAACTCTAAAAACTGCATTTCAAAAGGCTCAATCATGCAAATTCCCGCAAAGATTCCAACATGAGAGGCAGAAACTGAAAATCAACCATATCGCGCTTTCTTTTCTGCAAACCGAAAGGACATGAATTTGTCAATCAAAGCCGATGGTGTCAACGAGACAAACCGTTGCCTATGGTTTTTCATGATAAGTGCACCCGAAAGACGAGGCCAGAATATAGCAAATTCCATCGAGACGGGGAGAAAGAGTACAGGAGAAGCGGTCCGACCAGGATGCCACCAATATGGGGCACCGGGTCGACAAGTACAGGCAGTAATGGGAATCCTAGACGCAAAAAGACCCAAAAAGAAAAAAAGATAATAAACACAAGACAGGAATGGTTACGTTAAGATAAAAAAAAAGAAGAAAAAAAAACCAAGAATTCCGACCACGCCGGGATTCGCCGAGAAAGACAAGTAGAAAAAGGTTGCGAGGCCATGGGAGAAGAAACATACAGGTGCGACCACCACCCATTCATACCAGTCCATCGTACAAAGACAGGGCGCTCACGATCGTCTCGTCGCGCTTGCTACCTTCCTTAAACTCCTCCATGTCAAGGCTGCCATTCTCATCCTTGTCCATCATCCGGAAAATCTTGCGAACTCGTTTCTCGGGCGTGTCCTCATCTTCGGGGAGTTTCACCATCGAGCCGACCTAGTCATCCGTCAGCCCTCAGTCACAGCATCCACTCGGTGCTGACAGTTGACATACCATCTTATAGATTGCCTCCACGATGGCGAGCATTTCGTCATACGTGATCTTACCATCGCCATCAATGTCATACAGTTGAAAAGCCCAATCCAACTTGTCCTCCATCTTGCCCCGGGATGTGACCGACAATGCACAGATAAACTCCTTGAAATCGATCATCCCACTATTATCCGAATCGAAGACACGGAACACATAATTGGCGAATGATGACGGATCGCCAAAAGGGAAGAACTGTCGGTAGATCTTCTGGAACTCTTCCTTGGTCAAGGTCCCCGAGGGGCAGTCCTTCAAAAACCCTATACCGAACAGCCTCGGTCAGCCCATATACATCTTGACATAGAGTGAAACACGTGGCAGCGCACCTTTATACCATTGCTGCAGTTCCTTTTTATCAAAATGGGTAGCCTTCTGGAGCTCATCGAGCTGGGTGGGGGAAAGCTTCGACTGACTGTTCGGTCATTTGTGTTAGCGCACAGGGACCAACCAGTGAGATAAATCACGGCATCGCAGAAAGGGACGGAAGCAAGCTGGACAAGCAAAATGTGACGACAAGCGAGACAATCCAATCCTCAAGGCTGTCGCCCTTAGTAATCATGGAACAGGGCCTGCGCATGGCATCCCGCTCTGGATGTGCATATTGTTTTTCATGGCCGTCAAGAGTACGCAAAACGGGGAAGCACGCGCACTTACGATTTACCCATGGTCACAACACGCGCCTCAAGACCGCTCCAAATTTATTGTAAATGATCACCTAAAAGCTGCTGTAGAAATCTTGATTTCACAAGCGGTTCCGATCTATTATGCGCTGAGGGGAGTGCAAGATGCAGCTGCGGAAGATCGCGGGGTAACGAGGTTTGGACCGATAAGATCGTGCGCCCCCGTGGCCGGAGAGAAATCGTTTCACTAGATTAAAGGCTGGACGAAAGAAGGAGGCAGACCAGACCAGTACAGAATTCAGCCACGAGAGATTTAACGTAGACCAGGGAAACAGGAACTATTCGAATATCCGATCGGCGGGTTTTGGAAATGGGAAAATAGAAACCGGGGGGGATGAAGACTGCTTAGTGGCGTTAAACACCGGGGGAGCCGTGGGTCCAGACCTTTGACCGCCAAGGGGGAAAGACGCAAGAGAGCTGACGCACTAGGGATCCACGCCATAGCTTGGTCAAGGTACTATATGCTACTCCAGGAAATCTCTACTTGGTACCGTGTTCAATGACTTTTTTCGTATATCATACAATACGTTTCGGTTGACCTTGTCTGTGCACATGAATGCATCAAATCCTACCCGCTCCACTAGCGCCAAACAATATTCTCCAAGCATGAAAACAGCATTCTCGTATACTCTATGTACAGGTCGTGGACAATGCATCGGATGGGATTAGCAAAGGAAATACGAATGCGCGCAAGCTATACAGGGGATATCCGGAACAAGACTGGGAAAGAAAAAGAGCCTCCATCATTCTATATCGCGCGGGGGTAAATAGGACTGGCCGCCAAGCGCAGTGTCCGGTCAATTGAAGAAATACAGCGCTAAGACGTTTAGTCAACCTTAATGGAGCCATAGATGCGCTGTACGAATGCCCAACTTGCGAAAAAGCCGATCGAGCCTGTGGATGAATTAGTTGGCGGCGATGGAACCGACATGGAAAAACAGCCCAGAACTCACCAGTCAAGATGAAAACGACGAACCCAATCAGTGCGGAGTAGCCGACATAGAGCACCGCACCTGTAAAACCACCAAAGCTCACTCGGGTTGCCCAGAAAAGCAGTGCGTTGAGGAAAACATAGCCACCAGTCATTCCGGCGCCAGCGAAAGCCTCCACTGCCATCGGTAATTCTCTGCGCACAGCAAGAAGTATACCAGGAGCACCGTCGTAGCCGCAGTTGTGATGATCATCAGCCCGTAGCAGAGGAACAGGAAACCAAACATGTAGTAGATCTTGTTGGTCCAAAGCGATGTCATAATAAAGTATAGCTCCACAAAGATCGCTCCAAATGGAAGAATACCTGTCAGCAGCAACGAAGGGATGGTCCGAAGACTGCCAGTCATGGGAGGGACCTGGCGGGGAATCTGATTCGTCTTCGTAGGTCCTTCCACGGCCTAGGGAAAGGGTCAGCACACGCCCCAGTCCAGTATATCATAAATATCACAAGCGGAACAAACATACACGTTGCTTGAATCCAAGCCAACTGCCCGCAACACTCAACGGCACGCTGATGACGAACCAAATCGCAACGAGAGCTAGCATAGTGCCAAAGGGCACAGCTCCGCTGGAACCTTTCGCCCATACGAACAGATTGAGCAAGAAAAAGCTGCTGAAAATAAAACCGGGAACGAGTACGGGGGTCATGACAATATTGCGCTTCCAAGCTTCTCCACCGAAAGATTTGTATACTCGAGCGGAAACATAACCACCAATAAACCCAAAAAGTGTGTAAATGAGTAGGGTGGCTGTGGCTAAGAAACCACGATTTGCTGGGGAGAGAAGGCCAAAGAGAGCAACAACTAAACAAGCCGCATTAGTATGAAGATTCGTCATCACCACCGGAAAAAAAAAAAAAAAAAAAAAACTTACGAACTGTGGCGCCTGTCATCATGAAAAGCTGTGCACCGTTTCCAACAAGAACACTCAACAACAGAGGAGATTTCGGGCATCGGAAGACATCCCCATGTACCAACTTCCAGCCAGAATCCTCTTGGATACCGTCTTCCACGGCGGCGGACGTTCCATCCAAATCCTCTAGGTTAATCATGTCCAGCCGATTATACCGGGCAATATCCTTCCGGAGAGCCCTAACCAGAATCATGCTCACCATACCGACCAGGAAGACCACGAACACTGCGGAGTTGATGAGGGAAAACCAATGGATCTTCGGATCGTAGACATGCAGATACTTATCCCAGCGGGTAGCCCAGGGCGTAGATGATTCACGCCAGTACACGCTGTACGTCCAAGTGACACCGGTCTCACTATCCTCATCCAGGATAACCGGGACGTCGCTGGATCCGCAGTCCACGGTCCCATCTCCCTGAACCTTGGAATTCCCACGGGAGTCGGGCTGAACGAGCACACCGACAACCCGATACTTGTCCTTGGCCCCGTACCCTACTGCATGGTACTCAATAAAGATATCAAAGTGGTTGTTCAAGACCGCCTGCCCATTATCATTCAATGATCCCAATGCAAAGCCCGGATTGTAGAATTTGGCCTCAGTGACAGATTCCACGTTGATTTGGGCACCGGGGAGACCGTCTACGAGCCAATTGAAGTTGTATCCTTGTACAATCCTTCGGTTGGTAAATTTGGCGCTACGGGAATCGAATTTGGCCTCCTCCTTACAGACAGCCTTGCACGTTTCGTTCTTGCCCATAAAGAGCTCGAAAGGTGACGATTGAATTCGATCCCCGAACAAAATGCTCCCTAGCGATTCGCGTATATATTTGGGTCCATTTTCCGGGGCGCAGAAGTGAAACGCGGGGTGATAGTAGTCGTAGGAAAACACGGAATGAAGTTGCTCGTCCTGTTGCGCAAGCCCCGGGGTGAGATGGTTGACATACAGCGGCACCGATTGTCCTTCGTCATACGAGGTGGGTGCTACACCCGGTAAGTAGAAGGCTGTTGTGAAAGAGGGTGCCGCAAGAAGAAGCGAATATAGGGAAAATGTTCGTTTGCTGAACGCCATTGTGGGCGTTGCTGTACAATAACAAAGCATAAGATTAGCTCGCCCGGCGCACTGGGATACTATGTTGTTCTAAGAATGCATTTGAGTGACATACATGTCTACAGTTGCCACTCCAGGGAAGATGTTTCAGTGGCTCATTGGGCGGGTGCTGCGATGGTCGGGTTCCAAGGGAAAACCGCTACCTCGAGGCAGGTCAAGCGTTGAGCTAAACGGAGATTAGATTGATGGAGCAAAGCGGCTGCGACGGATACGATGAGGCCAGCTATCGGTCTTGGCGCACGTGATGGGTCCCTCAAGCTGGCTATCGGCACGTGTTGATAAGACATCCAAAAATTTCCCTTGCAATTCTTCAGTTTGCAGATCGCAAGCGCAAACGAAACAGAGCCATCCATCACATCGCAATGGAGACCGCTACGCAACAGCCGGAAAATTCCGGTCTGCAAAATATTTCTGCTTTATTGGAAACCATTACTGGCTGTCTCACCACTGCCGGATCATCCCTCCCCAAGGACAAGCGAGATGCACCCTCGGAGGTGTCGATCGAACCTCCGCAAGATGGTATATCGCTACTAGATACCAAGAGCGACTTGCTTCTCTCCTATATACATAATCTCGTTTTTCTGATGCTATTTCAATTGCGCGGGCTATCAAAAGATCGTGATAGCGATGCCGAAGCAGATCACTCCCTGCGTGAGGAGACCGTCAAAAAGCTCGCAGAATTACGGGTTTACCTGGACCGCGGTGTGAGGCCTTTGGAGGGACGACTTAAGTATCAAATAGACAAAGTGGTTAAGGCCGCTGAGGATGCGGAGAGAGCCGAGCGCACCGCTGCGAAAACCAAGGCAACCCAAGCAGAAGATTCTGGCAGCGACAATGAATCGGCATCGGAGAAGGACTCAAGCGATGGTGAAGGGGATAGCGCGGAGGGAAGTGATGATGATCAGGAAGATATCGATGAGATGGCATACCGGCCCAACGTCTCAGCCTTTGCGAAGAAAGTCGAACCGGAATCGCGGGCAGAGAAGTCTACCAAGAAGGCCCCTAGCGACGGCATCTATCGCCCACCGAAGATCATGCCGACAGCTCTTCCCACAACTGAAACCAGAGAACGTCGGGAGCGTGGTCCACGCCGGTCGACCGTTATCGATGAGTTCGTCAATGCGGAGATGTCGTCCGCACCGATGGCGGAGCCTAGCATTGGTAGTACGATCGTCCACGGTGGCAGGCACACTAAGTCCAAAAAGGAAAGGGAACATGAGACAGAACGGACAACCTATGAAGAAACCAACTTTATCCGATTGGCAAAGGAGAGCAAAAAGGACCGGGCCAAACGAGGTGGCCAGGCCAAGGGCACTTATGGAGGTGAAGAATGGAGAGGCCTTACTGAAGGTGCGGATCGTATCTCAAGGCTTACACGCAGGGCTAAGGGAAGCGGTGGCGCGCTGGATAGGAGTCGGAAACGCAAACACGGTGAGGACGGGCCGCGCGGTGATGGTGCAGCTGTGGGTCAAATATTTGAGAAGCGACGGAAGAAGATCGAGGGTTGGAAACGGTAGCTGCATTTATTTTCCTCGTTCCTTGAGAATGAATGCATCTGTAACTATTTATTCTGATACCATTGGAGAAGTTTCCACAATTCATGTCTTTGTACGGCTGGGGCGTGTTTCATCAATTAGCCATGCCCATCCCACTGCAGACCGGATGGGTAGCGGTGTATGTCATTTAACAAAAGATAGCTCTTGTATCAAAAAGAGTCTTCAAGGAGTAGAATAAGCACTAGCCAGATATGATTGTCTGGCAGGTAAGATAGCAGTGAGCAGCATATAGTAGAGCTAATCAGGACATGTCTCCCTAACTCAGTACAGAGCAGACCCCGTAAGGGTAACTTGCTGACTGTAAACTAGCAATCAAGCTGCACATCAGTGTACAGTCAGTGTATATGGCCGGTCTCCTGCAGTAGAAGATCGTTTTGTATTGTATAATCTATTCCACCGTCCTTCACAACTACTCTACCGTAATGCGTTCTATCATCATGTACAAGGGTATCGGCGAGACCCAGAGGCCTCTCGTGACACAGGCTGGGTGCTCATTCTAATGTACCAAGGGCTCAAACGGGGAAAGACGAAGAAAAAGAAACGAGAAAAAGGAAAACATAAGACAGTAGGGAGCTTCATTCACACAACATGCTCGGCACAGGTCGCACGAGAAGACATGAAAATGGGATATCGGCGTGTCAAGAATGTTCTTCAAATATCTTCGGCGAAAGGATAAAATAAACAACAAAAGAGAAATCGTGGATCATCGTCTATCAAAGAACCAGCTGGTGCGCTTTCCCGTCTCCTGGGACTGGACTCCGGCAACCGGAGCACTGCTCTCGGATCCTCCGCCGCCGCCACGGAGCGGCTTCGCGATTCTCGAGCCGCCAAAACTAAAACTGCCGCCGCTATCCATACTCGGAAGACCCCTGGTAGAGCCCTGCTTCGCAGCCTCGAGTCTCTCTTTGACAGCAGTAAGTTGAGCTTCAAAACTGTTGGGAAGATTGCGGTTAGTCACGGTGGCATCCAGAAGGCAAATGGGATAAGTCCATACCGATGATTAGCCTGTGTGAGTTTCTCCTGGCTCTCCTGGAGCAGGCTCTCCAAGCTTGCGATGCGCTCATTTCGGGCGATCAGTTTCCTCTCTGCAATAGCAACCTCCTTCTTTAAGCTGCTGTTCTGTTCTACCAGCTGCCGCTGTACATGGGTCAATTGCTCAAGGTTACGCTCCAAGAATGCCATCTTCTTCTGCTGGGCCCGGTTGTTAGAAGAGCGCAACACGTTGTTGTATTGCTCGCGGGCGTCGTCCAGAGAAATCTCCAGTTCCACGACACGCTCACAGCGATTCTGCAGATCACGCATGAGAGATTTCTTCATGGCATCAAATTCAGCGATCTGCTGCTGCAAGTTCTTGCCCGCGGCCCCATTTGTCGACACGCGAGTTTGCGAGTCGGCAAGAGACTGACGCAGCTTGCTGAGTTCTTCATCCTTACGTGCAATCTCCTTGCGAAGTTCCGAGGCTGCCTGCATTTCGGCGTCTTTTCGGGTAACGTAGACCTTTTCCAGTCTCTCCCGGATCTCATCCACATCCTCCTCTCCCAGGTTGCGTTCCAGAAGCTTCTCATAGTCCTGCTCGAGGTCTGCAAGCTTCTGCTCAACTTCTATTCTGCGGCTGTCCTGCAGCTCACTCAGCTCACCCCGGTCATTCATGGTCAGCTCGGCCTGCCGGATAAAACCTTGGGTCTCCGACAAACTCGTGCGAAGCTCCAGGAGATCGTCCGGTGCAATGTTTTCGCCCGCCTCGCTAACTTGGTGCAATGCATCAACACGGTTGATGAGATCCTGAAGTTTGCGCTCGTTATCGGAGAAGACATTGCCTCCGAGGTCAAATCCAGCCATCATCTTCGCCATCTTCTCCGCCTTTTTCTTCTCCTTCTCGTCTAGTGCAGCACTGGTCTCCTTCGCCTTCATTCGCACGTCGAGAAGCTGCTGCTTGACATCATCCAGTTCCGTAGTCAACTCCGAATTGGCCTCCCGAAGGCCGTCCATAGTGATGGCAGCTTCCTTGCTTTCATATGATACCTTCTCCAGCTGCATCCGGAGCTCGTTGACTTCGGTGTTCAACTTCTCGTTGTCCTTACCCGAGCGTGCCGAGTTCTCCTTCAATGCCCGGAGCTCCTCCCGTGCCTCGCGCAGACCCCTTTCAACATTGGCAATATGCGATTCCTTTTCAGCGATCTGATCCTGCAGCTCATTCTCACGCCTGAGGAACTCCTCCCTCTCATCTTTTTCAAGTACAAGACTAGGGGTGCTCGAGCGATCGCCAACTCTCGAGTCAGGACGAGGGGTTTCCGATCGGGCCTCCTGAAGTCGAGACGGGGTGCTAGGGCGCGGTCGAGCTTCGGCCTTCGTCGCACTGACAACATCATTTCTGCCGGGCGTCCATCGATCCTTGGGAACACTTTCACCACTCCGCCATACATGGACTTCGGTCTCCAGTGCCGATATGTAGCTCTCGAAATTGATCACCTGGCTCTGCGCTTTACGTAGCAACTGCTTCAATTCAGCGGGACTCAGTTCGGCATTAACCTTCGCCTTGTTCTTAATTGCCTTGGCTCGCACACCGAATCGCAAGGTCGAAATGGTTTCCGCATCGTTGTAACTACTGGGAGAGCAGTTGATAATCAAAGTGGTTCTTGAGTTACCTCCCAAACTCTCCTGCAGGATTCGGGTGAGTTTCGAGTCACGATACGGGATATGGGTGGATTTGCCATCCGTCAGCGCGTTAATGACCATACCAAGAGCACTCAAACTCTTGTTGATTTTCTTCGCCTCCTCGAGTGTCTGACCACTGGCGCCCGTCTTCCCAACTTTTTCACTACCGGCCAAATCGACCAGGAATAGTTGACCGCTCTTTGCAGAACCTGTCTCGAGGTTCTTCTGCGTAACCGTAATGACGAAGATGGAATGGGAACGAGACGATTCCTGGTTCATGTTGGTCGCAGCAACTGCTCGTGCCGCGCCACCACGGCGCATCACCTCGTAAACCTCCTGCACACTAGAAACATAGACTTCTAGCAGGCCCTTGACGTAAACACCTCTGGACTTTTCCTCGTGCACGGGAAGGTTATCGTTCTGTGGCACCAACAGATCGCGAATACGCTCCATATAAATTTCCATGTAACTGACGCGCACCGTATACTCGATATTACTCGGACTAGTAAGGATACTGGCGAAGATCTGTTCGACAATACGGGGGATAATACCTTTGCCGATGTCGTCGTCGATATCGGATCCCATCATCGTATATGACTTACCCGCACCAGTCTGACCATAGGCAAAAACCGTTCCGTTATATCCATTCAATATATCGTCGACGGTGGGTCGGATAGAGAAATCGAAGATGTCCGTTTGCTTCGAGTCCATGGGAAAGACCCGGTCGAAAGTGAAGGAGCCGGAACCCTCTCTGGACTGTACATCGGTTAGATATTCTAAACTGGCATCCAGGCAGAAGGGCCCTAAAGGAGGAATTATCGGCCGAAACCACGCACATTGATCTGACATGATTGCTCATTTTCGAAGTCTACAATGGGTTCTCCTCCAGAAGACAATTCAACTTTATTTTGCGGTCGGAACCTCGCAACCACTACGGGGAACTGGTCAGTAACACCATTCGCGAAACAGAATCATCAGTCTCCGGGAGGATATGCGCACCCTTGATGGAGGTGTTGGAGGAGTTAGGGCCAGATGACCTGCATGCCAGACATGAAAGTGTCAGTCTCCGCCGCTTTGGGCGATGAAGCGGTGAATCAACAAAACTCACGCCATGTTCACTCTGACCCAGAAGCCCGGCGACAGCTTCTAGGGGGAACAGAATAAAACGAAAAAGACGAGAAAGGAAGCCCCACGAAGAGGGGGGAGTATCGGAAATGCCGTTCAGATCAGTTGCACGAGAAGGTGGTGTCTTCAGGTACGGTGGGCGATTTGTTGTTTGGGTCAGGGGTCCACGTGCACGACACACTTGCGTGGGGAGTAATTTAGTGAGGGGACTCGTGATCTCCTCAAGCCCCCAGAGACCCAAAAAAAAGAAGGGAAAAAAAAAAAGAGAAAGTGGTCAAGACCCGTCTTAGTCGGAAGGCCAATATACTACCACAGCGACAGGACTGGTCAGGTCGACGTGAAAGAAACAAAGAGATGTGGGATCTCGTTTTTTGTGTTTCATCGGAGGAGTAAAGTTGTAAAGGAAATCATAATAATACTAAATAATAATGCTTCGACACGAGCCGTTAGTCTCCTTCTTGGCATCGGCTGAAAACTATCTTGTCGCTTGTCCCGCAGTTACTAGTCGATTTATAGCAGTGGAATTCGTTATGCGATTTTCTCTTTCAGGCTCATCTTAATTTTCACTAATAAATTGTGGACGATTCATAATGGCTCCATAAGAAACTCGAGAGGCGAAAGCAAACCACACTCTTGGCCAAGTCAAAGTGAAGCAGAGCAAGAAGGGGAGAGACTAATCAATGATAGAAGCCAAGGCATAATTGAGGCAGAAAACATCCTAAGCTAATGCATTATGCACCTCGCAACTGAAACATATGCGATTATCCACAAAAAGAGACCAAAGGGAGAATATGTACCAGGCGCCCAAACCCCGCGCTGTGCATGTCATCAAACGGCGTGTGAATCCTCCAAGGACAAGTCATGCCAACAGCGTGACCGCCACCATTGACAGTGTGCTGTCACCTTTTGACATGAGCAGACAATATTTCTTTCGTCATAAACGCCCACAGATAAATCATACCGAGAGAAGGGAATAAAAAAAATTAAGAAAAGTAACCGATATCACATGTAGGGTCCCCTAGTCTTCCCAGCTCTTCTCGACGGTCTCGCGCACACGCTTGATGTACTCCTTCCGGTTGTCTTTGTAGAGATTGGATGCCTCGACATTGGCAGGTGATGATGTGTTTGGGTCGTTAAGCAGACTGCAGAAAGGCGGAAATCGATTAGAGCCAATCACTCACCGTCACTGGTGGCCAGGGAACGTACCTTTGAATACTGGTGAGAATGGCCGCCACGTCATACGTTGGGCTCCAACGATTCTGCAGAATATCCAGGCACAGCTCGCCCGTACCGTATACATTCGGATGGAACATCTGGCTGATGAATTTAACACCAGGAGGCTTGTTCGGGTACTGCTCTTCAAAATGCATGACAAGACGGAATGTGCCATCCTCAAAGGGAGTATCAGCAGGACCGATGATAACGGCATTCCTAGTAGAAACAGGATCAGCACATTGACCATGGCAATAAATAACAAAATCAATAATTTAAAGGACTTACCAGGTCATGACATTGTCAGCTACCGGAGAGGCCGAGACACCGGCAGGAGGGTCGGTTTGCATACGCTGTGTGTATGGAAGAGATTAGCTCACGAGATCTAGACGGGGTGGGGAAGAGACCGAGCCTCCTGGACAAAACAATCATCATTCGCGTAGTACACATGAATATAATAAGGACCAAAAACAAGAACTAGAAATTCTGAGTTCTACGAGAAATGCGTACCTTGAAGTCGCGCATGAGACGACGACGGGCTGAGGTCGACATTGCGGCGGGGTACGGATCGGAGTATGAATGGGAGCGGGCAAGGGGGACTGCCAACACTGGGGCTAAATTGTGATACAGAAGACAAAGGCCGTCTTCAGATCTTGATTCTCGGGGTGCTAAACTGAACTCAGATGTTGTTTTGAGAGAAGAGGGTCTGGATGTGGTTTGGGAAAAGAAGAAAGATGAGTAACAATGGGAGGAGGCGTGCAGATCCACTACAGACCGCTTGCTGTTTGGAGAGTTGTTACAATAGACGGCAAACCGCCACGGCTTCCATTCCACTGTGGTACACCTTTAATCATCAAAGAGATCCACTGGGGCATTTGCTTCTCCGCTTTGCTAAGTTCAATAACATCGTTCTCTTTCAACGGGCATTTTCCTTTCCCGATTCCTCGGACTACGCGTTCCACAAGGTATGTACTAAAATGTGCTGGGAATCTCCTGTCCCGTGATCTGGTTTACTGATTGAGAAGCTTCTACTGACTAAGCCAAATGAGTCCTAGCCCCAGTCATGGATTCTTCAACGCTAACGGCCGGTACTCATCCGTGAACCCGAGCATATATCATCATGATCCTTCATGCACTAATCCCCAACTAACAATGCTTACCTTTCAACACTTGTCATACTGAATCACCACAATAATCTTTGTCTAGCCGAAAAATTCTAAATCGGCAAGCCCATGCCTTCCATGTCCTCAAGTTCCGACCTGTGGCATATAAGGTATGGTCCAAATTTGGCCGTTCAGCACAAAACTATTGTAACTTGGACAAGAGAAAATAAATTTGAAAAACTATCCAATGAAAGGAGGTTTGTTCTTATAATACCGTTCACTGCAGTTTGTATATAGTTATCTATTACTTCAAGAAATTACTCTGTACATATCCATGTACTACTAGTAGTGTTCAAAAATATATATTGGTCTCCTGCGGGCATGTTTATCATATAGCTGTTTTGAGGCCCCCAAGAAGCTAACATTCGCCGTCTATAGAGAATTAAATAGCCTAATATAAAGATAGGAATTTAAATAGCATGTGTATGTTAAAACCGATATATTCTATAGTTAACTACTGCTCGGATATTTCTCATCCTCCGGGTAATTCAATATATTCATCATACACAGGATACTGCGCAGTAGACGGGGATATACGATGTCACATGATGGACTTAGTGCTCAAGTTCCTTTGTTGCCCAGGAACAAGGTGCTAAATTATTTGTTTCAAAGCTGCCCTATTGTGAATTGGAAATATGTAATCCGCCCCGCTCCTCCGCGCGCAAGTCGAGGAGGTGGATATTTATGCCGTACATATATACAGGCAACACCCAGCATATCAAGATAACTTTACCACCGAACATTTCCTGGGCCCAATATGGACTACTTAAAACGGTTCTAATATATAAGTTTACACAAGGCGTGTAGAGCAGATGGGCTGGCAGTTGGACGAAGGATGGATCACTTCGCGACTGACAGAGAGCCACTTGAGTCACTACTGGACTTTATAGTAGGTATGGCGTAGTACGGATGGAATTGTGAGACATTGAATCTGCATTGATACGGTGTGTGGTCCTTATCGTAGACTTGATAAATTGTGAATCTATCTTTGAGATTACCACCAACCTTAAGAGGTAAGGAGCATACCAGCTCCCAAGGCCGCATGATCTCACATCATGTGATCAACCCTTGTTCGAAACAGCCTCGGTCCAAGCGGATGAGCGGCGAAGTGGTTCCGCGCCCACGGGTGAAGCAGCAGTTACATTGGCGGCTAGAGGCGGATTACTTTGCGGAGAAGCAGGTTGAAGGCACCTCGAACCGGGACACCTATCCTGAATCCGGAGACAAGGTACTTATTATCTCTGTTTCCTCTTTGATCTTCCTTTCCCCCCCCTATTCTACAAGCATTGAAAAATGGCGATCCAAACTTCAGCTACTCGTCTCTTCAAGCGAGCGGCTATCCCCGCATCTCGCCAGTGGCAGAGACAGTTTAGCGCTGCAACCCCGGCACTCAAGGAGATCCAGGATGCCTACATCCTCAGTGCCTCACGAACTCCGACTGCTAAGGTTCGACCCTCTACTCTTCCTCACGCTGTTTACAAGGAAACTCATTGTTTTTAATAGTTTAATGGATCGTTCACCTCAGTCTCTGCTCCCGAGCTGGGCGCTGTTGCCATCAAGTCTGCTGTGACCAAGTCTGGACTCCCTGTCGAGAAGATCACCGATGTATACATGGGAAATGTTCTCCAAGGGTCTGTTGGTCAGGCACCAGCTCGTCAGGCTTCTATCTTCGCTGGGTTGTCGCCTACAGTGGAATCCATGACAGTTAATAAAGTGTGTGCCTCGGGTCTCAAGGCCGTAGCACTTGCTGCACAGAATATCCAGCTTGGTCTTGCAGACGCCCAAATCGCTGGAGGAATGGAGAATATGTCTCGTGTCCCTTACTACCTCGCACGTTCCAGCCAGCTTCCACCGTTCGGAGAGATCAAACTGGAGGATGGTCTAATCAAGGATGGTCTGTGGGATGTCTATAACAAGTTTCATATGGGTATCTGTGCCGAGACCACAGCAAAGAAGTACGACATCTCGAGGGAAGACCAGGATCAATATGCGATTCAGTCGTACCAGCGGGCCCAGAAGGCCTGGAGCGAGAATAAGTTTGCCGATGAAATTGCCCCCGTCACTGTCAAGGGTAAGAAGGGTGAGACCGTTATTGAACGTGACGAAGGATATGAGAATCTGCGGATTGATAAGATGAAAACCTTGAAGCCCGCCTTTTTGAGAGACGGCACAGGCACTGTCACTGCCGGTAATGCTTCCACCATGAATGATGGGGCATCGGCTCTGGTTCTGGCTAGCAAGGACTTGGCTCGCGAGTTTGGCCAGGGTAACCGGGCTCTCGCGCGTATCGTGTCTGCTGCGGATGCCGCCATTGACCCCGTGGACTTCCCCGTTGCCCCAGCGAAGGCAGTCCCCATTGCCCTTGAGCGAGCTGGTATCACCAAGGATCAGGTTGCCGTCTGGGAATTTAATGAGGCATTTGCTGCCGTTATCAAAGCCAACGAGAAGGTTAGTACCCACTACACGGGAGATGATTAGTGCTGAGTCTAACGTGCATTTAGATTCTTGGATTGCAGAACGCCCGTGTCAACCCCCTGGGAGGAGCTATCTCTCTGGGACATGCACTCGGAAGCTCTGGCTCGCGTATCTTGGTCACCCTTCTCCACCAGCTGCAGCCTGGTGAATATGGTGTGGCCGCGATTTGCAATGGTGGCGGCGCCGCTAGTGCCATGGTTGTCCAGAAGCTGGATCGGGTTGACTAGAATGATGCCATGGTTTTGGCCCGTGCACCAGCATGACATTTTCTTTGATTTTACTTCTGATTTGAAAAGCGATAACCACGATGAGTTTATACCCGCAAAGCTCTGGACATAAAATTGGCCAGCCAAAGCCTGCATATGTATATTTAGGCGAACCGAGACAAGATGTAGGTGGACCGAAATTTATGATTTTTCCAAGTTACTTTGCAACGGCACCTTCTAGCATTGCCGCTTTTAGCTACGCATTTTGTAGATGTCGCAACACCACGTGATGGATAAACACATGTCACCCGCCAAGACGCGCGAAATGTCTACGCGCTTAACCCAAAGCGTCACATGAATAACCTGTAGTACTCTTCAGTCTACATCTGAAGATTATATTTTAAAGCACACGACCAGTCATCCTTGAACCGTCTTGGTGCTATGATGCTAGGCCCATTAGAACTGCAGCTTTTCCCTTCTTGTTTCAACTGCATATCATGGTCTGCGGACGGTGAAATTGCCGTAGCGGCAGGGGAATATGTCCAAATATTAGTCAGTGCATTGAATCCTACTTTGCTTGTTAATGAAGCAACGCGCCGTAAAGAATGATGGCCCTATTTTGGTAAACAGAGCTAATGACAGACAGACACCAAAGCCTACGACAGAAAAAGAAGGAGGCAATGGATCGGGTTCCCAAGCCGCAACCAATAATTGGAACGTGACACGCATTCGCACGAATGTTTTCACAAACGGGGAGTGGCCCATCATACATCCTCAAAAGCGAGAAAACTTTTCAATCGGGCCGGAGCAGTCTATCACTACTGTCGCCGGCTTGGCCTGGTCACCGCCTGGACTTGCCAAGTATAGACGCTGTGTTTTGACTGTATTGAGTTCTAGTCTTCTTCTATCATTCTATGACATTAGTCCTCAAGGAAGATGGACACGGGTTGCTATCGTCAACGACTGTCTAAGCTCGTACTTCAAGTCCCTTGTTGATGACGAAGAGCTCAGGTTACGGAAGTCCAATATCCGTTCTTTTACGTGGTGTCCGCCTCTTAAAGTCCCGATTGCAGAACAGCATGCCACGACGTACACAGTACCGCCCCCTGAAAGCCGTTGGGGTATGCACTTCCTCTCGGTCATTAACGACGACAATGATATGATTCTCTTACAGGCTCGGAGATCCACAGATCCGACTTCGACAAGCCCCTACTCTTTCGAAGTGCTTTCCCTTATTTCACTTCATGAGCATACAGAAAATCAACATGTCCAACCGGGCTCGATATTCTCCTCTGCTATGAGTGCGCGCGCTAGGACATCTTTCATGTCGCCTGGCCCATGGGTCTATCAGCATACCAAGGATAGAGATGGTGTTTGTTCTGCGATCGGGAACGTGGCTGTCACAATGGGGGCAAAGCTCAAGATGGTCAGACATGTCATAGCCTTGATATTGGATAATGACCAGACAAGTACTGCAGTGAATTACAAGGTCCAATGTGTCTCTGAAGAGAACACATCGTACGGTGGACTCCTGAGCAGTTACCACCTGACTGGCCCTCTGCATTGGCTCTACACAGTAAGTTTGCACTAAGAAACAAGGCCGCTTTTATTAATAAGTATGCAGGAGGGATCTTCTGAAATTGGTCTTGTCGTAGGTAGCTTTGCTGGATTGACTACAATATGCTTTTCTTGCGCAGCATATCAAGCAGAGAAAGTAGCAGGGAAAGGGATCCAAGTTAAAGAATTGCCGTTCTACGAGCCCACCGGAAGTGATATAGGAACTGACTGTCCGAGGCATTGGGAACAGACAAGTGGTAAGATTTAGTTACTCTCAACGAATGTCTGTCGCTAACGGAGACCAGCCATGACTGTTGCTTTGGATGAGGCATCGCAGACACCAGTTCTTCATCTCGGTACTGTAGGTGGATACACGGCAACTGTGACACTTTCTGGCATCCAAAGCGGCAATGAACTCCCAGAAACACCTTGGAAGAAACAACTTGATACTATCCGCGAACAGTTTGACATAGCCCGTGACCTTGGCGGATATACCATCAGCAGAACCTGGGGTCTTGCATCCTACAATGGTCTTGTTGTGGCAGCTTTCACACTACATCCAGGAGATACGGTTGAATATCGGACGTCTGCAGAAGAGCGAACAATGCTTGTTTACTCTCATGCGAATGCAGAGCTTACGGAATTTGATGACCTGGTTTTCCCCTATTCTTTACCAGATCGATCCCCAGACGCCTTGCGTAGACAAAGGGAAGCTGCCCTGGGATATATGCTCTTCATTGAAGATGGCGACTATAGCAAACTGGCGTTGAGCCGGAAAATGCTCTATGCAGCCGCTTGCTGCGCGATTGTGGACTCTCAGAACGATAAGATATTGTCTCAGGCTCGAAAAGCTCTGGAGTGGCTAGCATCGAGCATAGATGTTGATCTGTCTGATGAAATAGGCAAATGCTCGGTGCCAGGCAGTATGATAGACTCAAAATCCGCAGAGCAGCTGCAGGGCTCAGGCCAACAGATCTTCGAACAATGTGCTATATGCGATGCAGGGCTCTCCTGGTACTCCGCTGCGGAAGCTCAGTGTGCGGCTGGCCATCTGTTTGGTACGTAACTGCTCAGTAGAAATCGTTACCAGTGACGATACAAACGCTAATGGTAAACAACAGTGCGGTGCGGTGTGACATTTCTGGCTATTCAAGAGCCAGACCTTTCGAAATTCTGCTCGCGTTGTGGAACAGAATATCTCAGCGAGGATCTTGTGCATGATGAACTCGAACACACCTGTCGAACCCTGTCAGACGTATTCGACACCTGTATATACTGCAGCGGCAAATTTCAAGCCTAGCAGTAAGACTTTCTTTCGTTCTTTCCCTCTATACTTGTATTTCTATTGTACAGACTACTGTTTATACGATTCCTAGAAGCTTTCCCGCTACTGGATTCCATTCGTCATCCCAGCGACGAGTGCTTTCCTTCTGCGCTCCGACGCGGAGTCTGTCAAGCTTATTCGTGTCTCCAAAGAGTTCAACAAGCTCCTCTACGAGTTCATCAGAGCTTCCGAATCCTCTCCCATTAACACCTTCGGTGACTAATTCTGGCCACGCCTCGAAGCGGTTCCAGCCAACCACTGGCAGACCAGCGCCGAACATATCAACTACTTTCATAGGCAGATCGACACCACTACTGCTTGTGTGTAGACTGACGCCAAGTGACGCGGACGCCAGGAGTTGTGCATAGTCCGTGGTGGTCAGCCATGCTGTGCGTATTGTCACTTTTTGGAGCTTGCCCGCTTTTTCTAGATCGGTGATCTGCTTGATATACATATCCTTCTGTGGGCCTTTGCCCGTTATGATGGCTAGCACCTGGGGCAGTTCCGACATGGTCGTCGCTGCTAACTCCGAGTATCGACAGAGGGCATCAATGAGCAAAGAAAAGTCCTCATCCGCAGTCCACGACGTTGAACTGACTAGAACACGAAGGGCTCCAGACTTGATTAGCGATTGTACGGAAGCAGCTACCGGCAAGGATAAGAGAAACTCTTGTCGAACGGCATCATCGAGTATGGGCCGGAAGTGGTTGGCTGGTCGATCATGCAGCGGCAGGATAGGTGCCTCCAGTAGGAATTCTTTCTTCAGGACAGACGTCATGGCTGTTGTGACGCACAAATGTGCTGTGGCGTATCTTCCGAATGCCTTCTCATACCATTTCGACAGTTTGACCAACGGATGACCATTCCCAAGTTTGAGTGCCAGGATGGAGTAGCCGAAATTATGCCAATCAACAATAAGGTTCGTTTGACGAAGAAAACAGGTTAGGGATGCGACCGCTAGAGTTGGAATGGATGGAGGGTTCTACGCGACACGAGCCGCTGGGTGAGCGTGGGTTGTGTTGGAAGTTATACGAAGTCGGGGACCAACCTGAACCAGGAGCCATTTCACTGGTCGCGTGCGATAGGCTAATGACCACCACAAACAGACAACCTGGAATAGGACCTTCAATGGACCAAATACTAGGAAAAGAAGTTTGTTGCTTGTTTGAAGATAGGCTGGGTGTGGAGGAAGTGCAACAATCGAGATTCTGGGATCGGAAGAGATATCGGGATGAACTTCTGACTCTACAGGAGAGAGTTAGAATGCTGGTGAAGGAGGTGGCGATGAAGAGGAATCCCTCCATACCATGATAACCAATGATTTCCACTTGACCTCCCCCTTTGGCAATGCTCAGCGCATGGTACTGCATGCGCGGACTACGACCGATGTCTCCGAGGACGAGAATCTGTACGGTTGTTTTGGGATCGGCAGAAGCATCTTGCGCTGTCGAGCGTTTCGGCGCATATTGTGATGGTAGTAGAAATATGAAGAGGGTGACCACGGTGGAGATGTAGAAAGCGATGCTGATGAAGGACTCAATCATGGCGAGCGGTTGAAGGGTGGGAGATTAGACACTTTGAATATCAACCATAATGCGCGTAAGAGAGGTCAATTGACTATCTTGAAACCATAGAAGTTTCTCACTGTATGCCGGTGAGGTGTTTGCAAGATCCGCAGGAGCTCTAATCCTGTAAAGGTGGTGTAGGATGACGATCGGGTGTTAGACGGAGTAAACATGGCCCGACCTTCTTCCCCCCACATTTCCATCAGATCAACCGCGCGGCTATGCTGCAAGGGCAAGGGATTATCGACCTGCAATGCAGTTGGTTACCAGATTGGGAGTCAGCAGCACATTTTCTTATTGGATAATGACTAGATTGAGGTTCCCACCTGATTTTAGACATTACAGCCGATTTATTACATCTCATTTTTGATTTTATCTTTTCTGTTGTCATTATAGAAATTGTATGTAGTTCTGATCTGGAGGTGCGGAGATAACAAACCGAGGAGTACAATCACGTGGCCCGCTGTTATCGCCTGCAGATCGCATTTGGAGGTCCCCCATTGCCACTCCCATTGTTCACCAAGTTTGCTTCTGCATTAAGTCTGCTTGTTATCCCTGGCGCTATGCCGCGTCCCTTGCCTCAATCGCCCGGTTAGATATCTTCTTTGAGCTGCTAAAGCTCCCAGAACGCCCCCATTCCTTGATTGCTCTCCTCGAACCTCAACCTCTCCGCCTCCTGTCTGCTTGATCATCGCTCAACCGATTCTCTGCGAAGTAGGTGTCGCATACTAAGACCATGTCAACGGGTGCTCCTGTGTCCAGTGTGGATACAATTGCTCCCGCATTGTCGACACAGGGACAGTATAAGCCCACTCCTAGTCGTGGTCACTCACGCTCCAAACGCTGGTCGCAGGGGCCGATCTCCTTTTCTGCGTCTGATGCAGCTTCCACTCAACAACTGTCGCAACCATTGACTGGTTCGACCCACGTCAACGGCAACGCATCGAGCTCGTGGCATGGACACCAACATTCACACTCCCACTCTTCAAGTCATGGCGAACCGTGGGGCAAGTCCGACTACGCCAATGGTTCTCACTCATACACATCGAAACATAACCATTCTGGTAGCCTAACGGGGCTGGTACCAGATACACCTATCATATCGTCAAGCCCCGAGTCATTGAGGACGTGAGTACGTCCATATCCTTGGTTGATATCACTAGTTAACGGCCGTTTTAGTCATGAAATTTACGCCGGAGCCCTAATAGCTTCGCCATGGATTGCCATCTCGTGGTATTATAAACACCATGCACAATGGACGGATTCGCAACCCGCAGCTGATGATGAAAACATCGCATCTTCAGGCACAAAGCATTTAGATCACATTTCATCGAGGACATGTATCTTGACCGCCATAACAATGATCATATTGGGAGGAGGGCAGCTACTTCGAGTAGCCCAACGGGGTAGAAGTGATTCACGAGTCGCGTTGCCCAAACTCCATTCGAAAATCGTTACTGCTTCCTTTGTGCAAATGAGCTCAATTGCACTACCTATCTATGCGGCTCTCAAGGTGGGTGGTTTCCTGGTCGCATTTGTACTTGCTCTGGCAATAGCGTCCGGGGTACCGACAATTGTGCGAAGCTATGATTCTCAAGATAGCAACGCACGGCTGAGTCAAAAGAAACTGACAATTGGTGTCATCGCAACTGTGGTCGTGTTGAGCTTCCTGGGAATGAATACGTCTTGGGACGCAGAGCCCTTTTTGGGATATGTATCATTGGTTGTGTCGGTTTTTGTCATTCGCCCGCCTTTCCTGACCTTTACACCTGACCCTGCCTATGACGCAGCAGTACCACAGGAGAAGCTTCCCAGAACGGAATCATCTGGTGTTTCTCCCAGCGACCCAATGCTGACTGCTCTTCTTGGATTGCTCTTAGCAGTTGGCACCGCTGTTGCCGGGGGCTTATATTTCCATCTTTCGGATATGATGTATGTAGTGGCAGCTGCCGGTGGTTTTGCAGCATGCATAATGTATGTGGCACCAGCAAACTTACGCTCGCCGCACAAGATTGGTCTTGCCATTGCAACTGGTGGTGCCGCCCTGCTCTGCGCACCACCACCGCGCGACGGTGTTTATATGGTCTTCATCTTTCGAGGAATCCTTGCTGGGATCGCGGTTCTCGCCTCTAGGTTTGAGGATAGACAGTTGCGCCTGGTGATGCAAGCCCACAACCATCACCATCACCACACTCACTCCAATGATGATGCGTCAACAATTACGAAGCTCATCATCCGCTGTAGTGAACCATATCCACTACTGTACAGCATTCTTAAGGAGAGTGACTCTCGTCGCATCTTCTATTTCATGACGTAAGACCGCTGTTTCTTGTATACTTCATATTGGCTAACCCTGCTAGTCTCAATTTTGCGTTCATGCTCGTTCAGCTATCCTACGGATTTCTCACAGGGTCATTGGGGCTCCTCAGTGATAGTATTCATATGTTCTTTGATTGTCTCGCGCTTGTTGTTGGCCTCTGCGCCGCCGTTATGAGTAAATGGCCACCCAGCGCGAGATTCCCTTATGGATATGGCAAAGTAGACACACTGTCGGGGTTCGCTAACGGCATTTTTCTCATGTGAGTGGCCTCCCGCTCGTTATCAGGTTGTATTGCTGACTTTGGCTCTAGGATTATCAGTATTGAAATCATCTACGAAGCGGTGGAAAGGCTATCATCGGGCAGCCAGATGCACCGTATCGGGGAGCTCTTGGTGGTTAGTGCTGCTGGTCTCGCCGTGAATCTTGTGGGTATCATGGCGTTTGACCATGCACACCACGGACATGACCATGGCCATGATCATTCACACGACAATGAGAACATGCACGGGATATTTCTCCACATTCTAGCTGACACCCTTGGTTCCGTCGCCGTTGTGATATCGACCATTCTTGTACACTACTCTGGCTGGTCAGGGTACGACCCCATCGCGTCCTGTATGATTGCCATCTTGATTTTTGCCTCTGCAGTGCCGCTAGTCAGCAGCACTGCCAAGAAACTGCTTCTAACCCTTCCGGCCGACGTCGAATATAATGTCCGCGAAACTCTAGCTGGCGTGAGCACTCTACGGGGAGTTGTAGGGTACACCGTTCCCAAGTTCTGGCTCGACGATACGGGAAAGTCGGACCATGACCACGGCCATGGCCATAGCCACAGCCATAGCCACAGCCATACTCATAGCCATCACGATCACGATCACGACCACAGTCATAACCACAGTCATAACCACAGTCATAACCACAGTCATGACCACAATCATGGTCATGGTCACAGCCACAGCCACAGTCCCAATCACTCGCACTCCCACAGCCACTCGCACTCCCATCCTCACTCCCACAGCCATGATCACGACCATGACCACGCACACGCAAAGTCCAACCCCAATGTACTGGGCGTAATCCATGTCATCGCGTCCCGCGGCTCTGACCTAGAAGACGTGCGCCAACGAACCGTTGACTTCCTCCGAGAAAAGGGCATGGATATCCTGGTCCAAGTAGAACGAGAAGGCGACGGGCGATGCTGGTGCGGAGGCGGAGGAAACAAGAGCTCCTAGTTCCATGATCGACCGTGGCAGTTGGATTATTCTTCTATTGTCTTGGCTTATGTTACGTAGTATATATCATAACACTATAGCCAGATGTATATCTGCAATGAGGCTGTTAATGCATTGTGTCTTTAGTCATATCGTGAATTGCGCAATGTCCCTCTATATGCTTGGGCCTGTCAATAATGAAAATTCCTCGTACTTGAAACCGATATGAATCCCCAACAATAGTCGAGAACTCAAAGAAAGCCAGACCGACCCTGAAACAAAGAACGACAGCAAAGCAGTATAACAATTTATCTAATCTGCCAAACCCACCACCCCCAAAACACATAAACATATACTAGTATCTACAATTTACAACACCCAGCACCTTCACCCGAAGCCTTCCCACTCTCCCCAAAAAGAACACTCCTATTCCGCTCCTGCGTCGAAACAGCCACATCCAACGCCGGATTGCCCGTAAAGAAGTTCACAGGCTTCAACCCAACCACCATCTTATCCACGGGCATGACGGGCCAATCCTCGATGCGGGGGTTATGCGTAGACCCGAAGGTGTGCCAGACTACAATATCCTGGTCACGGACACTCGACTCCGAAATAGCTTGCCTACGAGATTCAATGGCGGAAGCAATTCCCTCGCCGCCAGTCGATTGCATGGTGTGTCTGCCGGCAGGGAAGAGTTCATCATCGTGGTAACGGGTGACCCAGACGGCGTGGGAGGCGAACTCGGATCGTTTCGCGTGGTGGGAGTCTGGGTGGGCGAGGAGCATTTGGGAGTAGCAGGGGAGGAGTTTGAAGGCGACTGGGGTATCGGTGATTGGGTTTCTGGAGTGTTCGTTGATGATTTTGAAGGAGCGGTTTTTTGTGAAGTCGAGGTCGAGGCCGGCTTCGTGTTCGATTATCTGGTGGGTTGTTGTATATCCTACCCCGAAGGGATTGTGCGTTGTGGGGCCGTTGAGGGGCATGGGGGTTGATTCTTCGACTTGCAGGGAGTTGGAGTGGCCGTCTAGGGCTGGGTCGATGCGGAGGCAGAAGAGGTGCTGGTGGTATGGGGCTAGGACGCCTGGGGCGACGATGGTGCCGTAGGGGACTTTGTCGCCGATATTGATGGGACAGGTGGAGAGGATGCCTGTGGCGCGGACTTCGTAGTGGATGGAGGCGTCTTGGCTGAAGTAGAAGGCGAAGATGTATTCGTAGTTGCTGACTGTTATAATGGTTTGCAGGGTTAGGACGCGGGAGCGGGTGACTGCTGCGTTCTGTGTGCGGAAGTTGGTGTGTTTCCAAAGGATCCCGTCGTCTTGTTCGTGGCAGCAGATGACGTTGGGGAGTTTTAGTGGTTCTCCTGAGTTAGTGTTGTGCCAGCCGTCGAAATATTTGATTACGCCTAGGCAGTCACAGCCCAGACGTAAGTTGTTGGCGTTGATGCCGGCACCGTCGTTTCCTAGGTCGAAGGCCGCCTTGCGAGGATACGGGGCGCGGGGGTCTCCGTAGGGCACGAACATTTCAGCTAGAGATAAACGGTAGAAGAGACTACGGCCGTCGTAGCGGATATCATGCAGAGTCAAGCCTTCACGGTAATTGAATCCTATATGCATGCGCCATTTCTCCCAGATCACAACGTTACCCTCGACATGGAATGAGGGACCTTCGGGCTGGACCACCTGGTATGGTTTAGTGGTTTTGCGCGGCGATGATCGCAAGCTTGGGTGGTATTCACTTGCTTCGGTGGAATGAATCTTGCGCTGGTCATATGGCTTTGGGTGGTCGTGGATACGCTCGTCTGACGATGATGGAAGCTGGTATATCTTGGTCACCTGAAGCTGTTCGGAGACTTCTGCGCATATATCCAGCGGGTAGGCGTAGTAGTTGGCATCAGGATTGTCGAGCAAGCGCATATAGAACCAACACTATTACATGAATTTGTTAGTTTTCGAAGCTCCAGTTAGGCATTAGCTGTAAAGGAGGTATATTCACCATGGTTAACCGCTCGGACATGTCGTTCAAACCATCGGTAGCGTACGCCCACGGCTCGACGATGACAGTTGCTCCTGTGGGAAGTTTGAGCTTCTTAATCTCCTCTTGAATCCTTGTATCGGCCAAGCAAGCTTGCTCAACTGACTTCATGTATTCGGAGTCAATGTAAGAATGCTTCCCTGCGAGATGTTCCTGTTTGATCACGGCCGCATGGTCAAGATCGATCAGCAGCTCAATTAGTTTGTTCTTAGATTCGCTGCGGACGACCACTTGTACGCGGGCTACCCGAGTAGGATGTGTATCTGGTGGCTGCCCAGAGTGCTCCTTGTCTAGAAAGTGAATCATGTCTTGCTTGGGAGGTTCCTTCAGCGTTATCACACGAAAGATGGGACCCTCCCCAGGTAGGGCAGAGCGTGTAATGTCTGCAGCCTGTTCCTGGTCAACATTGATCTTCTGTATAATATGAAAAGCCTACTTTGGAGATCTCTCTGGGTGTCAGAGGATCGAATGGATGCATCGACAAAGTCATGGTGAATTTGAATTCAAATACTCCACGCAGCAAAACGATGTGAGGTAGTATATAGAAAGTTGTTTTGCGGCCCTGTCCGTTCTCAGAGAATGAAGATGTGTGTGTATTTCGAGAAGAAAGGTGCCAGACGAGGGTGTTTAAGTATGCTGAGAGTCCCTTATCTTTGCATCAACTCCGCAGGACTTCCCCCACTGCCAAGAGAGCAGGCGTCCGCTACGGTTAAGATTAACCGGGACTCGGGGGCGGATCTTCAACCCTAAAGGCTAAGCTTCCAAAACTCTCCCCACCGCCTCGCCTCGAACATCCCTTAGCGGACAAGAAGTTGTGAAGGAACATTGCAGGTAGGCAGGATCGTAAACGATCACGCAATAGGAATTATACCTTCAAAGGTTCAGGCCAGCTCATACTCTGCTTCGGTTTAAGCCTGGGAGGCGTCAGATTCGAATTAGAGTAGCATAGAATCATGCTCATCACACACAATAGGCCTGGTTTGCCTGTCTCGGTTCTATTGAAACGATTATTGGTTCCCCTATTGCCTCTGCTTCCCTAATTCTCTCTCTCTTTTTTTTGGGCCTCAAATTTAACAGAACCGGGATACCGGACAGAATCGAATGGAGCTCAGCCACCTAAAATGGAAGTTAAGGTGTCCTTGTAATCGTAGCATCTACTTGATGAGTCCTTTGGGATCCAACCATGTGGGTTTAAGGGAGGCGGACAGCATAGGCCGAGCTTTATTTGTTCTTTCAGATATCAAAACTGGCTAAAATCTAGGTGGAACTTCACTGAGGCCAGCAATTGTTAATACCACCGATAAGCGCATGAGTTTCGTATCATCGCAAGCCATTCTTCCATTGTGAATACCCCTGTATATTCAATGAGTAACGACTGGTGTAAGTTAATTTATCGTTTATCTCTCGTTGTGGAATTCTCTGTTCTGGCATGTTGCTGGGCTCGATATTCCGGTGTTACCCCGCTGCGCGGGAATAGGTCTTGTGGACACTACCAGGTGAAGTGTGTTTTTGCCATCAACGCAGTTGTTATGTGGTATCCGGCCAAAGTAAATGCGCCTTCCCATCATAAGAGCTTAGAAAATGGCTTGTGACCCGTACTGCTGAGCCACCTTAAAGACCTAGTTTCTGCTTCGGCCATAAAACCGCCTCTTCCCACCGGGCATCACCCGCCTGTAGAGCAACCAATATCTCAGAGACGAGGGCGGAGCCGGACTTTCGAGCCCACCATGTCTTTCCATCAAGCTCGGCGAGTAAAACGCCCCAATGCATGAGAATAAGTAAAGCAAGCGGCTGGCGACGACAAACAACATGAACAAACTCCTTATCGACGCACGCAAGCCAAGACAGGACGGAAGCTGCATCTTGTTCATGAGCGTAGCGAGCAAAGCTGCGATGGAGATGAGAGATGGCATCTTTGATGATGCTGTGTTGGTCTGGCTCGACATTGGACAGGAGTGTATCGTTTAGATCGGCGAGACGAGTCAAAGCAGCCTCGGTTCCAGCATCTAGCAGGGCACCAGATTTCTCAAAGAAGCCGTTCTTCGAAACAAATAGATTATTTTCCAGCCAGGACCGCGTGATCGCGAAAATCTTGGCCACGCCTTTTAGTAACTCAAATACGAATATGAGGTTCTCGGTCATGCTAGAGCTTTCGCTTCTGGATCCTGGTAACCGGGGAAGAGAGATGCAGATCATAATGGTGATGACGGAATGGGCAAATACGGCGTCACAGTTGAGTGGGGTTAGATGGGCAATTGCGTGTCGGAAGGGCGCAAGCCCCTGATTATGGTATTCGAGGGCTGTATCGATATAAGATAAAGCTTGTGGTGGTTCTAAAGCCGAGGCCGTGTGCAGGGAGGCTACTGCTAGGATTCCACTCATGAGAAAGTCATGCTCCAGAGCTTTGCGTGGCATGACAATCTGCCATACATAGTGGTCAGATTCCTTGTTGCAAAGACTCAGATAGGTATCCGTGGAGAATTTATGCATCAGCTCTAGTTCCCGCTTGCGAGAATAGGGAAATGGAACGTTGGCGATTGCGCCAGCGAAGGGGTGACTGGCTTCATCCGAGGTCTGACCCAGTCCGGGATGTATGGAATTCGGACTCGCAGATGAAGAACTGGCTATGCTGCGTGCTGCGGGAGTGTTCAAGTAAGTGCAGCGAAGTTCTCTGGTGACACAATTTGAACATGGTGGGCCCTTTTCGTCGCACTATACATGATGTTAGGGCGAGGCAGAACAGATACAAAAACAATGAAAAGAAGACCAATTGACGTTTAAGTTTCTTTAACTAATCATAGTGGAAATATGGGTGGATATAGAATGATGAAAGTGCCAGAGAGGAGTAGGAAGCATGTTCAGCTCCAGGTCATGGTAGGATTGGACAAACGGGTGGATTGACTGAAAAAGCACGACCTACCTTGACTCTCCTCCTCTTGCACTGATCACATCCATTGCGCGATTTGGTATGGGCCCTCCGTGGCATGGTCGATCCACAAGAAAATAAAGTACATTTGACACCAGATTTCCTGTGACCGGCAACCACGTGGAGGGACACGTGGGGACACGTGGGGAAAATTTCCGTGACAACTGATGTCACGTGGCGCCGGGCAGAGCAGCTGGGGTATGAAATTTTGATGACGAAGACTACTACTTTCCTCCTTTTCTCACCAAGATACGGAGTACTGTTCATTTCACATTCCAAACAAGGCAGTGACGCAGTGGGGGTCTGGGCTCCCCGCTGCGGCCGCTACTCCATAGTGCATTGTCTCGGCCAGGGTCGGCCAGGGCACAGGATGCACTCTACCGGACATCTCCCACCCGTTTTTTTTCTGGGCTGTGACTTCACTACGTATATATTGAGGCTTATCGGAGGCCTTGGGAGTAAGCACGGCCTACAAAGATGGACAAATACGTCAGCCTGGCGCCAGGTGGTTATCTCGGTGTTCCTTGGAGTTAGAACATAGCCATCGAGCTGACGGATCAATGAATCGGTTAGGGCCCGCGATCAAATTTCAGAAGGAAGAGTGGGGCTGCGAAAACGAATGCGAGACCGAGAGCGAATGCGATCCAATCAGGTATCCCAAAGCATGCATTTTCTCCTTCGAGAAGCAGGAATTTGCCGACAGGGTCCACTCGAGTCATGGCAATCGGAGAAGACAAACAAGACTCGAAAATAGCATTATTGTATTAAATATATACGAGGCGCCAGCATGGAGTTGTCCCACCAGTCTCTCCCTGATTCTTTGTCTTAATAGACCAGACGCCACATAAATTTATCCTTATATTTTTTCGTTTTTCTAGCGGCTGTCGTTCTTTTTGGCTCATTTTCTGTCCTCTTCTCTTTCTTATATGTATATACTAATTTCGAAGCCCTAGCCAACATGGCCAGCTACAACACCTGTACAGAAGTCGCGCCCTTGTGCCCCGTCGAAGCTACAACCTACGGCTACTACCCCAACTATGGTGGTAACATTTTCTTCACAGTCTTTTTTGGCCTTTGCGGCGTATTTCAACTCGGTTTCGGCATCTACTTCCGCTCGTGGACCCTGATGGTGGCACTGGTGGTCGGCACGTTTCTCGAGATGGCGGGCTATATCGGTCGAGTTCTGATGAATAAAAATCCTTGGGATGGTGGCGCGTTTAAGTTGCAAATTGTGGCGATTATCCTGGGGCCAACGTTCATCGCGGCGGGCATCTACCTCACCTTGAAGCATATCATCCTTTCCCTGGGACCGGAACACTCGCGCCTCAAACCGAAATTGTTCACCTGGATCTTCATCGGCTGTGACATTGGGTCTCTGATTTTGCAGGCTGCCGGTGGTGGTGTGGCGGCAGCTGCTGGAAGTGAGCAACGGGATCTTCTTAATGCGGGAAATGACATTATCATCACGGGTATAGCGTTCCAGGTCGCGACCATGTCCGTCTGTGGAGTGTTAGCTCTGGACTTTTTCATCCGTTATCTTCGGCGGAGCTCGGGAGAGAAGGCACTGGACAGTGGGAATGGACGAAGCCATATCAGGCTGGTGGTTATCGCAGATATCTTTGCCTACTTTACCGTCCTAATTCGGTGTATCTATCGGTAAGTCTTTCGGGAATGGTGGGGATCGCTTTTGCTAACGTGATGTGCAGTATCCCGGAGATGGCAGGCGGATGGGGAAACCCCTTGATGCAACGGGAGGACGAGTTTCTGGTTCTGGATGGAATGTGAGTACCCTCATAGACTTCTCCCGACCATGCAGATTGCTAATTTCACTAGGATGGTTGCCTTGGCGGTATTGTCCCTGACAGTTTTCCATCCCGGACTCTTCCTCCCATCATTGAGGAAGGGTAACAAAAACGTGCAGGCCGCCTGATATACTCAAAATATACGACTAGAGATACCCCAAGTATGACAACAGAAACAAACAACTATTCAAGATAGATGCAGATAGATATATTCGTCTCGTTCAGAAACTGAACATATGTTGGCAGCGCTACGCTGCAGTATAGTCAGGGAACTATGAAACACGGCAATGCAAAACGAGAAAGTCCAAATTTCAACTCCGGGCCGATATCACGTAACTCCAGGGGAGACAGGGAACTTAGATGAATGGAAGATAAGAAAGGCGCGGAGACAAACAGCTGGCGCTACTCGATAGACTAATAGTCTATCATGCGAAGGTAAAACGAAAAAAAAAGTTCAAGCCTTTCAACCCAATGGCCAACAACACCAGTCACGCATAAATCACATTATGAATCAAGAGCGCTTTACTCCTCGCCCAAACTGTCTCGGACACACTTGCGAACCCGCTTCTTGAACTCTTTAGGATCTTCTCTCCATAGGCGGGCAGCTTCGACGTTGGCGGGGCTTTCATCATTCGGACTTGAGAGCATGGAGATCACGGATAGCAGGATTGTCTCCGGGGTCTGGACGGGGGACCAGCGCTCTGCAGCAGACTCGTAGCCGTACTTGTCTTCCTCGGGTGGGTGCAGAATGGAAATACAGACATCGCCGTTGGGGTAAACTATAGGTTATCAGCGTTTGGTTCGGGGTAGACAAGGCAGAGCGGGGAAAGAGGGGGAAGATGCATACTGTTCGGGTGGAAAAGTGGCGTTTCAAATTTCATCTTCGGTGGCATATGTGGATATTCGGGAGGAAAGGAGAGTCGAGCACGGAAGAAGCCGCCTGTTCAAAAAAAAAAAAATTAAAGCCAATCAGTAAGTGTCTGAGGGTGTATATGCTGCTGGGTTATCAAATCTTTCCGGAACCGTCAGAATATAGACTTACCGCCGTATAACTTGACATCATCTGAGATCATGAGCATGACCTCCCACTCAAACACATTATTATCGACGAGCCCACAGCTAATGCCAGGAAGGTCCTTGGCAGACTGCATCTGTTGCAGCTGCCCCAACAGCATGCGACCTGCTGGTGATGTAGCCATAGTGGTGGTTCTGGTCTCGGGAGTGGCAGCGCGGGGCGAGAATGAGGAATAGGATGAAGGGATATGGCGCCTGACGAGGACCTAGGAGCGCATGCAGTTGATATAGCGGTTCGACAATCGTAGGCCTCTCCAAAGGTACCCAGGAGGAGGAAAGGGAGAAAAGATTAACAGTGAGGAGAGAAGTGGTGAAAGGATAGCCACTTAGGGCGGTGTGTTTGATCGAGTGGGGGGCGGGGCTATTGGTCAGTTGGATAGCCTTAGTCAGGCATCGACGGAGTCAACTAATATTCCTCAGGCACCCTACTCCGTACATGTAACTATGTATACTTAACTTATGGAACAGCTACGTAAGCGACGGTCTTGTGCATAATATACTGGTAAAATAGATTCAACTGAGCATTCCGGATGCAATAAGAAAAAATCTGTCCTCGGCAAAACTAACCAAGGGGCTGTATCAACACAATAGGAGAGGTCAACAGGACAGCCAAAGCGAAACTTTTCCGGCTCTACTCCGTACAGTCACTCGGGTCGGTGCTTCGTAGTGAATGAGTATGGCACAATGATGAGAAAAGTAATTTCCAAATTGTGCAACAATACAAGAACCAAAAGGGGGGAAAGGAAAAAAAGAGAGGGGGGAGGAGAGAGAGAGAGAAATGAAAATAAAAGATAAGAATAATAAAAATAATAAAGTCTCAAGTACGTTAAAATATATTGATCAGCTAAGCGTTGGCCTCACTACGCCGGATACCGTACGTCAATGCCCCCGCGTGGACTTGACATCCAAGTACAATTGAAAAGAGGATCATCGCAGCAAACTCCATGGCAAAGGCCTTACCGATCACCTTCAGGTAGCGAATGCGAGCAGGTCCATCGAAGGTCGCCCATGCATCTTTAATGCTGAGTTTACCGCTGCCGCCAAGAGTGACAGGAACCACCTTTCCGCCGAAGGAGCGGTCAAAGGGTACGATCGTGTTATCCTCCTTTGGGAGCATGGAGGCTGCGACACGAATCGTAACGGCCCGCGCGGGGATGGATACGAGGGCGGCAAGCAGAGATGGGATGGCGATGGCTGTGGCAGCGCGACTCACAAGCTCAGCCGGTGGGAGGTTAGTGTTGGGATCAACAACCAAATCGCCTAGAGCTCCGGCAGCTCCGGCAATAAATAGAGGAATGTAGAAAGCGGCACAGACAGCGCCTTGCTCAAAGGCAACGACGGGTGCAATTTTCAGCAGCTCTTGAAGCCGGGAATGCGCTGATAGAAGCGCTTGGGGGAGGGCTCGGATATCACAATATGTACCCAAGTCAGTTCCAGGTTGGCTAAGGCCATGCCGATGATCATTCTAGCGGCCAGCTGCCCGGCAAAGTTGGTCATGGACAGAGGTAGAATTGCGAATATAAATCCCTCGGCCAGAGAGTATGTCATAAACAGACCAAAACCGCGGAAACGAGACCAGAAGCCGGCACGGGCACGGAGATGTCTAACGGCGGTGCGCAAGGTGCTGGTAACAGGCTGCGGGCGAAGGGTGCGTGCCTCGGGCTCAGCCGGGTCCACATCCTTGTTAGGATTGAAATCGGACTTGACGCGGATATAGAGATCGGGGTTGGTTTCCTCGATGGCGGCGAGGGTAGCAACCACCATTCCATAGGTGTACTCGATCTAGAGATGGTATTAGCGACCGTAGGACATCTAAAGGAGCCCAACCCACTGAAGTAGGAACATGACAAAGAAGAATGACCTTACCGAGAATACAACAAAAAAGAAAGCTAGAACAGAGAAGACAAAAAGACCAGCCAGCCACCCCGAGAGATGGATGGAGGGCACTTCACGGTCTTTAGAGTTCGTGGACATGTCGGAGGCCAGCTCCATACCTCGACGAACAAGGGACGAGACAACCATGGCTGTGGACTCCTACCGTATCAGTTACAGGCTGAGACGGGGAGGGGAGTAATCGGTTTTGGTCCGGAACAAGTTGAGTAAGAAAGTAAAAAGAATATGAAGCGAAAGATCGATAATTAGATGATGGAAGAATAGATGAAATCGAGAATTGAAGAAGATGATGAAAGATGGTGATAACGAGGGTCGCAACCTAATGAGGCTGAGCGGTACGCCGTGTTCTGCCCCACCAATAATCATGGGGGCCGGCCCCACCCTTCCGGACTAGTCCTAGCATTCCACCTGACCGGGAGGAACCCTGGAACGACTCTCTTCACCTTAGAGGTGTATCGAATAATTCGGACAAAATTCAATGGTTCTTCAAGTCTTTCAATATATTTCAGCCATAACCAAAGAGACTGTGATCAGAATGGGTAAACTGAGGTTTATCGCCAAGCCTAGGATACGAGAAGGACGCCAGCGTGGAGTATGTAGTCCTTGGCAGCAAGATGTCAATGTAATGGGCGTTGCATAACTAGTAATTTTAAACATGGAATAATAATAATAATCAACAAAAAAGGGAATAAAAAGTAAAGGAAATCAGTCAAAAAAAGGGGAGTGATAATAAAAAACCTCAGAGGACATACAGTGCATGTTATTCCCTGTAGTAAAGCACCATTCATCCTATCTAAAATGGGAGTGAAAATTTCCATAAACGCCGAAGAACTTCAATGAAATCCATCACCCTGGCTAGGAAAGCGAAGAGATAAAATGGGCCCACTTTGTATAGGAGCCTCATACAAATTCACTTCCCCCCAGAATTACATTGGGACATGGGAACGTTTGGACACATCTTCCTCTTCCAGTTGAGGTCGGTGGGACTATGGGGGGATGGGGGCTGCGAGCTGACAGGCTGAGACCGGTGGTGCTTAGAGAGGCCCGTTCCACTGTAAATAGGTCCCATATGCAAGGTTCCTTATTTTAAAAGCCTTTCCTGAGTGGACCTTTAGTGGTAACATGCCTGGTGGAGGAAGGCTTAGAGAACAATCAGCCCTAACAACATGCAAGTAGGGTACTATAGTGACCTGTGTTCTCATTGGCTGGTTCTGCCGCTTGTATTGGGTGGTCCTGTGGTAGGTGTATGCCTGTTGTGTGCCTTGATATGGATATACTTTCTTGGTCATCTATACTGTATTCTGTCAACGTGTTGAATAGTCTGTGGCCTCATCGTCTCATTTGTTTGGCTGGATTTGTTGCTAAACTACTTAGTTGTGACGAATAAGTATGATAGTTCCAGTGGCCTCTCTAAGTATGGGCTTGTGTAGTATAGATAGATAGGCGCTCCGAGGAATTCTACTACTTATCGTGTTTATGTAGGTCCCTTAATGTATATAAAAATTTAAGTATCTCAGTAGTGTATAGATAAGGCCTCTCTCCCTGACAGCATGTTAAACTACTCAATACATGTGTATCCTTACTACCTTAAATGGGCAGTGGTGATAGGGTAGGTGATTAGACCCAATCTACTGGAAAGAACATCTGAACCCTACAAGGTGCGAGGCTTTTCGTAGCCACGCCCTGTGGGGGATGACATAAACCGTCACTACGATGTATGATACCCACGCGTTACCACCGCCCCTGCATATTTCCTTGATGCCTTGATATGTTGAACTTACTGTCAGTGGTCCTTTGAATGTTTATTTAAGTTTTGTTTCTACCAACCCGAGGGACAGCTTCTATACATGGACTGGGAGTGTTCGTTCTGGGGCTATGAGGGTGTATGGATATATTACAAGCATGTACAGTGTACGGTGGGAATTGTTCAGCATCAAGTATGTCAAGGGACTGGTAACATCCCTAAACTGCCATCTTTCATGGGTTGCGAGAGAGCTATAGTCGGTGAGATAAGGTGCCCAAATAAGTGTTCTTTCGTTGACCCCTAGTGCTGGAAGGGCCGGATGTATGAGGCCTAGAAATCGTGAACGATTTGATCATCTACCCTGTGCAAGCTGGTTGATTGCACCCTTTTTAGCGGTGTCCTATTACTGACCTCCTGCGAGGTCTCCATCGTCGGAAAAGTACTCGCCCCCCCCCCCCCTCCCGATATTTTCAGGTTCGCACTCGTCGTTCTGATCATCAGTACTATATTCAGCACCATCGCCATCCTCAGTGTCACTTATCATGAAGCATGCGCGGCAAAAGCCCCTGACAACCCGACTCGCTGGTTTACTGTGTTGTGTCACTGTGTAATTCCGTAATTCTCTCTTTCCACTCTTGTTGACTCGCCTTTTAGATGGGGTAGCCAGCCTGGCAGTCTCGGGATACAGGCCATAGAATCAGGCTACTATATTTGGTGTTCACCGTTCTTTGTTGCTCCTGACCAAGGTTCTTGCCCCATGTGCCTTCGGTTCGGCAACTATGGCGCCACGTTCTGAGGTTTGTGTCCCAGAGCCGACATTCACGGACGGCCCAGAATAATGGTGCCCAGCTATCACAGTCCCCCTTTTTGCATAGATGCTTTCTTTCCGTGACAATATACCTAACAACATCAACACAGCTACTTACAGCGGCGAAGTGTAGAGCTTCTTTCCGCACATGAAATCTTTAACGAAGAGCTCTGTCCCCAGGTAGCGCAGGTATTATCTAATTTAAGTGTGCAATAAAGGGAAAGTGAATCGGCCGTCGGCCGTATCCGTCTGCTATGTCGATTGTTGCACTCCTAGCCAACTGAACAGTTATTGGTTGGTAAAATCATCACACTTCCAGAAAGAACACATGCACAATGCATAAGCAGGGTGTGGAATGTTACAAGTAACGGGGACTACAAGTGATTCTACTGCTTGTCAAAAATATTCTATATTTGTATTCATACGTATTTGAAGCTCTTCCGGGCTACTAGTAATATGTAATCGGACTTAATATGTACACTCAACTTAATTAAAAGTGATAAAAGAGCAAACCATTGGCCTGGCAAAGACCAGAACCAAAAGCCTTCTTTTACCGGCAATACAAGCAAAACATGAACCCCCATCACGGGATCTCGGCAGCAGGCACCTTCTCCGCACTAGTAGGCTCATCCTTCTCATCAACCTCGCCCGAAGTCCACATGGATTCGCGCATGAACGGACTACGATGACGAATCTGAGGACCCTTCAGGACCAAAACAACAGGGACAACCGAAAGCGCGATACCGATAAAGCCCAACAAGGAACCGGCCCATCCGAAGCCGAGATTCGAGAACAGCTGAGGCGAAGCCAGGGGCAAGAAAGCACCGAACGAGTTACGTCCCAACGAAGCAGCCGACAGAGCTGAGGCGGCGTACTTCTCGTACGCGTCGGTGAGGTAGTTGACCACAGCCATGTAGATGGAGTAGATACCGATACCGGCAGCTGTGATACCGATGGTGGGCACGATCCAATGCACGTCGGGCATACTGGCCCAGCCATACCAGAACAGACCGCCTGCGAAGAGCAAGCTACCGGGAATAGCAGTGTAGAGACGAGCCTCGGGGATGGGCTTCCCGGGGGTTTCGGAGTTGCGTTTGGCGGAACTCAGATAGATCCAGTCCTGGAGAGGGTTGATGGCTGTACCGATGACGGCACCCACGGAGATAGCGAGCTGAACGAGGCCGGTGGCCATAACGCCCCAGCCATAGTTGGTACTATAGGTTTGGACAACGCTGGAGAAGAATAGATACAAGATACCCCAGGCAAAACTGATCCAGAGTGTAAAGAAGATGACGACAGGCTCAGTTAAGAGCATGCGTGTGGGACGTTGGAAGGAGATCTGCAGGAGTTTGAGGGTGTTGACCCTGTCAAGCTCTGCTTGGGCATACACAGGTCGGCCGGTTTCCTTCCGGATCTTTCGGGCCCGTTTCTTCAAGATCACATCAGGGCGGGTTTCGCTGAGGATTAGGTAAAAGACGGGGATAAGAGCGGCGTTATAGATAATCTGAATGTAGAAGATCCTGCAAAACACGCACAGTCAGAGAGGGGTGTTTGATACATGAGGAGAAGGGATGGCTTACCAACGCCAAGGGTCAGACTTGTGGATCTGCACAATGGCCGAACCGATGAAGGGACCAAGTGCGATGCCTATAACACTGGTGAAGCCGAACAATGACATAGGCAGACTGCGAGCCTTCTCGCCCAACCAAATGTCACTGATGCTCCCTCCGACAATGTTGATGGACACCGATGAGGCACCACCACCAAAGAAACGGGTGACAACCAGTGTGGCGAAGTTATTCGCGAATGCCGACGGGAATAGTGAAATCACCAGGATCACGTAGGCAACAAAATACCCAGGCATACGACCAGAAGACTCAGTGAGAGGCACAAAAATCAACGGCCAGAAGGCAGCGCCCATATTCCAGGACGTCGTTGCCCAGTACAGGTTGGGAAAGGGGGAGTTCTGGACATGGAACTTCTCTTCCATCCAGTCATTTCCAGATCCATACGTTCCTGCCGGAAGTCCAGTCAAGATGGAGCTTGTTGAAGGGGTTAGCGCACAGTCAAATGCAAGGGCCGTAGGTGTCTCACATGAAGCAGACGGTGACCGTTAGGAGCCATTTGTACTTGAGACTCCAGTTGAACCTGCGAAGGGTCAGTGAATACGAATGAAACTATCTTGACAGACAGCATGATTACATACGGGTTCTCAGGATCAGTTGGACCGTTCCAAGTGTGGATTTCGATGTCCTTCCTGGTACGCAATTCCTCGGGATCGACATTGTTGTTATCAAAGCCAAAGAAGCCCTTCAGCCTACTAGGGTGTCAGCCCGACCGTGATAAAACTCACAACAAACATTAGGGTCCTAACCTGTCCAGAAAAGAACGGCTGGACTGACTTTGCGGGGCGTTGTTGGCGGGCTGATCGGCCATTGTGAGAGGCAGTCAACAGAAGGGTGCTGGCGTCAGTGGACTTCGAACCAATCTGACCGTCTCATGGAAATGGAATAGAAAAGGAACAGGAAACTGCACCACCGATTTCTACATTTGAAGAGCCGAAAACTCGTTCAATCGAGAAAGTTAATTCCGGTGGTTCCTAGAATGGACCCCCCGAGGGTTCCGTTTCGGCATGCCGAACAGACAAGTAAAAGGCATGAGAGCCGACCGGGTATTTCGTCATTATGGAGTACGGGACCCTCGGCCACTTCGATGGCAAATCCATTCTTGGGGCCGGTGAAGAGCTTCTGGCTTTGTGACAGGCCAAAGCGCTGGAAGACCCACGGGTATAGCTCCACGATGCCTTGGGTGGAGTACGACTAATGCAACGTTCTCGACGCATCTGCTAACTCCTGACGCAGTGCTTCAGAATTTGACTCAATTCATCCAAGGAACTTCACTTTCAGACAACTACGCTGGGAGCGTATCCGTAAAGCCGTAGTTAGCTTCGGTAATCAACCACTGGAACAAGATGAGCTTCCAACCGGCTCTTTTATCCGTACGGTTGGTCGATGACGAACTAAATCTGCTATTGGATTTAATGTACTGCGTAGGTTTTCTCAAAAATCAGTTCATCTGGTTGCATTTCCACTTTTCCGCCCCTTTTCTTTTTGCATTGGTGAGTGCTTTGTAGGAATTACTAGGTACTATGAACGGCATTGATCGGTCGTCGTGCTAGTGCATTGTTTGTATATTAATCCACCCACCATTCTAGGGTCGCAACCCTCTTGACACAGTAGATGGTAGCATGTCTATCCCTATTCACTGTGGACTTCTACTTCTTCCACACAATATACAGTAGACGTAAATCTCTCCGTTCCATTCATGGTACCGCCGGAGATCTTCCGTCATAGTTGCGATGTGGCAAATCGAATGGCAAACCCTAAAACCCTAAATCGGAATATCGTCACTTTTTTGGTAGCATATCTTGGTTTTTTCTCTCCGTCATTTTCTCTTGATTACTTGCAGCAAATCCACCTTCCTCTAGTAAACTAGACGAAGGGAAAAATTCAGAAAGACTTTCTTATGGTGCCTGGCTATTTTCCCACTAGGAGGATTCTAAATTGGATAGACAACTGAAGTGGGCCCTTGCATGAATTTAATTTGCACGGACCGCCCCACACCTGGCTTGCTTATGCCTTGAAAATGGGTACTGCTGCGTCCAGTGGGTTTTTAGGATATCGATTATTAATTGAGGCAAGCACTGTGCAGTCTTTTTTTTTTTTTCCGAGCCACAGGCCACAGGTAGCCAGCGAACCCTTGACTGCTATTCTTGGATTGTGTCTACGCGAGTGTGAATCTGATGCGAATAAGGCTGACCTAATGTACAGAAGCGCTAAGAACAAGCTACTCTTAGACAATGAATCACTGTTCAGAATATGAGAAAGAAATAGAAAATCCATTAGTTGCCTGTACAAATGGTCCCGAGAGGCCGAGCCACGGCACTAACTAACTCAAGATTGCGACGGAAAACAGCAGATAGGTATTGGAAACTGTGATTAGGGTAATGTTGCGGAATCAACTTCCGTAGACCTCCGACGGCTCGGCGTTGTGGGAATGTGGAGCCAAGCTTCTTTGGTATAACACTATCAAGGCCATAGCTATGTTGAAGGATCATAGAATGGCCAGCTCACTGTTTCTGGGATACGTAGTCTAGTACCCGACCATGCTATCTATCGCGTCTATGGTAGCTACTATCATAAGGCTTGAATATTAAAACACTTGTTATATATATATCTTAACTATGTCAAGTCATCCTACGTGGTAGGATTAGTTTCCTTATTTAGCCATTCAACTTCAGCACAATAGTTTCTTAGCAATAGTCTGATTTTTACCTCACTCAGTATCATTCCTCGCGATTATGCACTTTATTCACTGGTCTGCTTTTTACCTCCCTGTTACTCCACGTGATTGCTCACTTTACTTCAATTGTCTTTCCGCTTTACTCCACCTCTCCTTCACCACCATCAGCCTCATCATGTCTCTCCTTCGAACCCCATCAGAAGAACGCTCCAACCTCGATGAGGATCCTCCTATAATCGAAGAAACCCCAACTTTGTCCAGCCGCGTGCTCCGTAGCGCGACGAAGAAGAATCCCCCCCTCCAACGGCACAAGACCTTTTCTATTCCCCGAAAAGGGAAATTGTCATGACTAAGGGCCCAAGATACCTAGCGAGAGAGAACGTTCCTCCTGAAGTAGGTATTTTGGTTACACGAAGTCTGTACGAAGACGGAGCTGTCGAGTCAAAGAGCTTGTGTATGTTGTATAAATGACCTGTGTAGCGGAATACTATCTATAGATATGCCCACACAGACTTATGAAGTCGTCACTAAATGGGTCTTCAACCACGTCGGTCTCGTGTTTGCCAGCGGCTTCTAGATAGTCAAGGATATGGGACAGGTGTTATACTTAAGCATCCCGAGTAACAAGATTAATATTCTCTATAATTGACCTCGTACTTACAAGTAGTATATAGGATTTAATTTATTCTCTCTATCTACGAGATTATGTATATGGAACCCGACTTTGGCTTTGTCTTTGTTTTGCCGAATGATTCTGAAAAGCCTACTGTTATTGTGAAAGTCGGCTTTTGGCAATCCTGGTCACAACTTATATAAAATTGTCAGATATGGCTTAACTCGATGCCCAGTATCAATGTTATACTGTTACGGAAATAGAATCAACATAGAAACAATACAATGGCAAGCTATTTAGAGGTGCCGCGTCGCTGTGAGCCCCCAACATGAATTATGGGTAATAGTCACTACAAATTATTATAACAGTTTGAATATTTAAGCAGCTAACCGGTGTTTTATATCCTAGGAAGTGTTTCCAGCACCCAGATCTGGAAGTCCCCCCAACTGCTCGCCTTCCGCCGGGCAGACTTCTATCCGCCTGGCATCCCGGTACCCCCCGACCGGAACTCGGACGATATATGGAGCTGGCATATCGACAATTTGCGGGATAGGGAAATGGAAACATTGAAAGTGGATGGACTGGTACCCGCCCAGTACTTCTATTGTGGGAGTGAAGTGTTACCGAAATTCTCCACTAGTAGCCGAAGGAACAGTCGATAGTGAAGATGCATCGTGGCAAGTGCAATCAGCACTCCCATAATTCCACTTATTCCACATGCTCTACCATAAGGGCATCGGCATTCTTAGTCTTGATTTCATCAATCTTTCTCATCTCATGGTCCTCGTGCTCGATGTACTTCAACGGGGGTTTAACGGAGATGGCATCCGGGTCCTTGATGACGATCAACGACGGGTTGGAACGATAATATGCGTCGATGTCTTCCAAGGAACGGTTGGCTAGAACAATGTCAAGGTCAGTATGCGTTTAGAGAAGGGTGACGATAGAGACAACGCACCGGTTTCGGGGTAGAAGAAATAGATGACTGGCAAAAAGGCGACATTGAACACTGTCCAGACGATCCAAAACTTTCAGCCGAGATTTTGAATTCCAATCGGAGTGATTTCCACGATGACGAAGTTTGTAATCCTAGCCTAGTCAGCATGGCTGCTAGTCCAGTTTCTACGGGCAAGAAGGTTACCAATTTGTCGCCGTCGCCACAGCAGCTCCCTTGTTCCGCATTTGGAGGGAGTTGAGCTCCGTAGGATAAAGCCAAGGGATCTCGAGCATACCAAGACCAAAGAAAATATAGAAAAGGAAAAAGAATACAATAGAGGCGGAGCACCCAACGTCGTAGATGGCAGCGACAGCGGAGAGAGTCTTGGTCTTTGAGCGCCCTACCAGGTCGTGAACGACCAGGAAGTCTTCCGTAACCACAACACCACCTTTGGAGAGCACCTGTCAGTATCATACGTGGTCCCCTCGAGGATCTGGGGCTTCAGATGAGCATACTGAAAGACCTTGGTCATATGCAAACAAATTCATGTCTGTGGCACGGGCAACCCGCTCAGTAAAACAAGGAGTCAGCCGCATAACGAGAACAGGAATTCGACAGGCAAGGAGCTCACGGTAATCCAGAAGGTTAGCCACCCTCCTTTCAACCCAAAGTAGGGTTTCTTCTGGGAGTCCTTTAAGGAGGCCATTGCGAGGAAAACAAACGATATTTTGAATAGGTAATTTCAAGAAAGATACAAGAAGACTTCTACTCACTCTTGCTGTGCAGAGAGTGAGATAGATTGGATAAAACTGCTCGTTAGGCCTGCTGGAGAAGACACTCAGGGTTGTAACCAATATACATACATTTATATATGCGATGCTCGGCCCGATCCTAACATCGCTGAAATCGGTAAAGCCAAATCAACGCTCCACGACGTCGTGCGACACTTGCGGGGTAAACGCATTCCCGATGATGGGGTGGAGTCTGGGGAACCACCGCGCAAGTCTCGGTCAAGACGCATGGCGTTGGCGGCGTCTTCCACGACGCCCCATCGAACTATCCAGATCCACTTCCCAAACAGGAAATTTAGGAGTGTCCAGTCTGAACTAAATCGCCATGTCGTCATACCAGGCCGATTGTTCCAAAGTAAGGTTTACTATTATACACAATTCTGGAAGGATCTACGGGGAATCGCGCTGGAGAGAAAACAAGAGACTTAAGTCATTCGAGATGATCAACGTAGTGTTGTATTTCACACCTGTCAGACCACCCGGAAAGAAAGACGAGCAAAAGGTAAATTCATTAATATTGCATAAAACATAATCTATCTAACAAAGAAGAGAATGAAGACCTCAAGGCAGAGTGTATCCGCCGTCAATGACAATATTGGCTCCTGTTATATAGCAGCAGGCATCGCTAGCCAGGAAGACATATGCCTAGGACCAACGATCAGTATATAAGCTTTAATCCATGTGTTATACGCAACTTACACCTTTCAGCTCGGCTGGGTCGCAGATCCTGCGGCCAGGGACCATGTTGAGCCACTGTTCGAACAACTCCTTTGGCTGCTGGGTGAGCACTATTGAGGCCATTATCCATTAGCCTTCTTATCATAGTGTATTCCTATGTGGGCGTGGACTCACTTTTAGTCATAATAAATCCAGGCGAGATGCAGTTCACCCGCGCAAAATCAGTCCACTCGACAGCAAGGCTCTTGGCCAAATGCACCGCTGCCGCCTTAGAGGCATTGTATGCGACTTGTGTCTGAGGAATATTGACCAGGATGGAGCTGACGGAGGCAGTGATGACGAGGTTGCCCCGGCCCTGCTTCTTGAAAATCTTTCCTGCCGCCTGGGCCGTCCACATAACTCCATCGTAATTCACGAGGTTGTCGCGACGCCAGCTCTCCTCGGTGTACTCAAGGTTGGGGCAGTTGGTGCACACACCGGCATTAGCCACGACCACGTTCAGTTTCCCATGACCAAACTCTTCAGTGATCTGGTTGAGAGTGGCTGCAATCACATCACGCTTGGTAACATCGGACTGGTAGGCCTGGACGCGTTGTCCCGTCTCCGTGGCTACCTTAGCGGCAGTCTCGGGGGCGTCGGTGCTGGAGGTGTAGATCAGAGCGACGTCGGCTCCGGCTTCTGCTAGACCGCGCACCACCTCTAAGCCGATGCCCCGAGCGCCCCCAGTCACCGCGACAATTTTGCCTTTGAGTGAGAACTGCGAGAGCACGTTGTCGTGCAAGTTTGGGGACTGGTAGAGAGGCATTGTGTGGGATTAAACTTCAGAGGTAGACAGAGAATAAAGAGAGAGTCTAGTTATGGCAATGGGCCTGTAGAATGATGAATGATAGACATTAAAGGGTGATTGGACGGCATTTTATAGTATAAGAAAATAAGAAAGGGACAATTTGTGCGCTTGCTTGGTGATTGTAGCTTGTACACGACACGGCTTGGGGATGGACGCTGGATAGGAATTAGGGCTCCGATGGTTGAGGGCGAACCCGCCTAGAATAGTAATATAGCCGTACCGGGTAAAATTACCCCGACCAGAAAGATTGGCGACGACACTCGCTTGAGCCCAACTTTGACCGACTCTTGATATCAAACCCTTCCTACACTGATCCTCATCATCCACGGGGTACTTGCTTCCCTTGAAGCTGTTTCACCCCCCTTGCATAACCTACGATTTCCTCTCCCTGGCCAATGGACGTTCCCCATGTCTTCCCCGCATAGAACAGGCCAGCGCCAGCTGGGCCGTGCACGCGCCTCATCGCAAAATGGCAACACTACTCCAGTCCGAGAACACCAGCGGTCTCGGAAGGGTTGGTATATGCCGACATTGCATGCATTAGCTTCCCATAGCTGACTTCTATCAGTCCGGAATGTCGGAGGCGCAAAATTAAGTGCGACGAACGAAAGCCAGAATGTGGGCAGTGTCGCCGAAGTGGCCGAGTTTGTCGTATCATCGACAGTCTATTTCGACCCCACACTTATTCCTTTCTGGCGTCGTCCTCGTCACAACGGACAAGTCTCCCTGCTTATTGCAAACCTCGTTCTCCAGAAGCCCCTCAGAGAGCAGAGACCCCTGATCGCGATGTCCCGGTGGTTGACGGACAAACGCCGCATCAGAGTACGACGATCAATGATGGATGACTTGAAATAGACTTTGGACTGACCAAAATGCAGTTGGCTTAGGTACGGAAGCTCCTTCGGTTGAAAGATCCCAAGCGAGGGCGGCCACGCCGGGATCTCCACCTCAGCAGGGAGACCGTGATTCTAGTGTTCATTCTACAGTAAGAATCTTGGAGAGCAGACATGCTCAGGTGTTATATGGCGCTGAAGATACATTGGTTGATTTGTCCTATCCCGTTGCCCTCGCTTCCCCGGCAGAACCTAATCCGCTGGCCCTTGTCAACGCTCACATCCAACATCAGCAGGAGGATGTAGGAAGTGGGCCGTCGACTAATGATTCGTGCGCTCTTCTGGATGCCACGCCTGAAAGTATCGACCAGGATCGCTATGAGATCGCTTTCTTCCTGCGCTATTTTTCAGAGGAACCAGGCCGATGGATGGATGTGTGCTGCGACTATCCGTACTTCAGTGAGCAGGTGGTTCTTTTGTCATCGGTATGTCCACTGGTACGGTATTCTGCTGTTGCCCTTGCAGCCAAACAATTGGGTCATATGAAAAGTCCAGAATGCGCAGTACGGCAGACACGAAACCACAGATTCATGCTGCAAGCATTTTCAGAGTCGAGTCTGGACTTCTTATGGTACGGGGCCAAGTATTATGACAAAGCCATCCAGATATTGGCCCAACACCTTTCTCACGAAGAGCGCTGTACTTCTCAGCTGTCTCCTTCTGGTGTATACCAGACTGGCTTGACCCCGCAAAGTAATGACCTCAGTGTTTTTGGTGACCATGACAGCACGGCAACTACGCTGCAGGTTCTCGCGGCGTGTATGCTGTGTCAATACGAGGATTTGAGTGCTACGATGAGGGCATGGGCGGGCCATTTGCATGGCATCTACAAACTACTTCGGCCATACCTTAGTGATACAATGAATCTACCGACAGCTGTACATGTGCCGCAACCAATGAAAGCCATGAATGCGGTGTTTTGGTTCTTCGCACTGAATGACATGCTAGATGCCTGTAAGTTTACTCATTGACATGGGCTTGACCGGGCTGTATACTAACCCCCCAAATTAATAAGATGTCAACAAACGGAGCACTCGACTAGACTTTCGCAAAATCTTTATCTGGCGTAGGATGGGCCTGCCTCTAGATGACAGTGGGCATTTAATGCCCGGCTACATCGACGAAGCGCATGCGGAATCGATCCTTTTCAAAGCATTGATTCGGCTTATGTGCCAGCTAGTCAACTCTGATCTAGGCAACTCAGTTGAATGGAATGCAATCAACGAACAGTTCGACCGATGGCAGGCTATTCTCCCGTTATCCTTCTCTTCCGGCGTCTCTTGGCCCCCTTTCGCCGGATCGGATAATGCGCAACAGGCCACTCCTTCGGAGCTCTCCAACCATGAGTCTTGGTTTCCTAAGGATGCCTGTGCGATTTCCATGGCATTCTACCATATGGCCCGGATGTTGCTACTCATCCATCGTCCAGTAGAGGCGTTTCTTCGACATTCGCGCAACAACCCAGATCTTCTCGCTGCGTATCATACCTTGCAGCAGGATCTTCGTCGCCATGCGATGGAAATTATTGCCATCGCGCGCGGGGCTCCCAATTCCACCGTGAGGAAGTATCTTTTGCAACCTCTGTATGTGGCCGGCCGATGTCTAGCGGATACGGGCGAGCGCCAGGAGCTACTTGACATGCTCCAACAAATTGACGATGACCTTGGGGTGTTTACGGATTATCGCCAGAAGGATCTCTCTGAGGAGTGGGGAATTCCCTATAAACCTGCAGAAAAGGATATAGTTCCGTGACCAAGCCAGGTGTCTAGGAAAAGATAACATACGGCATATATGCCCTTGTAGAGACTCCTATTTGGGCCGAATAGGACCTTCATCGCACCGCCCTTTGGGTCAGTGACTGCCTCACACGCCTCTCCGCATTCTCCAGTTGGAATCGTTCTCCAGTTGGAATCGGTGTTCCATCAGCTTTCCATGCCCACAATTTCGCTCTCCAAGACCTGGATGGCCCTTGGCCACAATCTAACCAGCGATACGTGACCTAGCATGTGCGAGGTGGTCACTTGCCGAGAACCAATCCTGCCGTGCTCTTAGAAGTGGACATCAAATGTGTTCTGGCCAGGCATAGGCTTATAAAGTCTCAAAACGAGACAGAGAAGGAACGCCCGCAGGTTTCAGTGTTGTTAATAACGACTGTGACCCCAGAGTTGATCCTGACGAGACGGGTTCCTTTATGTAGTTACCACGATTGGAAAACACATATGACAGATAGTACGCTAAGCAATTAGGCAGCGAATGTGCCATGAAGTTCACATATATACAGCGTTCTATATACGCCATGAATATACAAATTTCTAAACTGTCCCCTCTCCTTCATATGTAATTCCATCCAAAATTTCCTAATGCAGTTGTAATGCACTCATCGGGAGAATTACCACCCATAATGCTTAGATCAAGCAAGATCTAGAACCAGAACACATGGGTCGGAAGAATGGAATTGTATGCTCGCTGAATCTAGTCCGGGGATTCGTAATGCCGTATCCACACCCGCATGAATTTCCGTATTCGGTAAAACGCGGGGTGTCCAATGTGGAGAACAACCTCACTCGCTTTTTAGGGTAGGTTACATTCACACATTAATCATAATTCCAGGGGAAAAGCGCCAGGTGTGTTGATCGTGGCTAGTACCTGCCGAGCACATGGTTCACGCTAGGGCACTGTTACACTATGAAGTGGCAGGCCGATACTATGGAAACGTTTGGAGCCCTAACTCATGACCAGCGCCCAAGTACGCTGTCCCCTATTTCCAAACAAATACAGAGGAAGGAAGACATATACTTTCTTAAACATAGCATTCATATAGTGATTCCATTACCCGCTTCCCAACCAACCAACGCAATGCTTAGCGCGCAGTATAGCCCCCATCAACCACGATATCGGCCCCGGTAGTATACGTACTAGCATCACTAACCAAATACACATACAAGCCCTTCAACTCCTTGGCCACGCCCTCTCTCCCCAAGGGAATCATACTCTTCCAAAGATCCTTGGTATTCTTCGGAATAAAATCCGACAGCCCCGTATCAATATAGCCGGGGCTAACAGAATTGACACGCGCGAAGCCCCTCCACTCATTCGCCAACGACTTGGCCAGATGAATACACCCGGCCTTCGCAACATTATAACTTGTCTGCTCCTGGGGGAAATTGGCAATATGCCCACTCATAGAACTCGTAATGACAAAAGAGCCAGTGCCGCGGGCCTTGAAATGCTCACCCACGGCCTTGGCGCAGTGGAACGTGCCCGTCAAATCGGTGTGGATGATATCGTTCCAGTCGTCGACGGAGCCGTCTAGGACGCCTGCGTCGGCCGCCTTGCCCGAGTTGGCGATGAACCCGTCGATCTGGCCGAAGTCTTGCAAGATGGATTGCACCAGGGCCTGGGCGGAGGCGTAGTCGCAGATGTCGCAGCGGTAGGCTTGCGCCTTGACGCCGTATGAGGAGGTGAGGCTGGCTGCGTTGGCGATGGCCTCGTCTTTGCGTGTGTGGTAGGTGATGGCCACCGAGGCGCCCATCTCGGCGCAGCCGTGTGCAGCTTCGAAGCCGATGCCGCGCGCATTGCCGGCGCCGGTTATCACGATCACTTTGCCTTTGAGGCTGAGGAGGTCGGGGAGCGTGGTGGCTTGCGGGATGGATGTCATTTTGGGTGGGTGGTGGTTTGTCTTGTTGGGGGGGTGGTTGTGTGGGAGGGTTGAAGACGAAAGTGCCTGCGGTGTGGGGTGTAGCTAGAAAAGAACAGACAGGATCGACTGTATATAAATCATGGGTACATACTTATGTGTCTCTCTATGAGGGATAAGTAATAGTGGCTGCTCCACGCATCTTACCCTCCGGATACGCTTAATATTCTACACAGGGTAAGAAAGCGCTAGAATTTCCTCTTTCGGAATATTGGCCCCGGGTGGGTCTATCGACGATATCAAATCGCGCATACGGTCTGCGATAAAGAACAAAGATCACGAGGGGTGATGATGTAGGAAATATGGATATAAAGCGAGCGGAAGATGAACACTCCTGTTCATATTCTTATTCTTCAGGATCAACTTCATCTCGTTGAATAACTCGCTAGTACATTATGGAGGTAAGTCACCGACTAATACTTACTGTGCCATGTCTGCGATTAACAGACATAGAACCCTTCGTTTGTCCTCCGCAAAGTCAAGGACGTCGTCATCGAAGACCGTCCGAAGCCTGTCCTCAAGGACCCCCACGATGTTATCGTGCACGTTAAGCAGACTGGTATCTGCGGCAGCGATGTCCACTAGTACGCCCCTATTGCCTCTTCTACACCACCCCCCCACATGAATATCCAAACGACATATACTAACAGTCGAGCTAAAGCTGGCAAAGAGGCCGGATAGGCGACTACGTCCTAACCGGCCCCATGGTCTTGGGCCACGAGTCCTCGGGCGAAGTGGTGGAAGTGGGCTCCAGGGTCTCGCACCTCAAGCCAGGCGACCGAGTCGCAATGGAACCCGGAGTGCCCTGCCGTCGCTGCAACCAATGTCGCTCCGGGTCTTACCATCTCTGCGGGGGAATGATCTTCGCCGCCACGCCGCCATGGGATGGCACGCTGGCGAAATACTACGTCAACGCGGCCGACTTCTGCTACAAAGTGCCGGACCACATGGGCATGGAAGAGGCCGCCATGGTCGAGCCCGTCAGCGTCGCCGTTGCGATCGCCAAGACGGCAGATCTCCGCGCTCACCAGACAGTGCTTGTGTTCGGCTGCGGCCCGATCGGCGTGCTCTGCCAGGCGGTTGCAAAGGCGCATGGCGCGAAGACAGTGATCGGGGTTGATGTCGTCCAGTCCCGGTTGGAGGTTGCCACGTCCTACGGTGTTGACCATGTGTTTATGCCTGAGAAGCCCGAGCCGGGTGCGGACCCTATTGCGCACGCGGAGAAGATGGCCCAGAAGCTGAAGGAGGAGTGTGGACTGGGTGAGGGAGCCGATGTGGTGCTCGAGTGCTCGGGTGCGGAGCCTTGTGTGCAGATGGGTGTTTTCGCTGCTCGCCATGGAGGCACGATTGTCCAGGCCGGTATGGGGAAGGAGGTGGTTAATTTCCCGATTACGGCTGTGTGCACGAGGGGCTTGGTTGTCAAGGGGTCTATTCGGTATTTAACGGGTTGTTATCCCGCTGCGATTGACTTGATTGGCAAAGGTATTATTGATGTTAAGAGGCTGGTGACGAACCGGTTCAAATTCGAGGAGGCGGAACAGGCGTTCGAGTTGGTTAAGGCAGGAAGACAGGCTGTTTTCAAGGTTATGATTGCGGGTGTTGTTTAGAGAATCAGTATATTATTAGATATATTTAATGATAATGTAGCGAAATAGCTAGTTATTACTCCAACCACGCGTCTAGCGCATCCTTGAGGGCGCTACTCAGCCAGTCTTCTGTCAAAGGCACGTTCGCATCAAATCCATGCCCACCAGGTTGCAAAGAAAGAACTAGCTTATCGATGCCTTGCCGTCCCTTCAACATCTCTCTTGCCTTATCCACAAACCGCTCACTCACTTCCGAAAGGACATCGTCATCCTCGGTGCCGTGAAGGATCACTAAGCCACCACGAGGCAGCCTCGTGTCAGGCAGATCCAATCTTGCAAGCTGGGAGAGTCGATTCCGACGTGGTGATGTCTCGGAGTCCCGGAGGTAAAACCCGCGGCTTCTTCTGTGCTGCGAGAGCGCCGAGCTGAGAGTAGCACGTCGAAGTTCACGATCGGAAGATTCAACATCTCCCGGTTTGATGTTTGCTATATACTCGTCTATCACTGACTCCAGGACATAAGGTGAAAGCGAACTCCTCTGTGGAGGGTAGAGAGGTGGGTCATCCCAACTGAGCTGGGGATATGCGGCTGTCCCTGCACGAAGCTGGTCGGGGTAGGACAGTGTCAAGTAGATACTGAGCAGTCCGCCTGCCGAATCTCCTGCGGCCAGAACCCGGTTCAGATCTAGCTCAATCGGCGAATCCTGGGCCGCCAATAGGTCCTTCGGTTTCTCTGAATGTAGCCATGACCAGAAGTCATCTACATCCTCTAGAATTTCGAGGCCCGTGGCTTCGGGAAGGAGACGGTAGTTTGCTGAAACAATTATGGCGTTGTGTGTTACTGAGAGTTCTAGCAGCCACCTTGGGAACCAGTCTGCATAAAGGGAATCGGCACAGCTCTGTCATTAGTCGTCAGCAGGAGCGCAAAAGAGGGAACCAGATGGGATCACTTACCAGTCCACCGCCATGAAACCGAGCAATTACCGGTCTTGGGCCTTTAGCGGATAGGGACTTTGGGACCAGGACATCGGCTCGAATATCATGCCCGTGTACCTGTTTGTATGTGGCTTGGATCACGTTGAAATCCGCGAATTTCTCTCCAAAGGTTGCACCTGCTATCGCTGCCATGGTTCTCTGCTACTTGAATGACGAAGCAATACCAAAAGAAAATGATGATTATGATGGATGCAACTCCCTGATTGAAGAATCACGGCAGCTACCTTTATATGTGCTACCATGGCTCTCTAATGTGAGTCATTCTAGCTCTAACATTCCTAATATTATGGTATGACAACTGCAGGAGCCGTTGGCCTTAATTCACATTTGAGATTGTGTGTCGATGTTTGTCAGAGTGTCTCATTCGCTCGCAGTTTGTGGTTTAGATTACAAACCGAGTTTTGCAATGTTTGGAACAGGGGCATCGAGAGTAGTGGTCCTGTTTGCTCATTCACCAAACATGGCAGTTCTGCTCTTCATTGGTCTGGCATGGCACCAGACCAGGTTTGCTATGTTTGTCATTCTGTCAAAACTGATCCTTCAGTCATTCCACTTAATTAAGGCAACGACGGAGACCAGGACCATCAAATCTGCCCTTCGATAGATGGACATTTCTCATGGTAGTTAGACACGGCCGTCCACCAAAATATGGGAAATGACTCAATTGGAAACAACCATACCACCACCTGGTTATCCTTGATTCATTCAGCACACGCGAAGCTATGCCTCGGTTCTGAAATCGAGATCCCAGAGCCCAGACCAGGCGGGGAAAGCTGATGATCTGCGGGGGTTTCCCGATAGATACCAATAGTGACTGTTGCTATCGGCCTGGATCAATCTTGCCCCATTGATACGTAATCATATCAGTCATTTCTTCCAGTGCCTTTCCGTTAGAGGCTATAAGGCCGACACAAGGCTGAACTGTAAAGTCCATAAGGAAGGCCTTGCAACATCGCATCTAACCCTAACTCGCTCCGTCGCAAAGTGTATTTCAAACTGCTGGTCATTCCCAGAGCCATACACAGCAAGGAGACAAGAAACGCGCACTGAGAATAAGGATTTGTTTCCAGAATGTGGATGATAAATCGAGATAAAATCCCCTCCAGAATTTGTATGCAGTATTACGTACCAGCTGCAAAAGCGACGGCTGTCAATTCGGAGAGCGCCGACAGAGCAATACAGTCAGGCTATTGCCAGGGAAAGTGCCCGCTTGCCAAGCATTCTATCTCAAATCAATAGTATTTACATGTAGCTCGAGTCTGCTTGTGTTCCATCATAAACCAGCATTGACTAGTCACTGACCCTCGTCAGAAAGTGTTGGTTACAATGCCAGTTCAAAAGTACGACGCCATCGGCGGTTTCTACAACGACGTTGCCGAGATTGCCACGGGCAAACTCCAACTAGCAGCTATGCAATCCCTCATCGGAGACGTCAAGGGGCTCACCATCCTCGAGCTCGCCTGTGGTCCGGGCTTCTACTGCCGAAAGGCCATCGAATGGGGTGCTCGCCATGCCACCGGAGTAGACATATCGCCAGCGATGGTCGAAGCAGCACGCGCCTGTGCAAACGGGGACACCCGAGTCGAATTCCACATCGCCGATTGCAGCCAGCCATTCAACTTCGGACAATTCGACATCGTCCTCGCGCCATGGTTACTGAACTACGCCCGGAACGAGCAGGAGCTTATTGGCATGTGGCGCAATATCTACAACAGCCTGCAGCCCGGCGGTACGATAATCGGGATCAGTCCGAACCTTGATCTGCTGGAGGATCCTTCGGGGTTTCCGCAGGGGCCTCGTTTTGGACAGGAAGTGAAGGTAGTGGGTGAGATAGAAGATGGGGGGTTGGAGGTTCGGGCTACGTTGTATACGTCGACGCCTTTCTCTTTTACTAATTATTATCTGCCGAGTGTGCTGTATCGGAAATCTTGTCTGTTGGCGGGCCTGTCTGATTTTCGGTGGACATCTTATACCGATGCTCTCCTGGAGGAGGTGGACTGGGATGCCTTTTTGAGGTGTCCTCCTTTCCTGACCTTCACGGCGGTGCGTCCTCTGGATGTCTTGAAATGAGCTAGTCAACTGGCTTTGCATTGAGGGAAGGAAGACATATGGTATCTGGTCCATATACTACTGGGTATAGTTGCTATTTATCATAGAAAGAGCATCCTCAAATAAGGCTCCAGGGATTTGTAATTTTTGTGGAGTCTTCCGCGAAACGCATTCCAATGAGCGATATACGAACATCAACTCTGAAGAAGAGGATTGATTCCCCGCGATAAACAAGTGGGGTCGACCTCGGTTTATAATCAACAGTCAGCAACTAACCGAGACACCTCACTTCTTCTCCGTACGTACATGAAGAAGTAGCACTCCGAACAATTCATTGTAAAAGGACAACGGAACCAGCTCATCCAAATGGCAGCGCCACCTCTCCCCTCCGCGACTCAGGTGTCTCTGGGCCAAAACATTGTCCTCCAGCCCCCGCTTTCACGATGCGGGCGTGGACCCGGTCTAATCATCATCCGCCCGTATAGCTATGCAGGGTGTCAAGCAAAGAATACCAGTCTTGACCCAGAGCCCGTGCAGAAGTGGGCAGAGGAGAGCTATGCGGTGGTGCAGATCACATTGGATCATGAGGCGAGCGCGGACGAGAGCGGTGTTTTAGCGCTGGTGAAGAGAGGCGTTGAAGCGTTGGAGTCATCAGAGGAGTGTGAGAAAAGCGATAGGGTTGCCACATTGGGTATTAGGTAGTCTATTACTTTACGAGGAATGCACGCTGATCGCATCTAGTCTACGGTTCTCCCGCCGATTATGCGCCTGGGTTCGGAAAGGTCCTGGGCAATGTCATCACAGCTTGGGACAAAACGCTCGTGGCTGCAGTGCTCTTCAGCTCCTGGGACCTGGTTGAGGAACCGATTCCTACCCTCTCACATATTCCTGGGAGCCTCCAACCCGCGAGTCCTACAAAGCAGGACACTCACACGGTTTACTCCTATGTGGATGTTTCTTCCGCCGGGTTCATCGTCCCGGGCCATGCCGACTTCAAAATCACGTCTGCCGGAGTCGCACACACGCGATCCCTGACGTTCCTGAAGAAACAGCTGGACGGGCCGTACTTCGATCTCGAGAAGATCTGGGACGAGCACACGTGGTACGAATTCGGAGATCGATCCGTGGAAAAGACCATGGCGACGATGGTGCGGGAGCCGTACGTCAACCATATCCCGACTGTGAGTATATCGCCTTCTCCATGCACACGGTTGTGCCCTCAGACTGACGCAACAAGATGACGGGCGGAATCGGACGAGCACGATTGAGCAAATTCTACCTGGAGAATTTCATTTTCAACAACCCAACGGACACCGCACTGGAACTCATCAGCCGGACGGTCGGCACGGACCGCATCGTCGACGAATTCATCTTCAGCCTGACACACAACAAAGAGATCGACTGGTTGTGAGTAGAAAGACCGTACCTTAGCACCTACCTTTCCCACCGTGCCGCTCTGGTCGATGAAGCTATCCCGATCAATTATAGCTAACGCGATTAGACTCCCCGGTATCCCACCGACGGGCAAAGCGCTCCGTATCCCATTTACCTCCGTGGTGAACATTCGTGGGGACCGTTTATATCACGAACATATCGCGTGGGATCAGGCGACAGTTCTCGTGCAGCTGGGTCTGATGCCGGAATACCTCCCGTACCCGTATGCCCTTCCCGGCGGACAATTGCCCGGGCCCGGGAAGAGGTTTGAGTATCGCGTGCCTGCTGCCGGAGTCGAGACGGCGATGAAGCTGCAAGACGAGCATGCAGTGCCGTCGAATGGGATGTTTGAGTTTAAGGTGCGCGAGGTGGATGATAAATGATGTGATGATGGCGTGATGCAATGAAGGGAACTCGTGTAGATAGTGCAAAGCCAATCGAAGAAGAGGCCAAAGCATACATCGGAGAATGTCGTAAAAGGTCTGTTACGTTGTGAACCCGAATGCAGGGACCACTGCCCATCTGCCCTTGGCTGCTCAGGCCGCTGAAAGAGCAGAACAGAAATGAAGAGCTGTTGAACTAAGACTCAGTCCCAGCGAATAGTACGCTATATTCGTCGCGTAAGCCCACGCACATAAGATAGTCATTTCCCGATGTCAGAAGTATGAGTAATGGCCAACTGCTGCGGTTGCCTTGTTCCATATCTCTGGGTGTAATGAATCGATCGCGATTCGAGCATACCCTAAGGCATCTCTAGCCCTAAAGCAACAAGGCAGCAGCAAAAAGAAAAAATTAAGGCTTGAGATAAGAAACTCAAGATTCCACTATAGTGGAGAACATTTGCCGGCTGCCTGGAATAGGGCCGGTCGATTATCTCAGGCAACAGTGTTACGTTACATTCAGTGGGCCGTTGGCCATACAAGCATCAAGAACAATATGCCACGATCCACCTTTTATTGCCTTATTCAGAGCCCGCAGGATACGCAGCCCTACTCCCTATATGAGGGTCAATACAAAAAGTAGCTACTTTGAGACCCACTCTCGCGACGTTGCTTCCACAATCAGTATAGGTAGCAGACCAACCAAGATCCGAGGAGATGAGTGGCATTCATAGAGCACGTGCATTCGGAGCCATATAGCGGAGTGAGTGAAAGTACGTCTAGTGTCTCTCCGCTACGCCTATGAGAGTTTTCTGTGCCTCAACCTAGAGAGACCGGGAGATTGATCAACATTTGTTTGTCTGCAACAGCCGGAGGCTGCATGAGTGGAGAAGCTCTGGCGTTGGTTGTTGGCCACCAACATAGGGGTATGGCAGATATTCCATAGAAATTGACCGTACGACCCGCACGGTAGGAAACAACAAATAAGCCTGACGTTCCAACGTCCAACTGGGTCGTTTAGCACAGCAAAACCCTAGTTGGTCACACGGGGAGTTTCCAATGTTGCAGCGGATATGGGCGGATATCACCGTATTTGTAAATGAAAATTCTTATTTCAGGCCCAGATTCAATGTGGCGCTCGAGCCATTCATGCCGGGTGAAACCCAGTCAGTCAATGACTGTCCCTGAGCTTGGCTTCGGTGACAACAGGCCACGAGGAGCTTTCCTATACAGCAAACTGGAGTCAACCCATGTGGGATTCCGTGGAAAAACCAGCAAACCGTCAAGTGGAGCGCACACTTTATGTTCCAGAAGATGTCTCAGAAGTCTATGATGGTTCGGAGCCTCCGAACGGGAAAAACAGTGGTTCGGGGTGGATCGTAGTTGCAAAAGAAAGCAAACCGGGAAACGGCGGGAAATAAAGTAAAAATCAAAACTCAAGAATGCTACGGCGTATGTCTAGGAATCGGGAAAATGTGACACTGTAGGCAGACATAATACTAAAAGTAGGGCTTGGTGAGGCTCGTGTCCGGGACGGTTCTTCAGTGTCGAGAACCACGGTTAGGATACTCCGAAGAAGTTCCAATCACCGCTGGCAGTAAGACAAAGAAGGGACCAATACGGGTCACTAATTAAACTTGGTTGCTAAGCTTTTGTCCTCACTGTTATTGGAGCAGTTAATCCCTCAAACTGCCTCGTGGCCAATGGTGTCGATGCACTGCCTCAAAAAATCGCTCCACTTTGGCGTCAGGACCAAATTTAGCTGTTGCATTGCAATTGTCATGGTCTGTCACCCATCCTGCTCGACCTTCCGAAAGGCCGATAATTCAACGAAGAGCACCGCATATGCGTCCTGCCAATATTGTCGGGGATATGCGCACGGGACGCGTCGGACTTGCAGTGACATGAAAAAAGAATACAGTACAGCAGATGGGTGGCGCAATCCGAGACCAACATTGATCAGTTTACGCGACCGGCTATCATTGCCTCTCCAAGCCCCTGAAAAGAAGCTTGTCGTGGGGCATCGTTTTGGACCCTGAGCCAACAAGAGGCGCAGCCAATTGCTGATCCTGCGACAGATAACCACATCCCCCCTATCATCTTGGATTCTAAGGTTCTCTTGCATTTACGGGCAACCGCCTTTGCATGACACGTCTTCCGCTCAAAGGATGATCGCCAAACTCTCCCGTATCGCAGCGTAGATTTGTTTCCTAGATGAGGCTCCCCGAGAGGGAATCACAACGCAAATTACATCAAATCGACTAAAAAAGATGATCAGCACCTCGGCAGGCTCATGGTGAGACGGGCTAAGGCGCTACTTCGAAGAATTTTTTGGTCTTTTTTTAGTCCGGTACTCAGCCTTCCATAATATCTGAACTTGATCGATCATGCTCAGGAAATCTTGGACCCACGAGTTTCCCCTGTCCAATCATATTGTACGCCAGTCCCTAATCATAACTAGTTTGTCTCGTAGGGTCTATTCTTTGCCTGAAGGTGTCAGTTGGCGATCGCCCAGTGTTGGCAATCGGATGTTCCCCAGATGCCTAAAGTGAGTCAAGGTTCTAAACTTAATGTATTAATTAATAAATGCATATAAGCCTTATCGACCCCTCTTGCCTTTATATAATCCCCGCTGACTCCCGCTTTTCTTCCTTTCCCTCGACGGTTGCCACTTCTGCACCAACTCTTGCCCAGTTACAGAAGTCAATAACTGCACCCGGTCACGCTTTCATCCTAACCCTTACCTGCCACCTTCGTTCCCATCAACCTTGAACCTTCACCACTACTACACTCCTTCCGACATCCACCACAACGCCTTCCACCATGTTGCTGCGTTTCCTGTCTCTCACAGGCGCGCTCTGTCTGAGCAGCTGTGCTGCTTTGTCTTTGCCCGAACATAAGGTCGAACTGTCTGGGCTGGATCCCGAGTTTCGAAGCCGAATCATCTCCAACGCCCGTCCAACCAATGTGCCGACCGCTCCTTGTTCATTCTCCGATCCCGAATGTTCGAAAGATATCGATCTTCATTCCCATCTGGTGCGTTTGGACTCATGAACCTAGAAGTAGGATGAGGACGCCGTCGCTAACTCAGACAGACCCTGGACTTCTCCACGGAAAATGGCACCCTCCTCGCCAACCATGACCCGATCTTCCCGCCCACTTTCCCAATGCGATTCCATGCAGTCCGGCATTTTCATTCGGGCCGCGAGACTGTCGACTTGGCCTATGAACTGGATGTCCGACCCATGCCGTCACGCCCGGATGAGACCCTTGGGGGCGTCTTCCTGTTGAAACTCAGACTGTTTGACCTACAAGGGCGGCCCGCCTCCGATCACCTCGTCACGATCACACTGACTCAAGACTCGGAGGGAAATCTCCAAATCACTCAACTGGAAACCAACCCCGTCCACGGCCACCACCATCACGACGGACCGCCATCATGGATGGCCCAGTTGACCGCTAGCATTCAGACCATGAAGGACGCCGTCAAGGACTGCATGCACGGTCCAGGATCGAAGCCTGCGACCGCGAGACCCCAACATGGCCACATGCAACCTCCAGTCGACAAGCACCGCACGATCGCTCCAGAACATCACCCCCATCACCACAGGCCCGGCTACTGGGCCGGCCGGGAGAAGAACTTCGGGAGACTGATGCGTCCGGTGGCCATGCCCGCCCTTCTAGGGGTAATGGCCGGCGTGGTTGCGTGCATGGTTGGATTTGTGATGGGCAAAATCATCATCTCGGTGTTCTACTGCGTTCGGGGTTGCAGGAAGCAGCAGAAGGTGCAGGAGCAGGAGCAGACTAGCATCCCCCGGGTAGTGGTGGTGGAAAGCGCTTCCAGTGAAAAGGAGCGCTTACTGGCGATGTGCGATGATCATTGTTGACCATACATGATACGATCTCTTTACACTCTTTACTTTCCTTTTTTTTTATGTGTTGTTTCTTTTCTCTATATACCCAATGTAACATACCAAGAATTTTCATGACCACATTTCCCAACGTATCCCTCCGTACGTAAGCCTGTTAAGGTCTTGCTTCTTCAACAATCAAGGCCGGCTGGCCCAATGGCAAGGCGCTTGACTACGAATCAAGAGATTGCAGGTTCGATCCCTGCGTCGGTCAATATTTTTGTGTTTTGGACCTGTTGTCGATGGGTTGTGGTGTGCCGTGAAAAGTTCTTCACCTGGGTGGCTCCACTATCCGAGCCAGCCCTACCGCCGACTGTGGATCCCTACCAGTATCTATTTTAAGCATTCGACAACGGCGTTTTCTTTTTACAGGAATAACTTGACATAGTTCCACCAGTCTTCATATCATGTGCTGGTTGTGGTAGTGACATGCCTACTCGAAATGGGACATCGCCACCGCGACATTCCGCTCACGAAATCTCTATCTCCGTAGTAGTTGACTTTTCTCAGAATAGCCCAGTTTCTCGCACCTCAATAGGTAATACCCTATTAAGAACACTGTGTTCAGCGTTGTATCCGGTGCTATAATGGAACTTAGAATAAATAACATGCAGCCTATTATTTAGCAGACTGGTCCAGCAAAAAAACCTTACTGTCTCTAACAGCAACTGCAGGGTAGTGGGATGGTATGCTCGGAGGAAGCTTTTTCTTCTAAAAGTGGAGAAGGCAGTCATAAACGGGACCGAAAGGAACCAAAGATACAGACGGCCAAGATCGGGTTTTGCATGGTGTCCCTTTTACAGAGATAACGCCTGTAGACATCTCCATAACCCCCAGTTGGGTTAGGGTTTAGGTTCAAACCTTGAACTCATGATGGGTTCTGCCAAAGTCTAAGTACATACATGAGTAAAGAGACCACTGAAACACGATTACTCTAGATATTGTAACCAGCATCTGCGCGAATACGAGAAAGATTAGAGTTACCCGGCCTGGTAACCTCTGGCAATTGAGCGGACAGTGACAATTAATCCAGAGTTGTATAGTCTCTCTGGTTAGAGAGGCCACGCTCAGGCCAGATACATTGTTGAAGCATGCGTGCGTGATGCTCTACTCCAGTCCGACGTCATCTACCTACCTGTTGCAATTTTCAATAGGGGCAGTTAGCCGTTCAACAGATACACTTTACATATCATTTTTCGGTGGGAAACGTGGCAGGCTTTGTTTAATTGCGAAGGATGAGTATTTGCCACCCATGACATGTTCCCCGAACCCGCAATGGCCAAGGGGATCAAGAAAAGACAACTTACTTCCTGAAAGGACCGCCGCGGTATCTATTTTGCATATACAACCAATCACCCAACTCTGTTAACCGGCGTTGAGTACCCGCCATCGCTATTTTGAGGTTCAATAGCTTTAATAAGATATCAAGTACGTAGACATGTATGCCTAGGATAACACCGAGGCCGAGAGAGCGGGCCGAGAGAACGAACCACTCCATGGCTCACGTTTGATAACCTCCGTTGCAGTTCAGGGAAAGGTTCTTCTTGGCACTGGGCCCTCCAGTATCTGATTAGAAATACAATACTACTAAGAAATTATGCTTGCAAGGAAGAAATGTATGATTCATCAAGACTCAGTGATCTATAAAGGAACGACTGGCCATTGCCATTGCCAATAACAACAACAACAACAACAACTCAACACTTTTACTTATTAAAACCTCATTGATAGTTTATCGCGAAGATCATCATGGCTACAATCGCTGTTGCTGGAGGCACTGATGGTTTGGGCCTAACCATTGTCGAAGCATTGGCCGTCCATGGAGGACACGATGTGGTAATTCTGAGTCGAAAAGTAGCAACCGCCCTTACCCCCATTTGTATTGTTGGGCCTCAGTAGCTAATGAAACACAGAGTGGCGCTGAACTCGAGAAGACACTACCTTTCCGTCTGATAGCTGTGGACTACAGCGATATCGATAGCCTCGTGGATGTCCTGGAGTTGAATAATATCGGCACAGTGATTGCCACGATCAATGCGCTGGGAAATTCTTTGCCGGAGCGCAATCTTGTCCGCGCCGCAGAAAAGTCCTCGAAGACGACGCGATTTATTCCAAGTACTTTCGCTTGTTTCAACTATCCCGCCAGGTCAGTCTGATTCTCGTTAGTCTGCGGTTCGCCGTGCAGCACAGAAAACAGCTAAAGGGCTAACATATCATTTGACCACCTAGGTATGCGGAGACCTCAATTCTTGCCAAGGCCAAATTCGAGGTCATTGAGGAACTTCGCAAGACATCGTTGATATATACGTCTATTATCAGCGGCTGGTTCGTGGATTATTATGGAACACCCCTCCTCCAATCACATGCCCACCGCTTCCCTATGTTTATCGACATAGCGAACAAGCAGGCGGCAATTCCTGGGTCAGGGAATGAGCCTGTTGCTTTCACCCGCCTCATCGACATCGCCCGGTATGTGGTTCGGGCACTAGACCTTTCCAGCTGGCCAAAGGAGAGTTACATTATCGGTGATCGCATCACTTTGCGCGAGTTTGTCCAACTCGCTGAGGCGGCGAGAGGTATGTATAGTTAAGCCTGTCTGTTCTGAATTCAAACAGCATGCTGATTATACAATGATAGGTTCCAAATTTCAAGTCACTTATGATTCGAAGGAGGACTTGGATGCAGGGCGGCTCACAGACCTTCCTTGCTACTCTGATTTCTACAGCGCACTTGGTAGGGAAGCGGCGAGTGCATTATTCAGGGAGATTGGGGTGTGGATGGCGGCAGGAGAGCTGGACGTTAAACCTTCGTTTTCACTGAACGAGGCATTTCCGGATATCAAGCCTATGACTGTTAGGGAATACTTGGATCTTTCATGGAGGGTGTAAAGTCTGGGTATCATTTTTGAAGCTTCCAAATTCCCTGGTCAGCCGGTAGACGCGGAACTGACGAAAGTTGACACTCTGAATAGCTTCGGATCAAGCGATGATGAGTCTTCTCTCTTGGATACATCATACGTTATAATCTCCTCTCAATGTATATTATCATTCGGACTATTCTGGGTTTTTCAGTGTTGTTTGTGCTGTAATGTGCACATAAGGCACAGTGTGACTTAGGACTATCCAACGCGCTGCTTAGTAGATTCTAGGGCCCGTGAGTGGTAACTCGCGGGTAATGTTGGTCTTTTGCTAAAAATGCCTCGTATCGCCTAAGCCCCAGATTAGGTACCTTCCAGTGCCTCCTGAGATCCAGTATATTGTAGCATTTCACCATTGTAGCCACGGTATTTAATTGAAGAAATATCACCTTCGCTGCAGCGTAGATATGCTTTGCGAACATCTGACAATATATCAAAGCATAACGGGCTTCTATAGCCGATTATACCACAGGGGTCAATAAAGTTATAGCAACTCACTTCTTGGACCTCGTGCGTTACTTTATGGCCACCATTCTCTCTTCTTGTACATCCAAATTGTTGAATATCTTATATACTTAACCATGATACCTATACTGGTACATCGCAGAACTAGCCAGAATACCAATGTTACATGTAATTATATATCTCTTGTCAGAGGACAACAAAACCATCCGACATGATAGGGCTACCGTGTTTAAGCTCCAAGAATGTTCTCGTTCGCATTATGCCCATCCATATATCACCGTTGGATGTCAACCGCTGACTTGACATATCTTACAAAAGTAGATTTTAGACCATTCTACAACTGGAATAGCCCTCGCTTTATCTTCACGATGTACAGCTTTCACACAATATACAATCACCTTGAATTCAACGGTCGGTACATTCAACCATGACCTTTTCTCTTGCAATGTTTGCATTTCTTGACCGGCGTGAGCATATAAATCGAGGCGGCCGACGACGCTAGGGAGGAGGCCGGATCCTTTCATCGCACGACCCGTTCTGCACTGGCCAGCCAATTTCCGACAGCTGCTGGGGTGCCCGGCTCGTTGTTAACGATAAACGGACCCAATCTGGGTCAGCAGTATCGCGATATGGGTTCTGTCCCCGATCTAACCTGGCGTGTTAGCATTCAGGGGACTCACCAGTAGATGGACTCGGTCAACAAAATGGCGTGCAGTTTTGTAACGGTTGCCGGTGGTCTCTCGCAGCTGGACGAATAACTCACAGTAGGTAGCCAGCTCCGTCTGTTCGTCTCGTTCTTCGAGATCGTTCCAAAGCTCGCGAGATGTCCCAACGGCGGCTACCTGTGCACTGACTGTAGGAGAGATGTATTTGATAATGGTATGACAGGCCTCCGCTTCGCGTCGACACCAATCTTGGTAGCAGTCGTCGGCTTGCCCCTCAAATTCCAGCCGCATCTGCACCGCAGCCTGACGCGCCGCTTACCTTCGAATCTCCCCAGGTTGCAGGATTATATTAGCTGTGATAGGTCGGCGGTAGTTACTTGGATTGACAATCAGGCATGTCATTCCGCCCGACATGACAGGCTACACTTGCCTTGCGGTCAAGCAGGAGGTCATGATCCGCTTCCAGAGGGCATAATTACTGCTTCCTAAAGTGGCTCAATGCCCGCGACCCTGTCGGGGGACGAGATTGAAGATGAGCTAAATGAAGAATGGCGACAAACCGTGGAGGCCTTGGTGGGGATATATTTCAAAAGCTCTGAGCGAGTAGAGACTTCAGCCGAGAAATTGCCCCCGGGCTCATAACCTGTTGTGACTCAGAGAGCGATTGATTGCTCGTAACCACATCTGAAAACTTGAGGATTTATACACAAGACGAATACTAGATTGATTGGAAATCCATCCGGTTCAATACGGAATACATTCCGTATACGAAGCTCTATTGTCTACTGGATCGAGCCTCGATTCACAAGATGAACAAACCCTATTACCCTCTGAGCCAACCCCGATGCCAGTTTGTATGGCAGGTAATTGCCTGAGGGCTTTATGACGCTTAATGGACCTTCCCCTCTAAGGTTCAATCTCCAATCCGTTCAAGCCTGGTATGGTCAGCTGTCACATCCTTTTCCACCAAAATATGAGACAACTCTGTAGGTGCCAGAGCCAACTTGCCCCCCCCATATGTTCCGATTGCTACGGCATCCGAAAAGTAACACATGTTGGGAATTAAGATGGACAGCTTTTTAATTGAAACCAGTGATTAAGTCCCAGATTTTAGGCCACTTTGATCATTAATTTCGTCCACAGTCTCGGCCTTGTCATGAATAAGGTATCCACATTTGACCTCCTGAACGACATGAAGACACCTGAAATCCACCAGAGCCATATCATTTTGTACGATATCTAGATGGCTTTTATCGCAATGCACTTCAATTCCGTTGAGGGTAACATTAGCGAGCTCCTGAAACAATCTTCTGTCCGGTAAAAGGGGCAGAATAGCCAAGACTCGAACCCGACCCTCCCGAAGAGGGTGGGGAAACGCGACAAGTGTTGTGCTGAGTTGGTGAAGGCTGTCTGGCAATATTTCCATAGCATGCTTAGCGGCTCCAGGGACGTCCATTGAGAGCAGGGTGGGCGACTGCGGTTTGACAGGAGGTCGTCGCCAAAGCACGCAACGGTCTTGGAGGGGCTCCACTTGCTCCTTGAGCATTGGTGCAAGTATTCTGTCCCTAATTTCGGCAGTCGGGTAGCCGAGGCGGACGGTTGTTTGCCTGTTGTGCAATCCAGGGGCGATCACCTCGCCATAAGCCGCAAGATATTCCTTGGACCCTGCATGCTCGTAGAAGGACCGCTCATCCAAGTATAGTTCGGTGAATTCGAGAATGACCGGCGTTTGTTGCATTGCTTGCGGCAAAGGAGTTGCGGGGTCCATATCGAGTAGGTCTGGATTGAGGCCCCGACGCACTAGGTCGGCTTGGATGGCAGGTTTCGGGACACCAACTTTCATTCTTTTTAGCGCATCTCGCAGCTGAGGATGGTCTCCAACCGTAAGGGGTTTCTCATGGATCAAGCTGGCATCAAGTGCGGAGCGGCGGAAATAATATGTCGGTACGCAAGGTGTGTCACGGCATGTAGCTTTTGAGCAGCGCTGGAGCGCGTCCAGGACTTTATCAGCAGCAGACTGATTCGGAGCTTCCCAAAAGACATGGAGCAGAAATGCCTGTCTGGGATAGTAAGTTGTCTTGCCCTTGGGCTCGTCGAGTAGCTTCTGCAGGGCCATGGTGGTTTTCCAGCTGTTCTGCACACATAAGCGGGAAATTCAACGGCTTAGCGCTTGCTATCAGAGGGAAACAAAGTATTGGATGATGAATATGTCCTCCTCGCCTCTGTTTCACCTGAGTACGTGGCAAGAGAGATACAGTTAGATGGTCAATGCGGGTACATATGGTCATGTTAGGTGTTTTCATTCGCCGTTCCCGCCTATCATGATCGATGGCTATGCGGGAGCCGCTTATGAGCGGTCGTACATGAGCCTCCCGCTAACCGACTACGTTAATACCAATTTACATAACGTAATTCACGGGGGGTTCAGCGGGGAGCCCCGGTCAACTACCGTCCACAGTGTGCAAACAAGGCCGCGCCAGCATCTAACCAAAGCCAGTTCAACTCAGCCATATACTGATTCGCTTCAGAGGACCATGATTGCCAGCATTGCTCGAAGTACTCTGATGCTGGATAGTGGGCTAACTGAATTATCCCGAGGTTTTCTCTGAAAGTGACGAATTCAAAGCACACTTCAATGAGTTATCAAAGATACACGAGGGACGTGTCGCTCGTCAACCTCAAAGAATCCGTCTGTAAGTAACCGCAAGCGCGGGTTGTACCTCCAAGGTTCGAATTGGCCTATTCCCTACCGACAGTAGTATCGAAGTTGGTGCTTCACCAAGGTGACTCCTCCCCAATGCAAGACACTGCTTCGAGGAGATCGCCATGGACTCCAGGTCCGGCTGTATTTGGATGCGCATCATGATCGAGCATGATGATGTCGATCCCGATTTTACAGCCACTGCATGGTACAACCTCTCTCGAGGCTGAATTGGCACATCTTGTTGGCGCCCTCCGGTCTGCCCTCCTGGAGCGACACTTATCGTCATATCATGTCATGAGACGGCCCACATTCCTTCCGCAGCATGTTGGTAACTCTGAATCATGGTCAAGTCTCGAGATGTGTAGTCCAGTGGTCCGGAATGCCTGAAGTCTTGAACCCGGACCCACTGTTTGCACTGCTTCACTTGTTTGCCAAGATTTCCCGCTTGCTCGGAGATAGAAGGGGAGTGCATCCTAACCCCGTCCCCGGAAGCATCGGCTGGACATTGGGGGAATTGGCGGGCTCCTTCAGTGGGTTCTCACCAATTGTCACCTATGGGCTCTGTGGGTTCTGTGGATACGCTGCAAAGGCTGCAAAGGCTGCAAACTCTTGGATTGGCATCGCTTTGGCAAATCCACCTCCTAAGAAACAGAGTCACTACTAGTATAGTTCCAGCCATGAGTATGCTGTTATATGTATATAAAATGAGACCCTGCTCCCTTCTGCAGACAGTCAGACAGCCTGATTTCAAGCTCGGCCCCTTCCTGCAACGGTGATTCAAGATGAGATTCACTCTATCCCTCTGTGCCCTGACAGCCATGTGCGGACTGTCTGCGGCCACTCCCACTGCACTGGTCAAGGTATTCCTCCTTCATGTCTGGATACTGCGGACAAAATACTAAGGATCACTGTTAGACAGGCAATTGCACCTATCACTCATCGCCCGACCTTGTGAGCGCCCGGTAACAGAACTGCGTTGTAGCCCAAGCTGACCTCGTGATAGAGTGATCTCGCCGGCACCAGCTACGCAAATCTCATCAAGGTAGCGACCGTACCGTCCGGCCCAACTTACCGGTACATTTTCTCGGAGCCTTCCAGCTCCTTGAAGCCCTACCTACTGTTTATTCATGGGTTTCCCTCGACTTCGTTTGACTGGCGCCACCAGGTAGACTACTTTGTCAGCAGGGGATATGGTGTCATCGCGCCTGACTTGCTCGGCTTTGGGGGTACAGACAATCCCTCGGGTCTCGAGGAATATACCTTGAAGAGACATGCCTTGGACCTTGGTGCTATTCTTGACTGTGAAGGCGTTGACGAGGTGTTCGCAATTGGCCATGACTTGTATGTCCCTTGCTCTATGGACAGTCCTAGGTGGTACATCTCATCTAACACTGCAGCAGTGGCTCTGTTGTCCTATCACGTGTGATAACCTATTGGGGCGAACGCCTGAAGGGGAGCGCGTTTATCGGTGTTGGGTACGCGCCGCCCCCAATGTCTTTCAACCAAGCTGGCGTGGAAGCCATCAATAACGCTAGTCTTGGTACCCTCGGCTATCCACCCTTTGGCTACTGGTACTTCATGAATCAAGAAGACGTTGCCCCTATTATGGACGCGCATGTAGGTGTTTCTTTTTAGTCTTCTCACTCGATGGGATAACACTCACAGCTGCATTAGTTCGACTCTGCCTTTACACTCACCTACACCTCTAACGCTACTTACATGAAAGAACACCTCTCTCCAGTAGGGGAATATAGGAAATGGCTCCTTGCGAACCGAGTGGCGCCCTGGACGGCGTTTATTACTGCAGATGAGAAAGATACGTTTGAAAACATCACCATGTCCAACGGGGGATTCGACGGGCCCGTCAAGTCGTACAAGTCCCTCATGAGAGACTACAATGCGGCTGACGAAGAAGGTGAGCAAAGCTGGGATCGACGCCAGGCCCAACAAGCTGGACAAGGCTAACTCGTACTACCCCAGCTATCCCGCAATCCAAGGCCGCCATTGATCACCCCGTTTTGCTTCTCACAGCGAGCAAGGATCCTGTTGCTATCCCTGATTCCCAGATCACAAACACTGCACTTTATGCTGCGGATATTCGGATCAAGGCGGTTGATGCAGGCCACTTTTTGCAAGTGGAAAAGCCTGATGAGGTTAGTCTGGGCATTCACGACTTCGTGAGGGATGTCATGGGAGAGGAGATTTACTTGTAGGCAGTTTGCCTGTTTTGTAGCGAGTTGCTTCTTTAAACAGTCCTTGCTATCCTTGCTGGCGATCGTGTAAGGGGTGGGAGGGCGCCTTCTGCCTTCATCATACGATGAAGGGGATGGTATTATGTGCCAAGAGCAGACATTGCTGAGGAAGAGGGTGACCTAGGTGAGATAGGAACAGGCTCGGTCTTCCACATTTTCTGTATAGTATAGATATATCTGATCGGATCTGCCTACTTTTCGTTTGGGATAATTATATTTTTGTCATTGAGTAACCGTCCCCTTTAGCGAGCGGCTTGGAGGGTGTAAAGTACGGCGTTTCTGCGAAAAAGAAGTCAATTCAAGAGCAAGGCCCATGTATAGTCAGCATTGGAATGAAGAGAGTTTCGAAATTGTGTCTAGGCCGCGGTTTGGTCCGAGATGGTGGGGCGCTGCCCGGGCGACGGTTACGATGCTTCTTGGGTCTGTGACATCGAGTGGGACATATTGCACTCTGTTTCCTGATTCTGTGATGACCTTTTTCACAGCTTGTGCCCGAGTTGGACTGCGGGAAGTTGCGAAGATGGGGTGGAGAGTTGTTCCAGAATACAGTTCAACGAGTTTGAGGCCTAAGCCTTACGAGCTTCCAGTGATAAGAGAATTTGCCATCGTGTGATTTTGTGGTAGTAAAGCTCGAGCAAAGTTGCCTTGGCATAGAGGTAGATAAGTCAAGACATGTCAAGCAGGCTGTTCGAGCTATTGTGCAATTCACCATTGGAAGCATATCTCAGTTCTCGGCAGATGGCCACTCCACTGGTGGAGAACAGACCGCCACCATGAGGTTCCATCACCGCAAGGCTATATTCGGCGCCGGTGTTATCATATCATGGCTTGGATAAGATAAGCAGATCGCGCGAGGCAGGTGAGCCGGCAATGAGAATCTCACCCTATCTATTGCACTCGCCCTAAGCTCACCCCGGAGCTTAGTAGTTGGGTGGGTGACCACTAGCGAATCCCTCTATCCTTCCCCCTCGATACAGGGCGGACGGGGGGGAGTCTTGACAAGATTGGGTTGGCTTTTGTCATATTATTCCGGGTCCGGACAAGCAAGCAGTGTGGCGAACTCAGCTACACAAGTCGTCGTCCATAGCTACTTCCGAGAATCTCGTGCGGGTGAGGGTGACAACGAGATGTTCTGTCGGGAAATTGAGGTCTGATGGCTGTAGAAATGGTGGACGAACGTGGCCCATCGGCCAGCGAACTCCTTGGTATTCCACACCGGTGATCAGAAGGATCGAAGGCCCCGATATTCTCGTCTTGCTAGTCATTCGTACGGTGTCGGGAAATGGGGTTTGGAAGAACACCCTGAGACATCTAGGCCGAAAATCTAAGGTCTACAGGAAGACAACATGGGTAGTAATGGATTCGACAACAAGAACTACCTAACCTGGGCATGCTTCGGCTAGCAACATTGTCCTCGGACCAACAACAATTTTCAGATCCAGCCCAAGCCGCCAGTTCTGCCGCCTTTGATTGCCTTTCCCTAGTACTCTCCCGACCTGATATCTGTCCATAGAATCCTGATCCTGTTTTAATTCCTCGAGCTGGAAGGTCCTCGTCTGGATACTCCTCAAAGTTTGACTAATGCTTTCGTATATCTGGGCTTTCTCGTCACAGAAGATACCAGGCTGCTAGCCAGGATACGACGACGATGAGCATATGCCATTCCACCACAGGTCGCGATTCGTTTTCCCTTGCTTCAGCAGAAGGTAGCAATACCCCAGACGCATTATTCTTGTCCAGAAGCGATCTGCGCTGGAAGGTCTCTAGAGGAGCAACTGCGTGAGCGATTGGAGTCCAAGCGTTCGCCACGATTGCTGTCCACAACATGAGCAAGGGCGGCCATGCGGCATGGGTTAACAGAGCCTGTCGTCCGATTGAACCTGTGACGGCTCCGTACCAGATTTGCGGATTGCAAAGCAGACGGCCGACACCGACCACTGTGAGGGTGAGGACGATCAAGTGACCGGCGGCGTGGCACTCCGTGAAAACAAAATTCAACCTTCGCCGGAGTGAAGTCCGCTTATTTTGATATAAAGGGGAATCACTGTGGGTGGCAAGGCCACTTGGTAGGAAGCACTCATCCTGACGACGTATGAACATGGTGAATAGCGTGATGCATTGGTACGGCATCATCCAGAGCTCTGAGAGGTCGCTTCGGAGATATGTCTGTCGATGCGACATCGACACCTCCAGCAAGCCATACACGAGCTGTGCCACAAAGTCACACAGGGCGAGGTAAAACATCCGAGTCATCTGGAGCGGATGCTGGAGCGGAATCAATGGTTTTTGAGACAGCAAAGTCAAAGGCAAAGCGCACATGGCTACAGTTGTAAGGATCGCCGTGGCAGTCAATATAATGGTTTGCAGCGGTAGTGCATTTTGTTGTTCAATGCTGACGGCTTTGCCCTTGTCGTCTCGTAGGCACTGCCACAGAGACCATACTCCTTTCAGGATACGCTGGCGTTGCCGAATGGTGCCCTGGAATGTATGTGGTACAATACCCCACTGTAGCCTCTCAGGCACATAAAGCACCTTCCAGCCGCATGAGGTGAGCAGCATAGATGTATAAACGTCCTCCTGGATGGACTCCGTGGGGAAACCTCCAATATCGTCAAGGGGAGCGCGGCGAACCACGAATCCCGTGCCAGTGCAAACGACGCCGTTGTGTGAATCCTCAAGTGGCAAAAAGATATTGAATAAAAATTTTGGCCCAAGTTGCACGCCCAAGTAGTCTCTCCGCGGAGCATTGTAGTATATCTGCGGCGGATTTGCCATCGCAGCTCGGTCGTCCTGGAGTAGATGTGGCAGGAGCGCACGTAACCAGTGCGGCTCCGGAATCATGTCAACGTCAAGGACTGCCACGAACTCGGATGCGCCGTGGCGTCGAGTTTGGGAAAGACCAAAGTTTAAATTCCCGGCCTTCGAATGCGTGCGTAAAGCCAAACCCCGACTGGCGTAATACAGGCGTTTGAATCGTTTCTGCAAGATCTCCACCAATGTTTTCACCTCTGCGGAAGCTTTATCATCTAGAACGTAGACATTGTACCGATCTGCAGGATAGTCCAATGCACATGCGGCTGCTATCGTGTCTTGCACTATGGTAGGATCCTCTCCACAGCACGTTATAAAGACATCCACTGTGGGGACTGTGTGGCCGGAGAGCCTAAGTAACGGACGCGGGCCATTGAATTTCGGTGCTGCAGAGAGCATATAAAGATATTTGAGTAACCTTGGCGCTACTGCACAATTAGAATATGAAAACGAGATGACAGCCGGAGGAACCTGCCTGCGAAGAAAAACTCGCAAATGATCACAGTCCAGGTGATGAGTGAACCTTGCTTCGATTTCATCATCACCCACGTCCGGTATGAAAAATATCCGAGAGAGGACAGAAGGCATAGACCCGCAGCCAGAGGTAGCCCTTGACGCACATGTCGGTACGTGGGTTTATGTGCATGACGGCCCACGGGTTCTACGAACGGTGTGCTCTTTACCTCTTCCTGTGCGGTCTCCATCATATTATCTGGAACATATTAGAGTAGAAAAGGGGTTCCTTGGACAGACGTAGCTACGCTAGCAGCCACAGGATGGCATATTTAAAACAGCGGGGACGATATTGTGGAGCATCATGGATTCGGCTGGGTGGAGAACGCTGCGTCATATCAGAGGTACAACGAGGAGCACTCTCCTCATGCCTCAACGATTTGTGGAGACGCTATATTGTTATTCTGTAGACCTGCAGAACCTCTAACGTCAAAATTACAAAGGAGACGAACGCAACGAGGTGCGATGACATACATACCCCGATCCAGCTTGGAATCCTACCGTGGAACCCGATCTGTACGGAAAACTTAATGTGACATGACCAGGCATTCCTGCGGGTAGTGGATAACTGAACGCTGGGCCGTTGAAGTGTGGGCTGCTTCAGCTTGGAAGAAACAGTTCCTGCACCTCCCAGGCATATAAAGCTACGAGTTATAAGTAAATCCCGAGAGCCACTTTGGAACAGCCTGTGCACTGTCCCCAACAATATGACGACATCATGTCACCAACCAAAAATTCAACCGACTATGCTAGTCGAACGCCAGTTCGACAACGGCCCATGAAGGTCTTAGTTTTAGGGATGGCACGTACTGGTACAACGTGTAAGGTGCCCGGGGCGTTTAACGGCTAGAGACAATCCACACGGCTTACCAACCTCAAAGCGCTTGCAGCGGCTTTTAAACAGCTGGGCTTCTGCCCCTACGATTTCGAGGACCGTGCTCGGCAGGGACATATGGACCTGTGGACTGAAGCTCTACGTGCGAAGCACCTATGCCAGGGAGCCTCGTGGGGGCGGGAGCAATTCGATAATGTCACCGGCAACTTCGACGTATGTGAATTTCTCTTGCGATTCATGTACACAAGCTAATCATCTGGCGAAGGTAATCCTCGATACCCCCTGCTGCTTCTTCGTGGACGAACTGATTGCAGCATATCCGGATGCCAAGGTAATCCTCAGTACTCGGGACCCCGACGAGTGGTTAACATCAATGCGAAACTCCATATTCGCCATGATACACTTTCCATCATGGCGGGTCCTTCGCCGCATGGATCCCCGCGGCTGTGGGCGGTGGCTGGAGCACGTCGAACTGACATGGCGAAGTTTCTGTTGCCTGGACGGAGATGAAAAATGTCGGCAAGCGTTCATAGACCACAACAACTACGTGTGCAAAGTGGTGCCCAAAGACCGTCTACTTATATACGAGGTTCGCGAAGGCTGGAAGCCACTTTGTGAGTTCTTGGGGATTCCAGAACCCGATAACCCGTTTCCTTCCTGCAATACCCCGGGTGAGTTCATGAAGGTCCATAGATATATTTGGTGGTTAATCGTTCAACGGAGCATCTGGAACGTCCTCATGGTAACTGCTCCTCTCGGATTCATATTGTACATCAGTAGTCTGGGACTCAAGTACTTCCTTCCGAAGGAGTGAAATGACGAATGAGCATTCAGATGCACGTATTCGAGCTTTGGTCAAAGAAAATCGACCCACCAGAAGCAGATCTAAGAGTAGTGGAATCCTTGGTACAACATGGTATAAACACAAAGTCTTGTGCCCACCGTTAACATCTCTGGCCGGCAAGCGTCACAGATTGTTCTGGGTACGGGAGGGTAAAGTCTCAAGGTTCGATTGCCGACGGCGTTCAATATCGGGAGGGATTCAAGGGTGCTAGCGAGGCCAGCATTATACCTAACTGAAACGTTCTGTAGGATAGCGGAATGAATCTCATCACGTAGACGAGACTGAACATCGTGGTGGGTAGCCAGAAGGCAGAGGGTCGACAAGGTAGTTTCTAGGCTGGAATACGGGCCATGTCAAAATAGAGTATAGAAGCTAGGGTGGACATATAGTTTACCTGGCTGCCAGAAATGTTAAGGCTGATCAACCAGACCTTGGTGCGACACATCATTGAGCCTGGAATTCATCTCCGGTAGCTCTTCACCTGGTTCCGTGGTAGTTTTCCTTTCGTCCGATCGCGTTTATTTAGTGTTTGGTTTCGTCATGGCTCAAGAATAGACGCCCCATTCCTTTGCATTGCCGAAAACCGTGCAATCCAACACGATCTATTCAGGTTCCTTCCATGATCAATGTTAGATTCGCTATTGCAGGGGTTTCGCGGTAATTTGAATAAATACATATGGTTAATCCAGCCACTCATAGCCCTTGCGCTTATGCGAACTAGAGTATCAGTGTCAACTGGGCAGTCTTCCCACAGTATGCCAAGAATGATGGGGTGGCAAGTTCAAGGCGAACCGTCGGAACCGACAGTCTGGTATCTCCACCCCTAAAGCGTAGTTAGCTGGAATACAATGAGGTGTGGTAGATTGGGTTGCATATCTCATGGGCCAAGGACTGGCTCACTGGATCTGAAGCCCTATTACACGAGCATACCCCAGTCGATTGGTATCCTCAATTGAATTGAAACAATGTGCACGGCATCTTTAACGCTCCGTTCAACGCCAAAGAACACTCGATGGGCTATGTCTTATCATGTGGGAGTTCTATTCTGGAAAAGTCATCTTGATCACCGGAGGGTCAGGGTTCCTTGGGACCACACTTGTCTATCGGATTGTCACAAAGGCCCCCGTCAAACATATCTTCCTGACCTACCGAGGCACACGATCGTATGTAATGGGGCTGACCCGATCATCTCAGCACGATCGACTGACTCTGTTCTCCCAGTGAATTACGCCGGAAATGGCGGCAATGGCTGCCCCAAGAACATGTGGAGAAGATGTCGGATCCAACGCTGGTAACGGTCATTAATGCAGACATCACGAAGACAGGCCTTGGCATCGAAGCCGAGATGGGGAGATCTCTACAGGCAAACGTCAACGTTGTGATCCATGCAGCCTCATCTATCAATCTACTGCAGTCGTTAGCCAGCATCTCGGAGGTGATCGTGGGTGCGACGGAAAGAGTGGCACGAATGTCCCTCGGGTTCGATCACCTGGATCGGTTCGTGTATGTTTCAACTGCGTATGCAAATTCGCATCTTTGGCAAGAGAGTAGTAAGGTTGATGTGAAGGTCGATGAGAGGTTTTATCCGCTCCCCGAAACCATGCACAAGGGGGTCATCGATCGAGACATGGTGACTACCACCCGAGGAGAGTGGGCGCAAGTGCACTCGAGCGGCTCCAGTGCCGAATTTCAAATGCATGATTTTCCATGGCCATATGCATATGCGAAGCATCTTTCCGAGCGAGTTGTGCACTGTATGTTCCGTGAGCAAGGTGCGCACGACAAGCTGCTTATTGTCCGTCCATCCATCATCGGTCCCGCACAGCATTATCCATATCCCGGGTTCAGCCTACCGATGTCCACACCATGCACGGTTTTTATGGCCGCAGCTGCACTATCCACCTCCGTATGGGCACGCATCTCATCGCGGTCTTCGAACCCCGAGGATGACACGACGATAGACGAGGTCCCGGTGGATGTGGTGGCCGACCGACTCCTTCTTCACACAGCCAAGCGGACGACCGGTCTCGTGCATGCAGTCAGCGGAGAGCTTGCCCGGTCAACCGTGGGCAGGATTTGGAGGAACGCAATGAGCTTTCGTAGGATTCCATGGGAGCCCCGACTGATCTGGACCAACTCCGATTGGCACTCGCCCGACCTACATCTTGTGGCGAGGCTGTATGTGATTTTGGGCACGTCGTATCATTTCTCCGACGATAAAACACATCGCCTCTGGGAGCAATGTACAGAGCTGGAGAGGAGAGGCCTACAGATCTTCAACAGATGTAGTGAACGCTACCATGATCTGAGCCTGAGACGACATCAGATACGCCAGTGCATGGACAGAATCTCACGACGGAGCATCTGGGCCCAATTGATTGTCGTCATATTCTATCATTCCTACGCTGTAGCAGACCTCCAGGTGCTCCTTCATAATCTTCTCCAGAAAGGCACGCCCATGAAGATTGAGCAATAGCTGAGGAGGGCCAGGGTCCATGAGTGCTCGCCATAAACCCTCAAGCCCGTATAGGCAGTCCGCCGGTGACTTACCAAATACGCTGTACTGTAGTACCGTTCCCACATAAGAAAAATCAAGAAGGGCCAGTATCTCAATGATGCTGCTGGGCTTGTCTTTTCTAAGATCTATTAGCTAAGGAGAATAGTCAAATGAGAAGTATGTATTTTTGTTGCATGGGGAGCTGGCGCCTAAAACCTCATTTATCGGTTTCCCTTTTGGGACCCCGACGTCGTATTCGAGAATCCCAGTCCTCCACACCAGAACACATATAATATCGTACCGAACACAAACGACAACAACACCCCAACACCAAAACACAACACAAATTCCATATCCCAAGCAAACCCCACAAAACAGCTACTCAAAATGTCAACTCCAAACCCCATCCCCCTCCTAACCCTGGAAACCTTCGCCAAAGCGACGCTGCACCTGGCGCACGCAACCCTAACCCGCCACCCCCAAATCGAAGGCGACGACCATATGATCTTCACCATCAGCGAATCCCCAGGCCACCTGTTACGCGTGACAAAACCGCGCCAAGACCGGCCCTTAATACTGGGCACGCATATGCAAAGGTTCGATATCGCGGTGCGCGAACTCATCGCGGATGAATACGTGGCGCGTGGGTTGTCTGGGGATATTATACCAAAGTCTCTTGGGCATGAGGTTCTCACGGGAGATGGGGTTCATGCTGTTTCCATGGAGACGAGGTTGGAGGGAGTTGGCCTGCATCGGGGTGGTTTGACCGGCCTGACTGAGAGGACGGTTCAGGGGTTTGTGGAGATGATGAGTGTTCTGAAGGGGGTTGATATTGGGGGGCTAGAGGGGAGGTTGAAGGGGTTGGGGGTGGTTGGGTTTGAGGTTCCATTTATTCCGTGGCCGGAGATTCGGGGGATGCGGGAGAGGGCGGTTGTTGCGTGGAGGAGGCTGGTTAATAGGGGGCAGATTGTGGGGGGTGATTATAAGGTCGAGGATGGTGATGATTTTGAGGGGTTGGGTGAGAGGAAGATGGCATTTATAGGACGGGTGAGGGATATGGATGAGACATCACGGCGGGTGCTCATTCATAATGATATTAAGGGAGAGCATATCCTGGTGGATTCCGATGGTCGGATTACTGGCCTCCTGGATTGGGCAGATGCCGGCGTTGGTTATCCGGCGACTGATATCGCAGGCTTAGTGTTGACTGTTGGGCCGCGGCTGGCTGTCAGGATTGCGCGCGAGGTTGGATATGTAGAGGATGAGATTCTTCAGGGACTGATGCAGGCTCGGTGTGAGTGTGTTTTGAGGTTGGATGACCGATTGAATGGGGATGACGAATTGACTCCGATTGATCTGTTGAAGGGCCAGCTCGTTTTGTCAATGGAAGATTGTGAACTTGTTGATTGTTTTGAATTCTAGAGGAAGATTTAGGGTATGAGACTGGGTGTACATAGAATTGCTATAATATAGAGCTTATCAGGGTGAGACTCTGGTATAGATAGTCATATATTGATCGAAGCTGGATAGAACCGCTAGGCAGACTATGATAAACTAGGCTTTTAAGACATGGTACATATTAAGACGACGAATCCAGAGAGAATCACCTCCGTTAGCAGAACACCATTATAATCATCTCTCTTATATCAATAGTTAGTCGTCTTGGACAAGTGCTTGAATTGACAGATTGGAGATTCTTATGCAATTGTGGGCAATTCTATTGATTCTAAAAATGTGTAGAACGGCGAAGAAAAGCTTTGGAAACAAACCTAACCAAAAACGACCGAATGGTCTCATCTATACGAGGTCCGACACAATGACCAGTTTTTGGTCATTGACGGCCGAGATCTACGCAAACAGCCAATTCCCCTATATAGAAACGATCGTTCAATAGACAGGAAGACTTCGTAAATGGAATATGATCTGCAGGTTACAGCCCACATCATGACCCACAAATATATGTGATGTATCCGAAGCCAAAAAAGGGCCACGGCTATGCGTTGGCGTTATGTGTCATGGGCTGTCTGTGGCACTCTAATTTTATATTTCTGACTGCAGGCTGCGTCAACAGAAAACAGAGATACACGTAACCCATGAACAAGCTTCAAGACGTAGTCGCACGCTGACGACAACTGCATTTCGGCTGCAACAGAATGTATGCATGGAAATTATTAGGATTGAGGCAACATAAACTCTGACTCGAGGTGGTGGTAGGGTTCTGCAATGTAGCGACTATATAAACAAGAAAGCGGACTTTGACACAATCTACAGTGGTTTACGTTTGATCTGCAAGGCCGCCTCGCATCTGTCACTGCGAACTAGATTTAGCCATCAATGTTGGTTGTGAACTGGTCGCTTATTTGTGGCAGGAAATAACGAGGTGTGTATTACCGGATGGTAAAGCTCTGTGAATTTTAGTACTCTATCTTATAGGAATTGCTATAGATTACGAGACTTATAGATAAGATTCTCATATTTCCAGGGGTTAAAAAAAAGTTTATATCGGGAATCAAATAACCACTATGGCCTATCTCGGCTCACAAGGAAGCCCATGGCCTTTGGACAGCGCTAAAAGGCTACATGTTACTGGGGCAGTACTAGTACTAGCCTCTCCTTCTCCACTGAGCGTCCAGTTAACCAATAATACAGTACATGGGGTGGGGAGGCCATTCGCATTGCGATTCCGGGAGAATCGCTTGGAGTACAGCTGGCGGGATGAACATTAGCAAGTTTAGCCTTGTTACGGACCGTGTCCATTAGCATTTCTCGATCGCCTTGCTTCGTGGTACTACTACTCGTAGTATGAGAGCTCTAAGCGGCTGGAAAGCCATTGTTATTGGTGGTGCTTGTGAAATGGCTTGCACGGGGGACAATCCTCACCCGCAACAACGGAAACATGGAGATTGTACCTCGAGGTCAACAATGCAAAGACGATGCGACAGGCGGGGTACCCAGCTTACCTACTAATTCTACCGGCTTGATTGAAGTGATTCAGCACCGGTCCGGCCTGGTTTCTGAGGCCCGTTGTACCCCTTAGGAAGAAGCGACAGCTTCATCCGCCGAGCCATCAGTCTGTCCTGGTTAACAGATCAAGAGGGAAGCATAATCAGGAACGCTGCCTCCGTTTTCAAAACGAAACCTCATGTTGGAAGGCCCTTTGCTCTCTCCGGTCCAATGAAATCCTTATGCGACCTCGTCGAAGTTCTGTCTGCTACTCGTACAGTACTATAACCAACCGCGCGGCTAGAGGCTGCTTCCAATAATAGACTTAGCGCTGATAATCGAGCCTGAATGCTTTCCTGAACAGGCTACTGCTCAGTATTAAAGCCCGAAGAATACTGGCTTGAGTCTCGTAGAAATCGAAATCGTTCCTTCCCTGGACCCGACACATTTATCTCCCATACTCGCTTCTCACACCCCATTCAACATGTTCAAGCAAACTGCCCAACGACTTTATAAGTTGATTGGTAAAACCAGACTCGAAGATCTGCCCGTTTCATGGCAAGGCCCTATTGATCAAGTTCTACAGCAGCAGGAAAAAGCGGTAAGTAACCGGATTCTACCAGATATATTGTATTGGCTTCTCATCGTTTTCAAAGAATCCGGATTTCAAATGTGCTGAGATTAGGTATCGTGTTTCCTCTTCCCTTGACCGCTCTCTATCACAGAGCTGATCAGTGCATTGCAGAGGCTCCAAGCCCCACCCTTCGCACGACGATCCGAGCGACCCAGAAGAAGTGATTTCTGTCCGCCTCAAAGATGGAAATGAGAAAACCATCGATCGGATTCACGTTCATGAAGATGGAACAGTGCGTAGGTAGTGTTCCACCTTGCCGCTTTCTCTCCTGCCTACTATTGGTCTGGAGTCATGGAATTCCAGGGGATTCCCTTTAAGACGACCAACATGTCCGGGTGGCAATGAAGGGTTTGACATGATGAATTATGTAGCAGGACTCAGAATAAAACTTGTTGGATCAATGATACGGAAAACATTATCTCGATACATCCTAGATACCCCCACTCCGGAGGTAGACAGGGCATTCGTCATAACACATGTTGAGATGCATTCAACTCCGATAGAAGAAGTCCGGGATATGAATGGTAATGTCTGTGTTAGTCACATCCTTGGACACCTCGTAGTATGCTTCCCTTGGTATGAAACAGCACAAGAAAGTAAGCAACTCCATACTACGGTGACTTCAACCACGGATCTGATAGTAACTCCTTTGCGGAGGCGCGATCCTCAGGTCGCCATTGAAGCATTTTGCGAATAAAACAAAGGAAAAGGTCTTGGTGCAGGCCTTGCAGATTACCCTCCAGTTTCTCTAGGGATATAGGGGGGATTTCTGCGGCGCCCTTCCAATTCCCTTTACTTCATCGTCAGCTTGAAAAGCCCCGCATATCAAAGAGGAATAGGAGATATACCGTTAATATCGAAAAACTTAGTCCCATAATCAGTTTTTTGAAGTATATCTTTGGGCGGTGGCCCAAGAACTGCGATCATCTCTGCGAGATGATGGGTGTCTGAGCTGTTCTTCTCAGGATCGCGGGCATAGAAAAGATGCCCCTGCTCGAAAAGATCCCATGCCTATAGAAGACATCAGTATCAAATTAATCAATCCAATATATCCGGTCTATTTACGAGAACTCCGAGATTCCAGATATCAATCTTCTCATTCCATGGCATCCGTAATAAAACCTCTGGGGCTCGGTAGATCAACGGTTGTACGTCCTCCCACTGAGTACCTACTTGCGAGCTAAACCGTGCCTCCCCGAAATCTGATAATATAGGACGGCCGTGTACCTTGGGAATTCCGAGTTTTCGCGAAGAATAGATTACCCGGTTCCCAATAACTTTGCAGGGGCTGGGATTGCATCTTTCTGCCTCCTCAAAATCAAGCAAAATTGACTGATCATCAACACCAAGCATGATATTCTTTTCCTGTATGTCTAGATATATATAGTCAACACCAGGAAATAGGCGATTAAAGCGACAGAGACTACTTTACCTGTATGGATAATTCCAGCTTCTGTATGGAGGAAGTCGAGAGCAAGGAGAATATGAATCAGAGTTGGTTTAAGTAAGTTCTCCGGAAGAACCTTTGCTATCGCTCGGTTACGTAGTTCGAATAAACTCATAGCCAAAGGTGTATGTACAAGACACTGATAAGAGCAAGCGTTATCAGCGGATTTGAGTTGAAACTCATCTAGCGCATTTCGAACGAGAAAAGATCCCGTGTGAGTTGAATTAAGCGTTGTAAGATGACTGTATATCTCTTTCTCTCTTTTACCATGGCCAGAACCATGCTCAAATATTTTCAATGCGACGTAAGCATGCTGCCTATAGCCATTTAGCTATATTACTCAAGATCTGTTGAAAGGGTACCGTACTGTAAATCCCTACATAGCCACACTGTTGAGTATCCCCCGTAACCTAATTTTCCGACCACTTGGTATCTTGAATGAAAGACGTCACCGATTTTCACCGGGTAAAAGAGATCTGGCGAGTACCAGCGCAAGGTTTCCTCCTCCAACTTGTCGGCTGGGTCAAGCTGGGCACCCAAGGGAGGGGGTGGTCGAGCTGGGGACGCGATCGCCGAAAAAGATATTGCGTGAAGCGACGGGTTAGACGTAGCATTATCCCTTTAACTGAGACTTAGGATAACTATTGAGCAACAGAGAAATGAAGAGAACGGGGGGTCTAGATGGCGGGCGGTGAGGCCCCACAGTTATGACCGATCAATGTCAGAGTGGGCCCATTGCCGAGGGAACCAGAAATGTTATGAGAAGTGCAAAACCAGCTTCACATTTGCATTCATTCTGCCAAGACGCTAGCTAGAGAAATGGGTAGATAGATCTAGATGCACCCTGCTCTACATACCGACAGATTTCCCAGTATAAATGCCAAAAGAGTTAGCCCTGTAGTCTTATCGTTTAACTTACATGTTTCTTTGAATATCGTGATAGTCCTTCCTGAGTATAACCTACGTATGTTGTCTAGAAATATAAATATGTTGGCGACACGTTATTGATTTTTTGACTGAAAGAAGAATCCGAGAGACAGGGACAACAGAGACGATTGCAAGCTTCACTTTACAGACTGTTTCCCCTTCCATTTCTCCATCGCTTTACTGGTCCGATCTCTTTCGGTGTGACATCACTTCGGTGCCTCTTGTTGCGTATTGATCTGCCGTGTCTCTATTGCCTGCTGAATTTCATGCTCGGATGACATGGTTACAAGAGTGAGCTCTTCAAATTGGCCGTCGCTCGATATTCAAAGCCTGAATTTACGAACCCCAGCGATAGACCCTCCGCTATCCCAGGGCTTAAAAACGACTAGCATCGTTCTACAATACAGAGTGCACCAGAGGCACTCTACATTTCCAGCTGCACGAAAGCCGTTTTTGGAGACGAGCCCAAGTGGAAAGGATGCAACAGATGCAAGGCTTCCGAGTTGGAGTGGTGGAATCTTGGTCGTGGACAGCTTTTACAGGAGAAATCACTTTTCTAGAGTCTGTGTCCGCTACAAATGAGAGAGTACGGCTAAAACTAGTTGGTGGCGAGGATGAGGGCCGGTATGCACTACAGGCCCCTCTCTCGGAGATCTGTCAAAGTTGTTCGATCACACACTGGACGGACGAAACTGCAAGATCGTAGACTTGCAGAGTAATATCGTAGGATAGATCAGATACGACGGTGACGATGTCGTAGAGATTGAGAAAGTGAGCTGTGTCGTAATTGCACAGCCTAGTTCAGCCCAAAGCTGGAGGAAATTCACAGATGTTGACGAGGAGGAGGAGGAGTAGTTGGAATTTGACAATGGCCATTATATCCCAATTGCCACAGGTTCTACTCCGGGAAGGTCTTACCCTAGACACGGTATCAATTTGATTCAGGGGCAGTATCTGCGCGATAAAGATGGGTGTGCTGTAGAGGAAGTAGTTTAGACTCGCACTATCATGTCCGAAAGTACTAGTAGAGAAGCTAGTCTCTTATACGACTGATTTCAGCTTGACCTGTTCCAAGGCCACAAATTTGGGGTCTGCAATCGAGATCAACCACTCGAACTTATAATTATTCATAAATATGGAACGTGCGGATCCCACTTTAAGATCCCGCTTTGAACTCCATGGGGGGAACTTCGAGATGTCGATCTATACCATTTTACCCACGTGGGAGTATAGCCATCATTATCCGTCCTCATTGGTAGATTCAGCCGGAATTCGTTTCCTCGGGAAAGCATTCCTGGAATCGATATGATCTACACCGATGCATAGAGACAAGCGATATGAGGATTTGGAATAAGCATGAATCAATGGGGAATTACTAGCTTCATCGAAGGGCCCCAAGTGGTTTGAATGTGTGCTATCCGGGTTCCTGTATCGTTGCATCAGGAACTTCAAGTTACTGTGTAGTGTTGCCCCAAGCAAGGGTTGTTCCCTCGTTTATATCAGGGCGTGAACGAAATTAACTTAGGACTGTGAATACCTATCCCTTACGGTAAGAAGATGTTCCGTGAAACTTTGCTTCTATTTAATTATAGCCATTGCTACTGTATGTAGGTCGGTATGACTTGCATGCGACAACAAAAAAGCTACGAAAGTGCTTTCTGAATCGACACTTGGCTTGTATCTAATCCTCTCGGTTGCTTATCTTGGCTGAAGGCCCAGATCCATCACCACACAGAGATCTAATTTAGTAGATGCACTAGGGCGAACTTCGGGTCGTTCGATTGAATCCCGACCGAGGAAAGCTCTGCGAGAACAGAGAAGGTTGAGAAACTTTCGGCTGCAGTTCGGTGACCACCTACCGAGATCGCAATATCTCTGCAGCCTGGGGTCTCTGGGCTAGTGTGGCTCAGGCGAGGGCTGCATGAACTCGAAAAGCTTGCGATTCGATTCTATGACCGTGTGGCTGATCGGTGTTCTCCGTAACCAGGCTACAGGTTTGCTTTTCCATTATCAGTTAGCATCAAGTAAGATTGATTGATTTACTCCGTGGCATCATCGATGGCCAAGGTCCTTGATCGTGTAAAACGCCGGAAGCTGTGACGTCCACTCGGACTTTGTCCGGCTTTAGGGTTTGCTGGAACTTGGAAGAGGCAGCTGCACCGCCATAGTTCGTCCGACTTTTTTTTTTTTTTTTTTTTCCCCAGTCACTTTTTCTCTTTCTGGAGGGAAAGCTCCTGTGTATTCCCGGCGATCTTTGTCCTTCGTGGAGAAGGAGAACTCGTATGTCCTGTCGATCGAACTCTGTTCCTTTCCGTCCGTGTTACTACTTCCTCCCTTTCGCAACACCCTGCTCATTTGCTACCCGACAGTAAAATGAATGTATGTACCGTACCCCCTACATGCAAATGTAACATTTCAGTGTCAGTCCTTCCATTCCAGCCACCCCACATCACTGCGCGGTGGCTGGAGAACGTCCCAACCCTAAGCCGGTGGGCTTGTAGATACAAGAGGGGCTCAGACGAGCAACTCCGTGATAACCAGCCGAAATTACTAGAACAAAAATTGCACGGTGAACCGCTCTCAGCGCGCAAGACGACCACGGTTGCCGTAGGCAATGGTCGAGGTTAGCGGGTGGCGGAAAACCAGAGCTTTCTCCACATCAATAGGGATTTGGATAGGATGCGACCGACTCGAGTCGAGAGCGCCACTAAGAGACCCCTCTCTGGCTGAGAGAAGTGTGGCTGGTGAGTCCGCTTCCTTTAAAGTCCCACTGCAGGAGTGATCCACAAAACCCAACTGGACTGTGGGTGGAATGATTGGTGCCTATTGTTCAATTACGATCTGTTGGTCACGGTTGATCGGATCCACCGGCGATCCATTTCCTTTCAGTCGGTCAAGAGCGCGGATGTGCTTGCCAGGTCCAATCCCGTGCGCTCGCAAGATCAGCTCCTTGATATTGGGCAGTCACCATGACGCTGCCTTTGACGTCGCCGGTCGTACCAAGTTCCTGTTTTCATGCAGGGTTAGTAAAGTCAACCGTGCAGGGTACATCAGAGACAATGTGTGCTCGATGATGTTAATTCTAGAGTTCAACGACACTTCAACACCGTCATCACGCTCTTGCAGAGTGCATGGGACATGCATGGTTTGATTTCATTCTGCAAAAGGGGCCGAGAGAAAGGACATGAATGGGATTCTCGAAACCATGGATCTTGAAAGTCTTGGGGTTTTCTAATCGGCCTTTCAGCCTATACCAGGCCATCTCTTCCTAACCGAGAGCACAAGATGGGAACTTCAACCACGCTGTTTCCCATTATTTCCATGGATACGATAACAACAAGGAAGGAAACCAAAAACACAAAAAAGAAAAGAAAAGAAAACAAAAAACTAATCTGGAACCAACCCAAACTATTGAGTGCTAAGCCCGCGCGACCTATGAGAAGATTCAGTGGGATCGAGGTGGGTTGAAGTGGATCTATGGCGGCTGGTTCATAGGCCGCGATGGATCGAGCCACCCAAACATTTTACCTTGCAGACTAAGATTAAAATCAGTAAAATCAAATTCCGTGGGCTGGTCAATGACTTCACTTCGCATGGGAATTGGTCCGTGATGCTTGCCCTAGCCACGTTGGCTGGAGACCTTGGAAAGCCAACCGCCCAAGCAGCCAGTGACGATCGCATTAGAGAAAGGAAAGGGAAAAAAAAAGTAGAAAGTAGGAAAGAAAAAAAGAAAAACAGAAAAAATAAAAAAATAAAAAATTCTATTGTTGATCGGGTCCCCAAAAAGCTTGGGAAGATAGAATTGAGATTTGCGCGTCACTTCCTGCCTTTTTAAACCAGCTCCTTCCCCCTCCGATCTCTTGCCATTCTTTTTTTCCCTGCCACATCCCAAGTGAACATCATCCAACTCCCTCCCTCGATCAATTGGCTGACGCCTCATTTTCACTGATCGCCTCTCTCCTGCCTTCTACTTGGTTCACGTCCAGCCTCACAAATTCGTCATCATGAAGACCACTGCTCTCTCTTTGGCTCTCCTGGCTGCCACCACCATGGTGAGCGCCGAAGTCTCCGTTGGTGAATGCGCTGTATGTTGTCCCTGTCCATGGTTACCGGCGAAGAAACAGTACTAACGCTCCCCGTAGCAAATGTGCATCAGCAACATGAACGACAAGGCTTCCGAGTTGGGTTGCACCAGCGGTGACCTGGCTTGCCTGTGCAAGAGCAACAACTACTCCTTTGGTGTGCGCGACTGCACTACCGAGGCTTGCCCTAACGAGGATGCTTCTGCCGTCGTGGCTGCCGCTCTTGCTGCCTGCCCTAACGGCTCCGGCTCTTCTGCCTCTTCTGACAGCAGCGCTACCGGCACCAACGGTGGTGGTGCCTCCAAGACTGGTGACTCTGCCTCCGCCACCGGCACTGATGCCTCTAAGACCGGCGACTCTTCTGCTACCACCACTGGCTCTGGCTCTGGCGCTTCCAAGACTGGTGACTCGACTGCCACTGGCACTGACGCCTCCAAGACCGGTGACTCCACCGCCACTGCTACTGGCACCGATGCTTCCAAGACTGGCGACTCGACTGCCACCGGCACTGACGCTTCTAAGACTGGTGATTCGACTGCCACCGGCACCGACG